TTACTCCTGGCGGGGGCAGAGCTTGGAGAGAGAGGGGGAACAGTGCAGGAGGCATAGTCTGTGAGCATTAATGTGTGTTTTTTTTAAACAACGAAATAACTGTTACTGAAAATTTGCATTCTTGAAGTATTGAAACCTAGCAAATACTTTTATAAGCAATGTCAAACACATGCGATGCTAACATTTAAGCAGGCATTATCAGCTGTGTACTGTTGCTGTATTAATTTTCTCGACCTTCTAAGTCTGTCCTTCACAAGTGAACATCTAGAGTAGAGCACACACAGCTTGAGTAATTTTATAAATCTTTCCATCTCTAAATTCCACCCCCAGCAAGATGTAGGTCCGTTTTCAGTAGTTTAGCAGGTTCCTTTGTTTCCTTCCTAGTTAATTAGCCACAGCCCTTATGTGACACCACAGATCCGATTTCTATCACTTTTTTTTTTAAGATTTATTTTTATTTATACAAGAATAAATGGGGTACAGGCCAGAGGCACGGGAGGGTGAGAGGATTCACCAGAGACGGAGCAGGGAGCGGCGGGCGAGACAGGAAAGGTGTGCCCCGCCATGTGAGACTCTCCCTGGCCGCCTGGGAATCGAACCCGCGCTGCAGAGGCTGCGGTCAGATTCACACTGCTGCGTTCCACCCTCTGCGCCACTGGGGAGGCCCTCTATCACTTTCTATTGAGTTTTCCTTTCTTAGAAAAGTTTTTCTTCTGTGTGACGACACCCACTTTGCCCTTTCTCCTATCACTAGACGTGTGTGTTGTTTCCTGTTGGGCGAAGCGGCTCTGAATGTGCTGATCCATGTAATCAGTCAGGTGGATGTTTTGTTATACCAGGAACACGGGAATTCATTGAGAGTCATTTAAAAAATGAGACATTTTAAAAAATGTCCTTACAGCTATTTAATACGATGGCCGTGTCATGTGACATGAAGCTGCCTAGTGGATTGCCCCGTGCAGACCCACCCCACCTACAAAACAAAACAGCAGTCAGAAAAACTGCCTCTTACCAGACCTGGCATCTGTGAGCAGACTGACCTCAGCCCTGAGGTTGCTACCCCCTGTTTACACACAAGGAAGTGGATTGCAGGGTGTCAGGTGACTTACCTGAGGTCATGCAGTTGAAAGGGGCAGTGATGGACTTGGAACCCGTGTTGTTGAGTCTGGGGAGTCCCAGAGAAGGGCTGCGCCCTCTCCCAGAGGAGGGCTGGTGTAGGTCTGGAAATGAACAAGAAATCTTTGCCAGCCCTTTCTTTTATACAACTCAGAGTCTGTCCACGCCCAGGCTGCAGGGTCACAGCGGCCATGGCAAAAGCAGCCAGAACTGGAGGGAAAATCAAGCAGAGAGCAGGATCAACACTCCCTGGGGACCCCCTGCTCCCCTCCCAATTAAAAAAAAAGATTATCATCTTCGTGCTCGGGAGAAGCCCGGTGTGGATGCCACAAGAGGGGGTGTTGGAGCCTGGGAAGGTGTTAATATTGTCACTGGGCGGGGAGAGGATCTGGCGTCCCTCCTGATCCACCCCCAGCAACACAGGTGGATAAACCAGCCGCTGCCCACTGCTCCCCCGGGGGACGGGCTCTTAGACCCCCTCATCAAGACCAAAAAGAAGACTTCACAGACACCAGTGAAGGCAGGCGAGGAGCCAGCATTTACTGGTTGGCAACAGAGGAAGCAAGCCCTGGAGACCTCTGGGGCATGAGAGACTGAGGTGCCCAGGCTAGGGGTCTGCGTGGGGGCTCAGAGCCAGGGTAGTAGACTTGGCTAAGGCCCACTGATTGTTGCTAGTTGTGGTGGCGCCGGAGGGGCTCGTGTGAGCTCCAGGGCTCCAGGGGGACTGTCTCACTGGGCTCCTGCAGCTCCGGTTTGAACTGGTCTGGCCTCAAGATCTCTAACTTTTCTTCAGGGTCCCTAACTGCTCTCTTCCGGAGCAGCCAACCAGATAAGAGACAGAAAAAGACATAGATCCTGTGAACATACCTGTGAACATCCCAAGAACGCCCAGGCTGGGCACATCACTGAGAGCATGGGCTGAGGAGATACCCGGCAGCGGGCCTGGCCTGCGGTCATCAGGCTTCTTTCTCCCTTGTTTACTCTCCGGTGGGGACAGCAGAATTTTCCTTCAGTCCTGCCTTGTCCTTATCTTGGACCCTTCCTGTCTCAGCGTGGGAGAGGAGATGGCAACGGAGTGACAGGAAAGGGAGTTGGGGTCTAGGCTAGTGGCTTTCTCTCAAACCCCACTGGGGACCCCCGGGGAGAGTCTGACTTTGGGGAGCAGGGTCAAGAGTGATATTTTAGACGTGTCGTTGCTTTCTGAATAGGTCACACACGCCCCCAGTGGACAAGCAGCATGAAAGGAGAAAACTAAGGCCCTTCCCACTCTGGCTTCCCAGTTCACTCGTGCTCTCCATAAGTGACCAGGGGCCCCTGTGTCTTGAGGATCTTTCCAGAGATTTTGCATGCTGCCACCCACTGTCCACTCTGTTGCTCCTGTTTTCTTACAGTGGCCTTCGGCGATCAATCCGTGTCAGCACAATTGTGACGGGAACTCTCCTCTTCCACTTCTCTGTCCTCATGCTCATGCTTGCTGGCCCCAAGGGTTCCTGGCCCACATCCCGTGTACTCCTGCCCCAGGGCCTTTGCACCAGCAGCACCCTCTTTCCTGTCCGCTATGCTCTGCCCCCAGGGAACCCCATGGCTTAGTCCTTCACTCCTTCATGTCCCTCTCAAAGTCCCCTTCTCAGCAAAGCCCTCCTGACTCCCCTTTACAGTTGAAGCCCATGTCAGCCCTAGGCCACCCTAGACCCTGCAGTGCTTTACTTTGTGTTTATCTTGATTCATTCTTTTCAAGGACCACATTGCATTCCACCATGTGGTAGACTGAAGAATGACCCCCCACATCTAATTCCTGCTCTAGAAGCTGGACACTTGTTACCTTCCACGACAAAGCGGACTCTGCAGATGCAGTTGTCAATCGTTTTGTGATAGGGTGAGTGTCATGTATTATCCGATGGGCCCAAATCATCACCAGGGTCCTTATAAGAGGCAGGCAGAGGGCAGAGGATGCTGTGGCCCAGAACCAGGGTGTAAGCAGGCACACGAGCCAAGGAAGGCAGGCAGGCACCCTGGAAGCTGGGAAAGGCCAGCAAACGGACTCTAGAGAACCCTCTAGAACAGCCAGCCCTGCTGACCCCTGAGTTTTGACACTGTGACAGGAACCTCGGCCTCTGACCTCCAGAACTGCAAGAGGATATGTGAGAGTTGTTTTAAGCTTCTGAGTTTGTGCTAATTTCTTGCAGCAGCCACAGGAGACTGCATGCGGGGACATCCCCGATTTGCTTCCATTCCCTCATGGTGGACAGGCAGACCATCTCCTATTCGCCTTGCTGGGTCCCCAAGGACTCAGCTGCTGATATTGTGCTGCTAGGGACATCAGCTGTGTCTGGAGCAACTGGACAGGGGTGCTCCCGGCATCCAGTGAGCGGATGCTGCTCAATACCCCACATGGTACAGGACACCCCAGGAACACAAAATGATAAGGCCCCAAATGTTGACAGTGCCAAGACAGAAACGCTGGCCTGGCCCTCAGATCCACTTCTGGAAATGCAGTTGCCACGCCCAGGGCATGTGCAGGGTGGTAGTCGTGGCCACAGCTGAACGTGGCCTTGGGACTGTGCTCAGCATCTACAGAGCGACACACCAACTCTGAGATGCTGGCTGGGGATGGCGCGGGGCCCTAGGGCCTTGGGAGCTCCCCAAGACTGGAATCAGCGGGTCTGGGAAAGTAGTGATGGGGCAGATGCTACAGTTGGGTCCTGAGCTGGATGAAGTCACGTCTCTGCCCTCACAGAGCTCCCGGTTGGACACAGGAGACATCAGAAAAGAAACCATGTGATGTGTGTACAGACGGGGCAGCTAGTATGCTGTCCTGGGGAAGTCAAGGAGCGCTTCCTGGAGGAGGTGACTTTCAATTGGTGCAACGGTTAATTTTATGTGTCAACCTGACCGGGCCAGGGGATGCCAGGACGACTGGTATAACATTATTTCTGGGCATGTCTGTGACTGAGACATCTTCTCCAGCCCCTGACGTCAGTGCTCCTTGTTCTCCGGTGTTGGGGGTGGGCCGGGACTTACACCACTGCCCCCCACTTCTCAGGCCTCCAGACTAGGGCTGAATTGCACCACTGGCTTTCCCAGGTCTCCACTCGCAGATGGCAGGTTACAGTCTCGGTGTCATAACCATGTGAGCCAACACGCTCCGCGGGGTCCACGTGTGTGCCCCCCAGGGTGTCCCCTGCAGGGTCCCGAGTCCAGCTCGGGGAACGCGCTTCCTCCCCATTGGCATTTATCGAATGCTCCCCACGGACTTGCCGGGGTCTCCCGCCTCCCTGAATTATGGAGGCATCTGCCCTTGCTTGCCGGGGGTTCCAGAGACGCCCACCCGTTCCCGGGCGCGCCCTGGGAAGTGCTCACGGCCCAGCAGCACAGCCGCACCCCGGGGGCCCTTCCTCCTGCACCCCGCACCTCCAGAGCCCTTTCCACCGCAGGCTGGGAGAGACACCAGCGCCCCCTTTTTATGGATGAGGAAACTGAGGCCCAGGAGCGCGTGCGGGGCCCAGGGCGCGTGCGCATCCGTGCCAGGTGGGCTTCGCGACTCGGCCAGGCCCCGTGGGAGCTGCGTCCCCCCCACGCTGCCCTGCCTGCCGGGGCGGGAGGGGGCGGCGGGGCGGGGGCGGGTGTGTCGGGGGCCGTGGGCTCCCGCGCCGGGAGCGGGACAGGCCCTGGTGATCCTGGCCTGAGCTTGGCTCTGCTTTGGGGGCAGAGGGACCGGGGTCCCAGAGACAGCCCCCCAGGTCTTCAAGACTCCGGGCCCTTGGTCTCACGTCCCTTGAACAAAGCAGCACGCGCGGGGGCTCCACAGTCCTTTACCAAACGTCTCCAGCGCAGCGGGCGGCCGGCGCCCTCGCTGCTGCGGGCGGGGCGGGCCGGGCCGGGCCTCAGTCCTCCTGGTCGGAGCCGGCGCGGGCGCGCACGCGGACCCTGGCGGACCTGGGGGGCGCGGGGGGGCTGCTGGGGGCGCTGCCGGGGGCCGGAGCCAGGTTCACCCAGCCGGGGCCGCGGGGCAGCGCGTGGCTGGCGTTGAGCCTGCAGACGCGGTAGTTCTCGTAGTGCACGTTGTGCGTGATGTCCTTCAGGTCCTGCAGGTGCGAGCTGCGGGCGCGCCGAGGTCAGCCCTCGCGGCGCGCCCCCCAGGGGCTCCCCGGGCCCGGCCCCTCCTCACCGGATGAGCAGGTCCCTCAGGAGGGGGAACTCGCAGTGCGCCATGTTCTCCACTGCAAGACAGGACGCCGGGGCTGCGCTCGCTTCCCCCCACCTCCCTTTCATTCCTGTGTCCCCAGCGCCTGGCGCAGGGGGCGCCTACAGGTAGCCCAGGGGAGACCCCGGGCCTGGCTACTCTGCCCCTTCCCTCCCCGGTGCCCCTGTATTTGCTCCATCTTGTGTGTCCCACCCGGTCCTGTCTCGTGAGCTGCATGGGGCAACTCGGCCCTCGCGGGTCCTGCGTCACTGTGTCCCCTCAGCCACTGCACGTGGTCGGCCCACAGAACATTCTGGCCAGTGCACAGGGTGCCCGGAACCACGCAAAGTGGTGACTCCGACCCCGCCAGTCAGCCCGTGAGGCTCATGCTGCCATGTGCCCATTTCACTGTAGGAGACTGAGGCCCAGAGAACCCAGGAAGCTGTCTGGGGCTTTCAGCTGTGGACGGGGCCTTGGTCCCAGGACTGTGGTGGGTGGGGGTGGGCTTAACCACCCTGGGCTGGGGTGGGTGCCAGGGGTGCCACGGGCCGCCCATTCTCACCTGCATCCTCCCTGCACTGACCTTCGATGATGCCCCACTTTGTCTTCCGGCCCAGGACACACCTGCCGTTCACCAGGTGCTCTCGGTCAGCCCCGACCACAGCAAAGGGGATCCGGTCCTGCGGGGAGGGCCCGGACAGGAGGGTTGGCACGACCAGGGACAGGGACGGCAGGCCCCCAGGGGGGAAGGGGCACTGTCCTTTGTGGGGAGAGAAACGGTAGAAGGCAGCAAGGTACTGAGGTACCAGACGAAGCAGCGTCTCCGTGGTGCCTTGGCTCCCCCCTGCGACCCGGGGCGCGGTGCAGGTGCGCTCAGGCTCCTGCGGCCTCGCAGCCCTTGGAAGCTGTGCAGCTCTGAGCCAGGATCATGCTGTGATCTTGCTGGTGGAGGAGCAGCAGCCTCAGCTGCGCAGGTTGCCGTGGGGGCGAGAGAGCTCTGGGTGCCAGCGGTGGGCAGCCTGGGCCCACCGCGGAGCTGAGCAAGGGCCACAGATCACCTGGCTGAAGCTCCAAGTCGCACCCTAACGTCTGGCCCTTCACAGGGGCATCCCCTGAGCCCTGTGTCCACTTGCTCCTGGTGGTTTTGGGCTTGAAGAGTTTATCCGTGGCAGGGAGGGACAGCAGCGTCCTACTTAGGGATTACGTGCTGGCCTGCAGTGTCCCCTCTCTGAGGGCTGCGTGTGCCTGCTTTCATTTTAATTTTTAATTTTATGTATTTTAATTTTTTATAGTATATCCACTTTCTCTGGCCTCCGAGTTGACCTTGCCAGTAGTCACAGATTTGCACAGAAGGACTTTCTGTTTTGACTATTTGCAATTGACAGTAGTATTTGGTGATTGAGAGTCATTGGCATATGTTCTTGTGTTTCCTCCAGCTCTGCGCCAGCTGGGAAGGCAGAGCTTAGTGGAGGTCAAGGCTCTTTGAATTGTCACAGGAAATCCTGTTCATTGCTCCAGCTCCAGTGAGGGAGGGAGGAGGGAATGTGGAGAAACGGTGCCAGATGGGAAGCAGGGACCCCATGGACGGATGTGCAGTCTGTGCACTGCACAAAGCCAAGTGGTGGCAGGCTGCGTAGGGACTGCAGCCCCGCCAGTGCAGGAAGCTGCCACCCTTTTCCAATTCAAGCAGAAACACGGTAGGCTGGCAGAAGGGGGGTGCTGAGGCCTGGGGTCTCTGATAATGAATCCCAGGCCTCACCCAGATACTTTGCAGGATCCCGCAGGACTGACACGGAATGCCCAGGAGCACAGCGAAATGGGAGCTTGCAGCTAGAACCCAGTTGTTTCAGAGGAAATGAAGATGGCAGCTACTTCTCCTCCCTTCCTCCCTCCCTCCTTCCTTCCCCTTTTTGGTAAGAGTTTTATTGATGGGCAGGTCACACACCATAAAATTCACCCTTGAGATTGTGGAATTCAGTAGTCTTAGTGTATGCCTTATGAGTTCATGCAGCTGTCACCACAGTCGAATCCCAGCACATTGTCACCTCTCTGAAAGGGATCTGTACCCCTAGCAGCCACTCCCCGTTCACCTGGCCCCTCATCCGAGGGCACCACTGGTCGACTTTCTGACTGTTTGGAACATTTCTAAAGGAACCCTACAATATGTGGCCTCATGCTTAGCCTCATGCTTCAAGGTTCCTCCACACTGTAGCAGGTATTAGCACTTGATTCCTTTTTATGGCCATTGCATGGATATACAGTCGAATGGCAGTTGAAGATGGGGATACAGTCTAAGGAAATTCATCAGCAGGTGATTTTGTCATTGATTCTCTGTGCGAATGTCAGTGTCCTTACACAAAGCTGGATGGTAGGGCCTACTGCACACCTGTTACCTGTAGGGGCCAATGTCATATGTGTGGTCATCACTGACCAAAACATCATGATGTGTCACATGCATTTGCCTCTTATTGCTGATTCCTAAGAGTTCTTTATATATTCAGGCTGCAGGTCCCTTATCAGACCTATCATTTGAAAACATTTTTGCCCAAGCTGTAGGTTGTTGATATGACCTATGTCTTGCTCACCTTGTTCGTGGATGGACAGAGATTCATATTTGCATGAAATAGATGAACTTTCCGCAAGTTGGAGAGAGACAGAAGAATCACCAGATGGAAAAGATGAGTGGAAAGAGAATCACCCAGCCTTGGCCCTGCCAGCCTCCCTGCCCCCACCTGGCTGCCTACCCGGATCTTGCTGTTGAGGATCCTGTCGTTGATGTCCTCGTCAAAGCACTGCTGGGGGTACACGTCAATGCAGTGAGTCTTCAGGTTCTGCTGGATCTGGGCATCACATCCAGGTGACCTCAGCTCACCTGCACACTCTCCCCTCCCCAACTGTCCTGGTCCCGGCCCCGCCCCAGGGACCCAGATCACCCTGCGCCTGAAGGCCTCTCGCTCTTCAATGGTCAAGCTGTCGGCCCGGGCAATCACGGGCACCACGTTCACAGTCTGGCACAGCCTCTGCAGGAACTCGATGTCCAGGGGCCTCAGGCTGCTCAGGCAAGACGGCAGAGGTGGGGGTGGCAGCAGCAGCCCGTGCAGGGGGTGCAGCCCACGGCCCACTGGGGCCCTCCACCCCCTCCGCTCTGCCCCTGCCCCAGCAGGGCGCCTCACCAGTGGCCGGTGGGCGGCACGAAGTACACACAGCAGTGCACCCGCGTGTCGGGGATGTGGCGCTGGCGGGTGATGAGGAGCTCCTCCTGCAGGTACCGCTCGTACTGCTGGTTGATGAAGCCCAGGATGGGGTCCCAGCTGGGGTGGGGCAGGCAGACCTCAGGCCCGCAGGCTCAGGAGCACCCCCTCACCTGCCCAGCTTTCCTGGGTGGGCGGTGTCCTCTCAGGATGGCGATCACTGCCACTCCTCCTTGGGACACAGGACTCCCGGTCTCGCCCGCCCGCCCCTCCCCGACTGCCCACGTCATCGGAGAGCACCCCGCGTTTCTCCAGCTGAGGCCTCTGCTTCCTCATCTGTAAAGTGGGGAGTCTAAGAGCACCCGCTTTATGGGGGAGGAGCCAGCAGGAGCGAGAGCAAGTGCTGAGGCCTGGGTCAAACCCCCTGGGTCTCCTGCCCGTTGGCAGGGGCTCCTGTCTCCTTCCTGGATCCCTCCCGCCTGGCCCCTGGTGTTTGACACAACAGCCAAAAAGGTGGCTTAAAAGCGAGTCAGGTCTCCCCCCCACCAGTCCAGGGGCCAGAGGAAAGCCAGCACCCCCGCCCCCAGGCCTGACCACACCTGCTGCTTCCTGCCCCACACCTGCTGCTTCCTGCCACCACCCCCACCCCTGCTCGAGCCCTCGGCTCCCCTGGACACAGCAGCCCAGCAGCCCACTCCCCTCTGCACAGGCCGACCCTCGCCCCTGCACGTCCGCACGCCTCACTTCCCAGCCCCTGAGCGTGCTGCTGACATCACAACCCCTGCCCTGCAGCCCCTGCCCTGTCGCTGCCCCGCGAGTCCTGTCTGGGGGGGTAGGGCTGCATTCACCCTCCGTGTAACTGATGAGTTTTGTTCCTTGTCTGTCCCTGCCCCGCGGCGAGTAAGCGCCAGGGAGGTGAGGAGGCTGTCCTGGCGTGTGCGGGAGCAGAGGTGGCTCCCGCGAACACTTGGGTGCAGGTGGGTGGGCGGTGCAGAGGTGCTGGTCGGGCTCCTGCTGAGAAGAGCCCCCCCGGGTTGGACACTCTGGGTCGTGGCCTCACAGTTCTTGATTTTTGAACAAAGGGCCCACGTTTTCATTGCCCTGGATCCCCCGAATTATGCCGCCAGCCCTGACTGTGTGCGTGAACATGAATATTTGTCCGGTTGAGAGTCCAGAGAGCTCTGCAAGGTGGGCGGCGTCACCCCCAAGTCACACCGAAGGAAACGAAGGCTCAGGGAGCTCCGCGGCCAGCTGCAGCTCCACGACCACAAAGTGGGTAACCAGAGGTGCCAACTCTGGGGTGTGGGCTCCCCCCAATTAGACCTTGTTCCGACCTGTGTGCCAGGGAGACAGTGAAGCCTGCTACCCGCCCTTCACTCTGCAAGGGGCCTGGTGTGCACCCGACATGCAGGTGAGTGAACAGACGCCACGGCCGGTGGCTCCCAGGCTGGCGTATTTCCCAGGGCTGGGGAGCAGGGCCGGGGCGACCGGGGCTCGGCCCCCACCAAGAGAACCCACCACTTGTCATTGTTGATCTGGTCCCCGAAGCCGGGTGTGTCCGTCACTGTCAGCTTCAGCTTCACCCCCTTCTCCTCTATGACTGTGGGGGAGAGCAGAGGAGGGAGAGGTTGGGCTGGGCCCGGTCGGGGGGCAGGGGTGGGGGCTCACTCACCGTGGGTCACCGACTGCAGCTGCGTAGTCTGGGGTGTGGGCACCCCCAAGCCCTGAAGGGTGGGCTTCCAGACCTTGGACTTGAACAACGTGTTCACCATGGTGGACTTGCCCAGCCCGCTCTGCCCTGGGAGTAAAGACGACAGCGGTCACGGCGCGCATCTGAGTGTTTCTCAAACTCTAAAACACATTTTTTAAGAAGGAAAAACTATTTTTAGGAAGGAAACTATTTTCTACATATGACAGAAAAACACACCATCCTAAGTGTCCAGTTCAGTGCTTCCCCCATTATTGAGTGACTTTCACACTGCAAGCAATGAACCATTTAAAGTCTGCCACTCAGGGCCTCCCTGGTGACCTAGGGGTTAAGTCTCAGTGCTATCCCCGCCAGGGCCTAAGTTCGATCCCCCAGCCAGGGAGCTACCCACAGGGCGCAGCAGACCTCTCCTGGCTCCCTGCTGCTCCCCTGAGCAGTGGATTTCAGTAGATCTGCCTGTTCTGTTCCCCACTCTGTCTCTGGTGAATCCTCTCACCCCGCACCTCTAACCTATACCCCAGTTCTTGGATGCACAAATATAAATAAATGAAAATTAAAAAAAAAACGCAGTCTGCCATTCATCTTGATTCATTCAGCACATTGTATAACCACCGCCTAGACATAGCTCAAAACAGTTTCCACTCCTGGGCCTCCCCGGTTGGCGCAGGTGGTTGAGCACCACGCTGTGAAACTGTCCGCAGCTTCTGCAGCGCCGGCTCGATCCCTGCTGGCCGGTGAGGGTCCCACATGGCGTGGCAGGCCTCTCCTGTCGCACCTGCTGCTCCCCTCAGCAGTGTATTTCATCAGTCTGCCTGTTCTTTCCCCGCTCTGTCTCTGGTGAATCCTCTCACTTTCCCGCGGATCTGGCCTGTACCCCGGTTCTTGTATAAATAAATAAATCTTTAAAAGAAAAACACAACAGTTTCTGCTTCCTAAAGAGAGACCCGTCCCTGTAAGCAGTCTCTTCCCACCCCACCCTCCCCAGCCCCTGCTGACCACCCATCCGCTTCTGCCTCTATGGGTCTGCCCTACCTGGACATCTCTGGGCATGGGATCCTGCCATCCTTTTTCCTGGCTGAATCATATTCCACTGTTTGGCCAGACCACATTGAGTGTATCTAATCATCCCTCTCCGGCCCTTTTGCAAATTATGTCACCCTGGTGCACAGCACCAGATCAAGAGAGGGAACACCCAGCCCCCACCCTGGCCATGCCCACCCCACTGACAGCCATTAGGGTCAGCCACACCGTTGACAATCCATCAGCAGGGAGCAATTTGGCCCCCGCCTTGACTTAGGGAACCACAGAGCATGTGCCCTGGGGTCTAGATACCCGCTCTCCTGGCTGGGGGGCTTCTCAAACTGTGTGGCCCAGCCCCAGAGTAAATCACAACACAGGACACTGCTGTGTGTAGAGCTGACATTGTCCTCAGGACCGCGTGTCTCCAGGTGAGCCACACTGGCCGTTGCCGCTGGCCTCACAGTCGCCCTGAACAGACACAGGGGGAGATACAAACCTCACTCTGCAGACTCAGCAGGACAAAGAGAACAGAAAAGCTCTCACGAGTGACTTTTGATATTGATTACAGGTCTAGATCATAGCTTTTTGGACGAGCCTGGGTTCAGTACAACAGGTGATTCGTTTTGCCGGTTTGGTTTTACTTTAAAAGGTGGCGATGAGGTAGTTTACTAGCTACGTGGGTCCTAGCACGTTCCCACTGGACAGCGCCACTTTAGAGTCATGTCTTACTTGGGTCTATGCACCTGGCATTGTATCTGTACTATCCAGTTTATTTTGTCAATAAGTGGTTTTGACCTTTTACGCTTTTTTTGCATTTGTAAAGTGCAGTTCCAGATGAACTGACCATGGGCGCCAGAAATGCCAGGGACTGTCCTAAGCCAGATGAGGAAACTGAGGCAGAGTGGGGTCAGGGAGCATGTCCTGGGTCACACACTGGTGGTTGTAAGGGCTGGGGCCAGGCTCTATATTGGGGTGCTCTCCGCCTGTAGCCACAGGCCCCCCTTTGCTAGCTCTGTTGGATTTGGTTGGGGTTTCATGGGTGCTTCCCAGATTTTCACCTACGTCACCCAAGACAGTTTTACTCTCAGGCACATTTAACAGATGGGGAGACCCGGCATGGGCCGGGTGCACGGGGGTGGGGCGGGGAGTGTCTGCTGCCTGGACTGTGCCGCGAGCCCCCCTCACTCACCCACCACCATGATGTTGAACTCAAACCCCATCTTCATGGCCTTGATCTTCAGCTGGTCCAGCACGGCCTCGATGCCCACGTAGCTGCCCAGTGTCTCGCAGGGCGGGGTCCGGGGGCTGGAGGGCCGTGATGACCCCGAGCAGGGGGACGCGGACCGCCTGAGAGGGTCCATGGAGCCAAGGCCAAAACGATGCCTGTCACCTGGGTGGGGAGAAGAGCGTAGCGGAGGCTCCAGGGGGGTCCACTTTGACCCGAGCTCTCATTTCTGGGTCTCGCATCTTGTAAGTTGCCGGATCCATCTGTGCCCCAAGATTCATGGGGGTTTGCTGAGAGGTGCCTGGGGGGCTGCCCCTCAGGGAGACTAAACCCCCATCCTGAGATGCACCAGACCCAGGGATCTGTATGTCACCCACCCCAGCTTCCACTGCACCCCTCTGTGGCCCAGGCAGCCGCCCTGCTCAGACACAGGCCCACAGAGTGAGGCTGGCCTGGCAAGACCCAGGGACCCCAACCCATGGAGGGGAGAGAGGGAGGGACAGGGAGAGGGAGAGAGCGCAGTGCTCTGCACACCTGGCGGCCCTGGTCCTGCGGGAGCCTGGCGGAGCTGCCTGCAGGGTCCCAGCAGACCCCAGTGGGACCAGGGGGAGGGGAGGGGGCGGCAGTTAACTGAAGAATCTGAACTCCCTCCTTGTGACCCCCGCCCCCCCCTCCCCCGGGGCCCTCAGCAGGTGAGTTGCTCCTGGGGCCCTTTTGTGCAAGGCCCCTTGGCCTTCATGAGGACCAGGCCGCACCATGGCGGGAGCTGCGGCCCCTCGGCTGCTCCCTGACCTGGGGTCGCAGCTGGTGCGTGGCAGAGTGAGGCTTCAGCGAGTCCCTCTGACCTCTGAGTTCGCGCCCTTCACCCTCCGCCAGGGGACGCAAACCCAAACCCGCAGCCTGAGCAGAGCCCGCGCTCTCTGGGCTGGCATGGCCAACACCGGGTGCTGTGGGGCATTGTAAGTCGCCCACATTGAAGAGGCAGGAGGTCGATTTAGCAAATATTTACCCAGCGCTCGGTCTGTACAGAGCTTTGTTCCAGGGCCCTAGGATGTGAGCTTGTTTATTGTTTTGTTCCCCAGCTAGACGATGAGATGAGCGGCTGCCTGAGCGTGCAGACAAGTTTATGCAGCCGGGCAGGGTATTCCCCTGGGCGGGGGAAGATTGGGTCTTAGCTTGTTTGTGTTAAGTTGTTATTAAATTAACTTGATGTTCACTTATTTCATAGTCACCACAGGCCTGTGAAGAAAGTGCTGTTGCTACTCCCGGTTTATAAAGACAAATTCAGTGAGTCGTTCAAGGTCACGGAGTGCACGTAATGAGGAAATGGCTGAGCGGAGCCCACATGCCCACTCTCCACTGCGTCTTTTTTGTTTACATAAAGATCTAGATTTTTTATAAAGATTTATTTATTTATGCATACAAGAACTGGGGTACAGGCCAGAGGTGTGGGGGGTGAGAGGATTCACCAGAGACAGAGCGGGGAACAAAACAGGCAGACCGATGAAACACACTGCTGAGGGGAGCAGCGAGCAAGACAGGAGAGGTCTGCTGCGCCATCTGGGTAGCTCCCTGGCTGACCGGGGATCGAACTTGTGCTGCAGAGGCTGCGGACAGCTTCACAGTGCTGTGCTTAACCCCTTGCGCCACCAGGATGCCCAAGATCTAGATCTTTGATGGGTCTTAGAGATTACAAGCCCTGGCAACACTTGACCTAGCAAACAGCTAACTCTAGAGCCCTGTGCTCTCCAGTTTGCCATAGTCCTCACTCCTCCCTGATGTCTCTCTGATAAGATGTCTCTTATACCAAATCCATATCACCCATTTTGTACTTTTTCACCTGCATCCTGGCCCCTGAGTTTGTCATCCCTAAGCAACCCTCTGTCCTCTCAGGTATCAGCAAACATGTTTTGTAAAAGGCTAGAGAGTATAGATTTTCGGTCTTGCAGGTCTGCTGCAATCCTCTTCAGCTCTGCCATCGTTGTGCACCAGCAGCCACAGGCCATAGATAGACACAGGTGGGGCTGTAAGGCGGGAAATACAGACTCACAAAAGCAGGCAGTGGTTCACTGACACCCCTGGGAATCACCATCTCCCCCAATTCATTTGCTTCCAGTGTCCTGCACCCCAACCAGGCTCTATCCTTTCCCACCCACCTCTTATGCTCCCCAGGCTTCTACACAGCTGAGCGAGGGCAGGAGCAGGGCCAGGCAGGACCTGCTGTTGGGCTCCATTCCCAACAGAGAAAAATCTCGAGCTATAGACAGCTGCTGCACTACAGTGGCCGAGGGACTTGCGAGGCTGGGCTCCTCGGGAAACAGAGAACTATTAGCAAAAGACCAAACAATGTCGGTGCCGTGTCTGATGCCAGAGGGCTGACCTTGAAAGGCTGAGAGTCTGTGTAAGGGCGTAAGCCTCTCCAGAGAAAACACTTTCTCTGGGAAAATCATCACATGTGAGTGATGTAGGATTCCAAAATATTGAGGCGGGGTGGGGGGCAAGAAATCCTCATCACCTGGGGTGACAGGTTCCCAGAGCCCCAAGCGGACTGGAGGGTCAGGTCTGCAGAAAGCGGTCACGGACAAGGGCCTCCAGGCCACCCTGAATGAGAGGCTGGACATCGCGATCTGGGCAGGACAAGGAGGCAGGTGAGCCCCACCCAATACAAAGAACAGAGACAGAGGGAGGCCCCGGCCTGGGAGGGGACACCCCATTCAGTGCAGGCTTTCCAGCACATTCCACTGCACTGCGGGAGTGTGTCTGACATTAGCATTTAATCCTCACTACGCCTGAAGTGGCGGGTGCTAGTCATACACCCACTTTACAGACGAGGAGATAGAGGCAGGCTGGGGCCAGGAGCTGTGCCGTGTGAGGGGCTGGGACCACGGCCAAGTGGGGGTCTGCCCGCTCTGCCCTGTCACTGCTCTTCAATAAGGTCTGACCGTTGTGATCCGAACAACAAACTTAGGTGCATCCTGAGCATCCCGAGGTGGGGTGACAGGGTTTGTACGGGAAGGCTGAGGGCCAGAGGAGGGCCATGGGCTTGCTGCCCGCCCAGCCAGGACCAGTGGGGAGGGCCACACTTGTCGACTCCCCCACCCCAACTTGTTTTCAATTGAGGTAAAATTCAAATAACCTGTAATTACCACTGGCCATTTCAGAGTCTAGGTGAGCGGCACTGGGGACAATCACAGTGCTGCAACCCGTCATCTCTACCTAGTTCCCAGACATGGTCATCACCCCAAAAGGAGGTCCCGTAACCACTGAACACTCGCTCCCTAGTCGCCCCTGGCAACCACTAACCTTTCTATCTCTATGGGGTGCCTGTTCTGCAATTTCATGTCAATGGCCTCACAGTGTGTGACCTTGTACCTGATTTCTTGAACCCAGCGTATGTTCTCCACGTTCATCCAGGTTGCACTGTCAGCGTTTCACTCGTTTTCATGAGCGAGTAGTATTCCACTGCAGGGGTAGACAGCATCTTGCTTGCCCATGCTCCCTTGATGGACACTTGGGTTATTTTGCCCTCTGGCTGTTGTGGACCACGCTGCTTGAGTCTGTTTTCAGTTCTAGGAGTGCCGTGCCTGGAGCTTATGGTCACACTGTGTGGAACTTTTTTTTTTTTAAGACTTATTTATCCATCCAAGAGCTGGGGTGCAGGCCAGAGGTGTGTGTGTGGGGGGGTGAGAGGACTCACCAGAGACAGAGTGGGGAGCAGAACAGGTGGATCTACTGAGATACGCTGCTGAGGGAAGCAGCGGGGAGACAGGAGAGTCTGCTGCGCCATGTGGGTAGCTCCCTGGCCGGGGATCGCACTCGTGCTGCAGAGGCTGCGGCAGCTTCGTCGTGTTGACATTTAACCCTGCACGCCGCCAGGGAGGCCCCCTGCCTGTGTGGAACTCTTTGAGGAACTGGCAGACCGCTTTCCACATGGCCACTCCTCCCCCCGCCTCCTTTTTGCAACAGAAGCTTGAGTCACTTCAAAACTCCCTTCCCTTCCGCAACAGGGATCTGAGATCTCAGAATGGGACGAAACATGCGTGTGGGGAGGGGGACCCCAGCACACAGGCCCCATCATAGGGGATCAAGGGCTCTAGGACCTGAATGCGTGGGCCCCAATTCTGGCTTCCCCGATTCCCAGGATAGACACGGCCCGGGGATGTCCCCACTGCGACCTTCCATGGGAGAGGGCCTTGCGGATGGGATTCAGGACTTTGCCGGGCTTGTCCTGCGGCTGCTGGAGGCCCAGGGCTCTGGGAGGAGGAAGGCCGGAGGCCTCAGCAGATGTGAGGATGGAAACAGAAGTGGATGTGAGCGGGTGGGCCCCACCCATGGGATGTGGGCGGCTTCGAGAAGGCGACAGGCCTGGGTTCTCCCAGAGCCTCCGGAAGGAGCCCAGCCCTGCCACCCTGATTTAGCCCCCAGAGCTATAAGAAAAGAAATTCTTGTTTGAAGCCACTAAGTTTTCTGAGGCGTGTCTCAGCTGCCGGAGAGGAATCCAGGAGGGTCGACCTGAGCCGGTCGCTAAGCCTCTCAAAGCCTCTGTGTTCACCTCTGCCCAACGGGAACAGCAGAGTCCACTTCAGGCTGCCGAGGGGCTGGATCAGCGGCTCATGCACGTGTGGGGGGCAGAGTCCCACGCTGGGTGATGCTTTTGCTTGCTTCACGAAGCACCGCCAGAGCAAGAAGTTGTGCCCACCTGGTTACAGCCCACTCAAGCGCCGCGGGGCCTCGGCCCCTGTGTGCCCACGACTGTCTGTACCCGGGAGGGGAGGGGGTGTGCGTGAGAGCTGCCCCTGCTGGGCCAGGCAGGGGCCAAGGACCCAGTTCTGGCGAAAGAGCTCATTTGAGCGCCAATAGCTGCGGCCCGGCCAGAGTTATGGTGAACATTAGAATAAAGATGAACCTCAGAGCCTGTGCGATGCGGGCGCCTGGAGGGCGGTGAGCAGAGACGCCGCGCCTTCCGGCTGCTGGTCTGGGTCTCCTGAGAAAAAGTGCAGACTGGCCAGAAGGCGGCTGCTGACAGCAACCGGCACCTGTTGCTGTGACCCCGCCCTCCCCAGGGCTCCAGACACCTCAGGGGAGAGCGGGGCTGGTTGCCAAGGCCTCGGGTGATATGGATCCGGAAGCAGGAAGTAGTCTGTGTCCAGGATCCTCCTGGCTGGGTGAGCTTGGAGGCGCCGGGCCGGCAGTTGTGGGAGAAGGAGGCGGCAGACACGGGGTCACGGTAGGACTGGGACAAGGGCCGGGAAAGTGAGGAAGACAGGGTGGGCCGAGGGCAGAAGCAAGGGGTCCAGGGGGTGGTGTGGAGGAGCAGGACTTTGGGAGGCTGGGGGTAGCCTGGCCCCAGAGGTGCGCAGAGTTCTGAGCTCCCTCTGGGGGGCTAGGTCAGCTGGCACCAGGCCCCTCCAGCCGAGATGGGGACCGCGGAGGAGCTGGACTCCGCAGTCCAGGATGTGCTGGGGAAACTGAAGAGCCACAAGCTGTTCCAGTCCAGCTGGGACACGGCCGCCTTCGTCATCTTCCTCACCTTCGTGGGTGAGTGTGGCGCCCGCGGGCCCCGCCGCGGTCCCACGTGAGGGTGCCCTCTGGACACAGCCCCCACCCCTGCCCCCAGGCACCGTGTTGCTGCTGCTGCTGCTGGTTTTCATCCACTGCTGCTGCTGCTCCTGCCGCCGCCGCCGCCGCGGCCCCCGAGCCCCGAAGGTGAGGCCGCAGCAGGTGAGCCCGCTGGCCGGCTGGCTGGCTGGCGGTGGCCAGGGGTGGCCGGAGCCGCAGAGGGGGAGGCGGTGGGGGACCGGGCGCCCAGGCGTGACGCCACGGGGGGCCCCTTGTGCTCTCTTGCAGGAAGCCCCCAGGGGAGTGGATAACTTGGCCCTGGAACCGTAGCGCCTGCCCAGAGGCCCCTCCGTGTCCCGTGTGCCCCGCTGGCAATAGCAACAATGCCCACTTTGCCCGAGTCCGGAGTATCTGAGCCTTCCTTCCGTCGGGGGTGGGCAGCCGGGCCCTCCCCGCTGTGGGTCTCAGGACGCCACCTTCAAGTAGCGGCTGCAGGTTACTTAGCAACGGCCCAGGGCGGGGAAGCTGGGCCCCAGCTCAGCCAAAACCCCGGGGGGGGAGGCGGTCGCCATCCCACCCAGACTTCAGCCTGGTCCCCACTCAACAGACAGACAGACAGGAGGCTTCCAGGCAGGCTGGATGGTCTTTATTTCTCGGAAGCACCGTTGCCAAGCAAACACATCCGGGGCAACGCAGCTGAGGGCAGGCGGTTTCTGTCTGAGCGTTTCTTCCTCCTTTTCTCCCCACTCACTGCCAGCACCACCACCCACTCTCACCCTGCGGCCTGCCCTGGGCAGCAGCCTCGGGCTGGGGGAAAGGAGAGCCCGGGTTTGGCCCCACCCTGAGTACAAAGGTTCTTGTGTCAGGGCTGGAGTGGGGGCCACCGGGGCCGCGCCTTCCCAACCCCATTCACAACAAAACGCCAGCCAGCAGCCCTTCCTCCCAGCGGTCCAGTGTTCACGGCCATCTGTGCCAGCGTGTGGGCAGGACGGGGCGGAGAGGGAAATAAATAGCTGGTGGTGCCGGCCCTGGCTCTGGCCAGCACTCCGAGGGGCGTGAGTGGGAGGTCAGGCTCCTGGGGTGCTCTGCTCAGAAAGGCCTGTAGCTCCAGTAGCTGGAGAACACGGAGATCTGGGGGGAAGGGGCCATGGTGAGCGGAGTGCTGGGGGCCAGGCCCCGGCTGCACCTCCCAGACCCACAGGAAGTTTCAAGTTCATCCGTGGTCAAATGTGTCAGGGAGAGTCCCCCCAAAAGGAAGGCTGAGCGGCCCTGCCGCCCGGAGCCACTGCTCAGAGTGGCTCCCAGCCCGCCCGCAGGCCCCGCCGGCCCCGCCCCACCTTGTCCTTGAGCTGCTGGCAGAGCTGCAGGGAGACGGTGAAGAAGACCAGGGCATCGTTGAGCCAGGGGACCACGCACTCCACCTTGTGCACGTGGCTCACCTCCAGGCGCTGGGAGCCCCACTCGCTGCGGGAGAGGGGAGTGTCTCTGGGGGCGCCGTCCAGGTCCCTGCCTGCGGTAGGCGCCCCTCCCCGCAGCCTACTTACAACATGGCCCCCGGGCTGTGCAGCACCGCGCCTCCGGCCGGGCGGAAGTTCTAGGCAGAGGACAGCAGGCGGGTCAGGGGGCGGCCAGGTGGGCGGCAGGGACGGGCGGCGGGCGGGCGGCTCACCTTGGTGGAGTTGGGCTGCAGGGCGTGCAGCTGGTACACCGTGAGGCACAGCTTGTTGAGGTTGATGTAGACGTTGACCAGCAGGTCAGAGGGCAGGGCGGGGGCAAACATCCGCTGGGGCAAGGGGATGCCGGGCAGGCAGGTGGGATGAGGCTCTGGTTGTCACCGCCTCCCCAGAGCCCGGGGTGTCCAGTCCCTGTCCCAGGGACTGGGGCTTCCATACTGCCCAGGAGCCCCTGGTAGCCCCATGTGCCTCTGGGCAGGGGACCTACCAAGCCAGACCAGGAAGTAATTGGGGCAAAAAAGCTGGAAGCCGGGGGCCCCACCCTGGAAAACTGCATAGACCTAGAGCTCCCCCCACCCCCGCCTGGGGCAAGCTGGGCCCTTCTCTGGGGATGCCCTTTCCGGGGCAGGGCTGGGCACTGACCGTGAGGCCGCTGGCAGCGATCTCGGGCAGGGTGAGGGTGGCTGGGGTGGTGAGTCGGTTGCGGGCTCTGCTCAGCTGCAGCATCACCGCGTCCATCAGCTGGGGGGGGGGGCACACATGGCTCGGTCTCCCTCACCCGCTATGGGCATCGACCAGGGGGCTCCCAGCTTCTGCCCTGGGGGGCCATGGTCTCAGCCTGAGTCTTGGCATTGGGAGAGCTGTTAAAGGTGCAGGCAATTGGGGCCAGCTGGGCTGGGGGCAGGACCTCCAGGAGGCTCTATTGCACCAGGAGCCTGGGTGCTGGTCCAATGTGGGATGAAAGATCCTGAGAGTTTGTCCAGGGCGGGCACCAAGGGTTGGCCCATGTTGGTGCAGGCAATAAAGGAGTTATGAGGAAGGGACCCTAATCCCGCGGAGGGCTTCCTGGAGGATGTGATGGATGTCTGTGCTGAGGTGGACAGTGGGCAGCAGCCCCTTGGGCCCTGAGCCCTTGAACCCTGCGGAACCCATTCCTTCCCTGACCCATGGAGCCAAACCCTGCTCGGACTCCCGGGAGCCCTGCTGCCCTACCCAGTGTTGTGCTGGGGAGACCTGGCTCTTGGAAAAAGGCAGCAGCTGGGGGGACGTGTAGGGGCTGTACCTCCAGCCCCTGGGGTGACCACAGTTCTGGGAGGGATCTTAGTCCCACGGGTTTCAAGTGTTTTGAAGAATCAGGCTCCCAGCAAGGGTAGGCGAGCCCCCTGAGGACACACAGCAGGTCAGGGCCCAGCTAATGCAGGAGTTGGGAGCCTGGCCTCAGGGCCTCCCACCACACCACGTGGACTCAACATAAAGGGGTCCCCAGTGGCGGCTGATTCCCCGAGCGCTTTCGAGAGTGCACTTTAGCTATGTTCTCTCATGTAATAGTCACTATAGTTGGCCCCCTTCCACGGAGAGGAAACTGAGGCACAGCATAGCTAAGTGAGTGACCTGAGCTGACAGGGCTCGCAGGCCAGGTCTGATTTCATGATTTCAGGCGGACGTGTGCGCAGCGGGAGGTGAAGGGTCACTGTCAGCTGTGCCTGAGGATGGGGCTGAGCCTCCGGGAGCCTGACCCCCTCCTCCCAACCCCCTAGGGCGGCTCACCTTGAGGACCTCTGCGCCAGTCCGGAACTGGTAGCTCTCATCCCGGTTGGTAAGGAGGTAAATGGCTTGGCTCACGTGGTTCCTGGCGTCCTGGATCTGAAAACAACACCCACTGAGCAGCCCTGGGGAGAGGGGAGGAGCGAGGTCTCCGGGGCCCCAGCATGCAGGCCACCGGGGCTGTGCAATGGCAGGGGAGCGGCGGGTACAGCCTGCCTGACTCAGGCCGGTCAAGCCCCCCTGAAGCTGTCAGCTCATGTCCTCAAGGGCCAGGCCTGGCTACCAGGTCAAGGTGACAGTAATGGAGAGAAGACAAGATAACAGATGCCGTGACTCATGCACGGGAAGATGAGCTGGGAGAGGGGGACTCTCTAGATGGGGGCGCAGGACTATAGACAGATGGATGAACATGGGCAAAGGCCCTGAAGTGACCAGCTGGTGGCCAGTCTCTAGGGAACAGATAGGAAGCACAAACCTTGTCTCCAAGAGCCATGGGGAGTCCCTGGAGGTTCTGGGCAAGGGGTGCCTTGTTCAGGGGGACCCCTGGTTCCTGCTGGAGCCCAAGCAGGCTAGAGGCAGGACCGGTTCTCCACCTCCCACAGGGAAGGCCTGGGGCACCAGGGCTAGGAAACTCCTCCCAGGCCGGCTTGGCTGAACACCCCTGGAGGCCTCATTCCCTGGAGGCCTCAGCTGGGGGTCTGCCTCTGCCTGCCCGTGGAGGGAGAGGGGCTGCTCACCTGCTGCAGCTTCCACTGCTTGTCCTCCCGGAAGGCGAAGCGCAATAGCTGGCTGTTCCTGGGCGTCTTCAGGCTCACGTCCTGCTGGGGACAGTGGGGTAAGCAGGGCAGAGGGACACCCTCCAGCTTTTGGCCATCCTGAGCCCATGAGCCAGGGGCAGACATGAGGGGTGGAGGACGCCTCGGCAGACAGTTTCCCAGGCACCGGGTCCTTTGGGGGATGGATAGGGAGGTCAAGAAACAAGCCAGGGCCCAAGAGGAGCTACAAAGAAATGAGGGACAAAAGCCCAGAAGGGGTGCGGCCTGGCTGGGAGATGTGTGGCTTCTGGCCGGGGACTGAGCGGCTGCCGGAGGACTGGGACAAGGGCTGGGACCTCGAGGACTGGACCGCCACCACACTCCGGTGCCTGGCAGGGACAGAGCTCAGCTGCTGGTTAACTTTCTTTTGATCTGGGGCCAGCCTAATGCCATCAGTGCCCACGCTGCACTGGGCCCAGGCTCCTGGCCATGTGCAAAGCAGCTCTGTCCTGCACCTCTCACTGAAGCCACACACCCATGCCATTGGGAGGGGCTTGGTCACGTCACAGTTGAGGAAACTGAGGTCCAGAGAGGTCAGGGGTCGTGCCCAGAGTCACACAGCTCTCCCCAGAGGGCTCCTCCTGTGGCGGGGGGTGGGGAGGGGAGGGGAGGGGAGGGGACTCACCGCCTGGCTTAGTGCGTCCCCTTGCAGCGTGAGCACACCCTTCACCTGGTCGGTGCTGGAACAGGGGTGGGTCAGAGAGGCACCCGTGGCGGCCTCCCCTGGAGCCACCGGCCTCCCTCCCCCCCCCTCTGCATGCCCTCTGGGCAGGGAGGCTGAAACCTGTCCGCAGGGCAGGGCTGCGCCTTCTCGCCCAAGAGGCCATTCCAGGGGTTCTCTGCACCCCTCCCCCCATTCAGCTTCTGGCCAGCCCAGCCTCACCCACAGCTGCCCAGGATGAAGTTCTCCTGCTTGGTGGGCCCCTCGGTGCCTGAGCCGGGGAGGGTAAAGCGCAGAGAGGCCTCCTGTGGGACAGAGGGGAGGGGGCAGAGAGCGCTCAGGTCCAGCCCAGGGGAGGAAGCGGCCTCACCAGACCACCCGCAAGCTCCAGGCTTTTAGAGTCTGGCTCCTCCCTGCGGTCAGAGTTTCAGGTCCCACCCGGCGGGTCCCGGGCGCTCCCCGGGCGCCCGCTCTGCCAGCTCAGGTATGCGGGCGAGAGACGCCCCTGCTCGGCGAAGCGCGGTCAGGGGGCCCGGCAGGGCCGGGGCGGGCCCTGTCACCGTCACCGCAGCCCGGGCCCCCGGGCTGCCTGGCTTCTCGCCCCCGCGCAAGGGCGGCCTCGGAGGCCGCGGGGCTGGGCCGAGCACGGCCGGCCGGGTGCTTCCGACCCGGCCGCTGCCGCTGCGTCAGGCCGGACCCCGGCGGGCGGGACCCGGGGCCCGAGGCCGCGCGCGGTACCTTGAGGATGTCCTGCAGCTGCCTCAGCACGGCGTGCACCTCGGCGCGCAGCAGCCAGCGGAACTCCTCCTCCTGCGGGCGCAGGCCCCGTCAGCGCCCGCCGCCCCCTCCCGCCCCCGCCCCCCGCCCGCCGCTCCGGCCCCCCCGCCCCCCGCCCGCCGCACCAGCACCGCCCGCTCCGCCGCCGTGGCTGCCATCGCGGTCGCCATCGCCGCCGCTCGCCGCCCAGCGACTGTCACCGACCCGCCGCCCGCTAGCGGCGCCCCGGGCCCTCCCCCCGACGCCCATTGGCTGAGCGGGCGCTCGCCCCGCCCCAGGCCACCTCCCCCCGTCTCCGATAGGGGGATCCAGGCGCCCGCCCCGCCCCCGGGCGGCTCCGTGCCCGCGATTGGCCAACGTCCGTCGGGCCGCCCCGGCTCACGACGCCGCGGGCGCCCAGAACGAGGCTGGCGGCCGCGCGGTCCCGGCCCCGGCCGGCGCGCCCGAGACGCGGCCGGCACAGCGGAGCGCGCCGCTCCCGGGCCCCGCTCCCCCCGCTCGGCCCTCAGGGAGCCGGGTCCTGCTCGGCCTCGCGACCGGCCCGCGGGGGCGCCCCGCCCTCCCGCTCCGCGAGGCGCAGCCCCCGCAAGGTCGCAGCCGCCGTTGTGTTACCAAGAAACGTTTTATTTGCTTGCAGTAGCTCTGTTAATTGCACAAAATCATGTTTTGTTTTTGCCATTTAAACATCACACAATCCTATTCTGAAAGACAAATGTTCATTAAAAACAAAGCAAAAATAAAAATTCACAACCTTAATTACTAGATTTGTCATGGAGAGGTTTAAAGGAAAAACGGGTGGCAGGGGAGGGGCTTTCTTACAAGCTTTTTCACAAGAGTCACATTTTTCTCCTTAAAAGGGAAGGATTTCAAAACAGGTGAAATAGCTTAAACAGAAATATTCATAAAAAGTAACTTTACAGAATTGTCAACAATATTAAAGACAACATTGACTAACCAGTTTCATGACAGCATCACCCCCACCCCCACCCCCCAGTGTCCGGCCGGGACTAGAACAGGCTCTGTGCTCAGACAGAAAGTAACTCAAAATCCCAGTGAAATTAACTGTGCCAAAACCCCACAGGCCTCTCCCCTGCCCTCCTCCCATGTCTTCTGAGATCCCCCAACTTAGGTTCTGGCCAGAGGAAAGGGCCACGGTTCTGAGGGAAGGTGGCCCCCCCAGTGTGGGCTCCTCACACATCCATCAGCCCATCCTCACACTAGATGCTGACTTCCCGCATGAGACTTTGGAAAACGCAACCCATGTAGAGAGAGAGCACGGACATCCTCAGTGACATCTCCTTGTTCTCAGGCCACATTCCAAGCCCTTCCGGTCCCCTGCACAGGAGAAATGCTAGGGCCTCCAGGATGTCTCCCATCCACCCAGGGCCCTGAAAAGCACCCGGGACCGTGCTGCGGACCACGGTGTGCAGGCATTCGCTCCTGTGTTCAGAGGCCCGAGAAATGGTCATCCTTGATCAGGCCGGGTGTGGGCCAAGGAGGGACAGACAGAAATAAATCCTGTCTCTGAGGGAGGGGTGGAGGCGCGTGGAGGAGAGGGCATGCGGGGCCCCAGAAGGGGCTGTGGCGAGGGGACCGGGTAGAGGCTCTGCAGACTTGGTGAAGAGTCTGGGGCTAACGGAAACAGGAGGGAGCCCCGCCTCCTCCCTCTTCCAGCCTCTCAGGGGCCCTCAGGACCCTTCCCGAGGCTTGGAATGCAAATCTAGATACTAAAATGGCCTGGGGAGGAGCCAGCTCCCCCTGCACTGAAGCCAGGAAGTCGGATCCAGGCCCAGGGCTCCGCAGTGACAAAGACTTCTGGGCCGGGTGCTGGAGAGCAGAGCAGAGGGCTTCACGGCTCACCTGCCAGCACGCCTTCTGCTGCTCTCCGAGCCTGTGCTCGACTCTGCCAATCTCTTCGCAGTTCACAAAGGCATTTATGGAGAGTTGGGTGCACACCGGTAGCTTAAACATGCGGTCCTCATCAGCTGGTCACCTGAGGTTGGAGGTCCCACAGGACCCTCTGTTTAATAGTCTGTGCTGGCTCCTCCTGGCCCAGAACCTCTTTCTGAGGAGGGGGGGGTTGTCCGCTGGGGGGATGTGACCATGACCACAGCCTCACTGCTCTGAGGGAAGCAGTGGCAAGGCTTCCGGTCCTCACTGCTGACTAGCTCCTCAACTGGAAGGGATCTCAGACAAGCTCGGAAGAAGGCGGAAAAAGCCAGGCAGCAGTTTCTGGGCAGCTTCTATCCCGGGGCGAGAGCCAGTGTATGTGGGGCGTGTGCGTGTGCATGTGAACACACAGCCACCTAGTCTGGGCCGCGGCGAGCTCGAGAGCTTTCCCACGGGCCAATCCTGCCGGCACCCCTCCCCCAGGACCGCCAGAGGAGGAGCGACACTGTGTGCTGTGCTGATGGCGAGTCTCAAAAGTCTGTATAAAAGGAGATGGAGACAGGTGGACTGGTCCAGAGCTAAGTCCCAGGACCCCAAACCCATGTGAGGAAGCGGGGTCAGAGGGAGGGGGTGGCACGGGGCTGAGGGCTTAGTGTATATAGGCTCGGTACACGGCGGACATGTCGTTGTCAGACTGGTCCAGCGCCTTGGCTCTTTTGTACACCTGGAAAAGAAGGAGATGGGCTCAGTCTCTGGCACGTGGCCGACTCAGCTGGGCCTTGTTTCCTGGAGGCAGGTCTAGATGTGCTGGGTCAGGGGGTCTGCAGTGCGGGCTGAATGACTGTGCATCTGGCCCCCACACAAGGCCCTGGGCAAAGCGCTGCTTCTCGGTGCCTCAGCTGTTGCCTCTTGACATCACGGAGGTGAGAATAAGGGTGGGGATGAGAGGGAGCGAGGAAAGAGTGTGCCAGGAGCCAGCAGAGGCAGGCTCGGTGTTGTCAGTGATTGCAACCTTGTCCCTTCCTCTTGAGGAGCCACCAAGGACTCCTGGGTCATTCTCAGGGCTGTTGGCCTCACCCCGCCCTCAGCAGGCTCCCTCCCCCTCGGCTCAAAGTTCTCCTCTGACCATCCCATCCAGAGCCAGGGCTGCTCCACTTTATCCTGGCCACCCCTCTTTACTCTGTTCTACTGTATTCCTATTTCTGACCTGGACTTCGTTCTTGGTTGAATACTCATGGGCTTATTCTGTGCCTCCTTCCACTAAAATGTAAGTTCATCAAAGGAAAGAGAGAGGCTGCACTTGACCCATCCCCAGAACCGGAGAGGGTACTTGCAACTGACATTCACCCTGGAGAGCAGGTGACCAATAAGTCACTGTCCCACCTTAGGGGCATCCTCTTGTCCTGCCACCCATGTGGCCAGCTGCCTTTGCTCTATTTGAACACAGTCCTGTCAAGGGTGCCTGTCAACTAGAAAGAGGGCTAAACAAAAGCCTTTTCAGATAAAAGAAAATAACGGCTGCCCGCGGGCCTACAGGAAAGGCTGAAGAAGGTCTCTCAGCTGAGAGCAAACAGCCCGAGAGAGAGATCCCACTCTTGAGGCTGGGGTGGAGAGCACCGCCAATGCTGAGCCAGAGAAACAGAACATTATTATTTTTTTAAACACAGATGACTGATTACAGCAGGACACCCCAGGACTGTCAGGTGGGCTTGAAACAAAGGCAGACACAATACGGAGGACATGTGCTGCCTTGAAGCCGCATTCTTGACCTGGGGTGTTGTGCCCCTCAGGAGACATATGGCAAGGCCTGGAGTCCTTTTCTATGGCTTGAGGGGGCGCTGTTGGCACCAGTGAGTAGAGGACAGGGGGCGGCCTCCAGCACATCTCCAGTGCTCCAGCCGAGGACAAACAGGCAGTTAGGCCAAGGGAGGGACCAGGCCAGGGGCCTAGGATCAGGAAAAAGGGATGCTAGCTGAGTAACGGGCTGTATGTAAGGATGCACACTATATGCCCTGGAGGGGAACAAGTAATAAAGATAAAAGAATGCAATAATAAAGATAAAACGGAACTCTATTCAACCCGAAAGAAGGCAAGAAGGGGGAACTGACAAACCAAGACACGGGGTAGAGTGAGGGAACAGGGCGGCCAAGCCGGCGCACACGTGAAACCTAAGACAGGTACCTGTGCTCACAGCAGGTAATTCCAGAGAGCTGCACCCCACTAGCAGTTACCTCGAACTTCTAGTGCAACGAATCCTGTCACACCGGGGGACGCAACCTGGACGTCACCTCACGAAACAGTGTGCCCAACCCAAGCCTCACAGGGGCCCTTCAGAAGGAAGCGCAGTTAAAGGCAAGCTCACAGACAAAGAATGAAACCACGGAGAGATTCCACCGCCGAGAGAATCCCCAGGTAAAGTGAACGGGGGTAGCCGAAACCGCTGCAACCTGAAATCGTGAAGGCAGCGTTCTCACAGGAGCGGAGCAGAGGGGCAGAGACAGAACTCGGGAGAGAAGGCCTCAAGTACGGAAAGGCGGGTCTCAAAGAGCAGGCCTATGTGGGTGCTTTTTTGTTTTGCTCTTTCTCAGCTGGAAATAAGCCACCAGAGACCTCAGGGTATTTAAAATATTTAACCTGAATAAAATGTGTGTCAACTTATATTGGTGGGAAGACGTGGCTTAAATCGACGAGTTACATATACATGTGTCACCAAATGGAGTTCTTACCGGTACAGGTGAGTATGGCTCTTTTGGTTTTTATGATATGTTTTTTAAGATTTATTTTTTATTTATTTATGTCTACAAGAACTGGGGTGTAGGTCAGAGATGCAGGGGGTGAGAAGATTCACCAGAGACAGAGTAGGGAGCAGAACAGGCGGATCTACTGAGATACACTGAAGGGAGCAGCGGGTGAGGCAGGAGAGGTCTGCTGTGCCATGTAGGTCAGCTCCCTGGCCTGGGGATCGAACTCAGGCCATAGTGACAGATGATAGCTTGACAGTGCTGAGACTTTAACTCCTGTGCTACCAGGGAGGTCCCTCTATTGTTTTTTGTTTTTGTTTTTTTTAATAGAGGCATGTTTTATTTATTTGTTTGGTTGGTTTTTTGTTTTGTTTATACATGCACTGGGTACAGTCAGAAGCGCGGGAGGGTGAGAGAATTCACCAGAGGCAGAGCGGGGAGCAGAGCAGGCAGAAGGACCGAAGTACACTGCTGAGGGGAGCAGCGGGCGGCAGGAGAGGTCTGCGCGCCATGTGGGACCTTCCTCCCGTGGCCGGGGAGCAGCCGGGGATCGAACCGGCGCCGCAGAGGCCGCGGGCAGCTTCGCAACCCAGCGCTCAACCGCTGCGCCACCGGGGAGGCCCCCTCTATTGGTTTTTATTTTAAAAGATTCTACTTCAATCAGGTAGAGGTAAGAAAGCTGAACTTACAAAAACTGTTCCCAAAAAGTACATGTGTAGGTGACTAATAACAACTAAACAATTAACAGGCAGATACTATTAGAAACAATTATAATGTAAATCCCAATTACAGACTATGTAATTTAAATATTAAGACACAGGTAGAAAACAACGGGGGACAAACTGACAGATCAAGTAAACAGTAAGTACCACTGGCGAGAGATCGAGAGCCATTTCCTAAGCGGATATGCTCCTCAGGGAGACGTAACAGTCCCAAATGGTCACACACCTAATAACAAGAGGTTCAAAGACATGAAGCAAAACGTGCGGCGTTACCAGGAGAAACAGACAGCCCCACGAACCCAGCTGGAGCGTTTAATGAGCACCCTTCTCTCAGCAAGTGGAAGAACCTGAGAACAAGGTCAGTGGGCATGGCCCAAAACCACCTCCAGCCACCTCGACCTAGTTTTCAGATGACCCAGCTTTCTGAGTGCAGCCCGGACACTCGTGCCAGACCATCTGTGGTCTCCAAACAAGTCTGGAGATTGTAGAGTTCAAATCCTCTGTTCTTTGACCACAAGGGAGATACAGTAGAAATCAGTAATCACTAGATCTCTAGAAAACCCCACATATTCAACAAACTTAAATAATCCACAGGCCAAAGATGAAATCATAAGAGAAAAGCATGGTTCAGAAGGAAATGTACCCTGGGAGTGTTTCTGTTAGAAAAACCAGAGACCAAAGATTCCACTTCGCGAGATTAGAGAGGAAGAAAAAGAAAAGCCACAGGTAGCCGAGGCGGGAATAACAAGGGACATAGTAAAGTGGCTGCAATGACCAGGCCCCTGCGGTTACCTCGTTGGCTGCAGCTGCCATGGGAGTGGGGTGGTTGACAGCATCACCCAGTGCGATGGCTAAGCGGAGATCCTTCTGGATGTACTTCAAGTAGAAATCGGGCTTAAAGTTTCCTTGCAGGATATCTGAGGAGCGAAAGCCGCATATTAGAATTGAGAGGAACTTCACTAAGAAACCACCTGCAGTACTGTTGGGGCTCACCAACTAGCACTCCCTCCCCCTTGGCACCTAAGAAACAAACTTTCAGCCTGTGCCCCAACTCCCATCTGCTGTGTCTCTGGCCCCTCCCCTGCTGGGGGTGGGGGTGGGGAAGGAAACAAGGAACCCTAAAGGAGAGACTGCCCTGTGACAGTTGCCTGACCCGTCCCCAGCTCTCATCACAAGTAAAACATAAGAGAGGGCGAACCTACTTTGGCACTTCTGGTCCAGGAAGATGCTGGCCAACTGTCCCTGATTGAGGATGTCCAAGAGTGTCTGCTGGGACTGGCCTGTCACCTGGGCCAGGGTCAGCCCCTCGGCGATGGTGGCCATGAAGCTCCCCTGCACCATGTTCACGATCAGCATCATCTTGGCGGCATTGCCGACCTCACCTGCCCAGACACAGGATCACGGTCACTTCCTAGGAGCTGTGCAGACTGGGACTTTCTGCCCACCCTCATCCCTGCTTGGACCCACCTCTATACCCAGGGAAGGCCCCATTCACCTGCCCCCGACACTGGCTCTGACCCTTCTGGCTGCTCCTCCTTCCAGGCACTGACCTGCCAGCCAAAAGGGACCACCCTAGGGGCCCCAGGCAGAGAGGCCGAGCGGGACTGGCGCTGTCATCAGTGCGGTCTACTGGGGATGTGCCCACCCAGCCTCCAGGCCTGAGCTGGCCTGGCAGGTGGGAGGCGTGTTACCTAGAAAGAAGGAGGTCTTCCCCATTGCCTGGAAGCAGCTGCTGCAGTCCTCATACAAGCCCCTGTCTCCGGCCGCTAAGATCACCAGCATCCCATCGTTAGACAGCTGCTGGTTCCCGGAGACTGGGGCTTCCAGGAAGCGGCCCCCTCGGGATACGATCACCTGGAAAGGAACGTCACAGCTTCTGGAGGCCTCGCTTCTTGTGGGCTGGGCTGGGGGCAGGGAGAGTGCTCAGGCGGGCAGTGTCTCCTCACACCTGCCAGGGTGAGTACTCAGGCTTCAGGGGCTGGGCTAGCACTGGGGGTGTCAGACGGCCCACCCTCTGACATGCACCCTAGTGACAGGTAATAAATACTGGGAGCTGGAAGTGCCTCCCAGCCTCCCATTTACTGTGAGTTTCCCACAAAGACCAAACATGGCCAGGCTAATGGCCATCCCTAGGGACACAGCCTGTCCCTGATTTCAGCCACCGTCTGAATACGTAGGGCTCTGAAGTCACGGCTCCCTCACTTGGGCCCGGCAGCTCAGGGAGGAGGAAGACTCCACTACTATCAACTGTAGTCACCAGAGGCAGTGCTGGCAGCCTGAATGGCTTATCAGGCCGGCAGCTCCAGGACCTGTGCCCAGCCCAGCTGGGCTGCGGCTCTAAAGGCAGAGTGTGAAGACAAGGCTAGTCCCTGGGGCACTGGCCTCCCCTCTTCCGTCAGCTCTGGTTTAGAGTAACCCGAGTTGCCTACACTTGTGCAAGCTCAGCTGGGGCTCCTGGGCTCCGGCTGACAGACTGCTGGAGTGACAGCCCAAACCAGGCTACTACCTGGGCCAGCTCAGTGACTGTGTCAGCGTCCACTGTCGACATGTCCACGTAGCACTTCCCAGGGCGGATCCCCTGCAGCACACCACTGGGGCCCAGCACCAGCTGTGGGGACACGGGGAGAAGCAATAGCCCAGGCTCCCAGCCAGACACCCAGGGGCCCCTTAGACCCAAGGTCAGAATCCTGTGACTTTGGCTCATTTCCCAATTAGGAGTAAACATTAAGGGAAGAGCAAGTAAATAAACGAGGGATAGAAAAATATTTCTAGCACCTTCCCATTTATCTGAAAATATACACTTATATGTGTGTGTCTGTTTTCTTACAAACCTCCCATTTAAGATAGAACATCAAGGTGCCTCCCTGGTGGCTTAGGGGTTAAGTCTCAGCGCTATCACCTCTATAGCCTGAGTTCGATCCTGGCCAGGGAGCTGACCCACACGGCGCAGCAGACCTCTCCTGTCTCCCCGCTGCTCCCCTCAGCAGTGGATTTCAGTAGATCCGCCTGTTCTGCTCCCCACTCTGTCTCTGGTGAGTTCTCAGGCCCCGCACCTCTGGCCTACACCCCAGCTCTTCTACGCAAAAATAAATAAATAAATAAAAGCGGGAAGCTCAATATTTCTGGGCTTCTCTGGGTTTGCTTGGATTAGACTAAACACCAGTTTAACAAGACGACTACTGCACTTGAACTTTCAGAACACACAACTACAGTGCAGGCTAAACTTAGGAACTTGGCATGTGTACCAAAGGCACCCATGGACATGGACCGAGGCTCCAGCTCCATCGAACATGGGAAGCCTGGGCAGGACCAGCTTCTAGACCTACCAGCAGCTTCAGCCTTTGTTGTGAATTAAAGGAAGTCTGTATTCAACTATCCCTCGAAGGAGATGGCCCCCAGATGGAAAAAATCCACCCCCCCCTTCACGTGCAGACACTCACTGGGTGTGTAGGGGAGAAGGGGAGGAGACCAGTCAGCTTCCCTGGCTACAACCTGAGACTCGGATGGGAAGGAGGGGATCCTTACGTCCTTGGCTGCCTTTGGATCCGACACACAGGCAAAGGTGATATCACAAGTTGAAACAACTTCAGCGGGGGTTCTTCCTAGGCGGGCCCCCTCCTGGATGAACAAATCACACTGCAAAAGTCACAGATCCTAACGTGAGCTGCAGGCAGTGCACAATAAACACGCCAGCCAGGCCAGAGACTCAGCACCCAGTCCGGTAGAGTCTCCCAAGGCAGGCGCCTGAGGCTGGAGCTGGGGACACCAGACTGGGGCCTGACTTCTAAGGAGATGTGGATGGGCCTCTTCAGGACCGTCCTGTGTCTTTAAACGCTTTATCCAATGTACAGACAAGTGTTGACTCAATGTTTCCTGTCTGCAAACAGGAAGTGAGCAGCACCTGTCTGCAGTCTGCTGCCCTTGGTGGCTTCCTTGCTGTGGTAAACGTGCCCAGTGCCCTGAGCTCGTGGCACTGTGTGGGGAGGGAGGCTGATACTGTTCCTTATTTTAGATGTTTCTGGGGGTCTCAAAACACTAATTTTTCTGAGATTTAAAATCACCCAGAACATTTCATAAGAAAACACATCAATAATATTCTGGCGTATTTCTGTCTCTCAAAGGCATTTTAAAAAATAATTAAAATAACCTGGACCTATGTTTTGTATCAATTGTTTGTAGTATTCTATACGACTTACATTTATCTATCTTGTAGTTTCCTGTGACTGTGGTTATGACGGACAGCTGCAGAATATTCTGACAGACACACTGGTGTCCCTAACGGCTCCCCTGCAGCTGATGTCTGGTCTCTTTCATCTTTAAGTACAAATGACTCAACGAGCATCCTTATGTAATGCTCTGGCTCCTCTGCATTTTGAATTAGGGCTCTCCAAGTAGAATAAAGCACTCTATGGGGCAGTTTTAAAGCTCTTGATGAATGCAGGGGTGGCCGTCCACGGGGCTGTCAGCGTCCACAGCGGGTGACCAGCAAGGCCTCAGCACATAGCACTGCACATGCCATGCAGCAACCAGACAAATCAGGACAAGTCCATTCAGTCCGCCAGTCAGCACCTTTTGATGGTCAGACTTTGATTACTCTGCCTACTGAATGTTTTTCAAACCTTTCTCTTTTGTGAGCTATTTATCTTCCAGTTATCAAACTAGGTGTTTAAGATCCACACATCACCCTTTTCCTATCACATCTGCTACAAGCACTTTCAGTTGGGCACCTTTCAACTCTATATTCTCTTTTGGAGACTGCCATCAATAGCTCTGTTGATCCTTTTCCTTAGTGATTTTGTTTGCTTCTAGGCTTAAAAACATCTATGTTGATATTTAATTTTATTTTCTTCTGGTTTTTTCTTCAAAAAAAAGTAATTCAGTAATCCACTTGGAAAATGCTCTAGTATGCGGTAGGGGCTGGCAGGGGTTAGGAGCTCCCCACCTCTAACCACTTGTCCTGAATACAACCAGCTGGCCAGGCTGCTTCTACCGCACACAGTGGCCTTTTAGTCAGCAGCTTTAGACAAACCTTACCCTTTGTGAGAGGCTGTCTCCTTTCCTTCCTTTCTCTGAAATTTAAAAACACCTCCTACTCATTATTCCAGAGTCATTTTTATAAAGACTGTTTTTGAAAGATTCCATGGCGACTATCATGAGAGCTTTTAAAGATGTCTCTGGGTGGGCAGTTTGTCTGTGAAAACGCTATGCCCAGTACTCCCTGGCAACTGTCAGGCTCCTGTCAGCACCACAGCCCAGGGGCAGGGCTTCTTCTGCCACTGCTTCACAGGGAGACTCTGAGGCCGAGGCCAGTAAGTGGCAGTGACAAGTTAAGTCTGCCTGATTCTATACGCTGCTCTTAGCTGCTTTGCTGCTGTCTCCTCCTAATTAATCTAGAAAGAACGGCCAGGTTTATAACACTTAGGGCTTCCACTCACGAATACAGGATGGCCACAGCACGTCTGACAATGCGCAGTGTACTAGTTGTGCAATCCCTGATGCTCCTGCAGCCCTGCCCCCCCAGACTTTCTGATTGCCCTGGCAGCACAGGGTCTGAGGAGGAGGTCTGTATTCTAGCCCTCTGGGGTCTCATTCCTGACTAGGTCCCCGTGGTGCTATGCAACCCCAGCACCTGAAGCCAGAACCCCTTAGCACAGCCTTCGGTGCCCGTTCCCTACGCACTTCAACACACCAGCCAGCAGTTCCTTTTTATTCTAGAAAAGGACTTGTTTCAGCAGTGACCCTAGCCCTCCAATGCCCAGTCCCCGGCTCAGCTGCACCTCATCCTTGAGAGGTGGCTCCTTTCCTGGCCTCTACCCATGTCCTGCAGCTCAGTGCTCTAGTTCCCTGGCACTCAGACTAGTCTCTTCACCTTTTCTTGGGTAAGAACTTGATGGGAGCCATGGCCTGCCTCCATTACAAAAAGTGCAGGTTCACAGACTTGGAATCCCAGTTCAGGGCACAAAGGACCCCTTGGCACCGTGGCCACTACTCAGGCTCAGAACCTCTAAACCTGTCCTGCCAACGGGCTGGCTGCAGGGGCAGGGACTACACACACTGCAGAGAACAAACTGAAATTTCAACTCTTCAGCCCTCAAAGCCACCACGCAAGTGTTCAAGAGCCACCGGTGGCTAATGGTCCTCATGGGATGGTCAACCCCGTCACTGCACGGTGCTCACCCCACCCTATTGAGAATCAAGCTGACTTCCCTACAGGCACTCGGTCAGCCCTCATGGCCACAAATCCACGTTTAAGTGAAACGACATATAAAGACAGGACCTGGAGACCTCACGCAGATACGTGGATGTGCTTGGAGAGACGATACAAAGCCCTGACCTGAACTTCCTCAGGTAACGGCAGGGAGGGCTTCTCTCTTCAGTTTGCAGGCCTGGGTATGTTTGAATGTGTACATCTTACAACACCCCCGGCTCGCACATCTGTATGCTCGCCCACCTGGGCCAACAGCAGGGCTCTGCCTCCTCCTCCGCTGTGTGCCCGAACTGACGGAAACCCAGCCCATGAGCTCTGCCTGACCCCGGATGCTTACTTTCTCTGCAGTCCGGTTCCAGACCGTCACCGTGTGACCCATTTTCAGCAAATTGGAGACGATACCACTTCCCATGAGACCAAGGCCCAAAAATCCTATCCTGAAAGAGAGAGAGACTGGTCAGCACCAGGTGGGTGGGAGCGAGAGTGAGAAGGTGCCCTCCAGGCTGCAGAGCATCTGCTTCCTTGTAAAGCCAGGGTGACCTCAGCCTGCCAGAATCACTGTGCTGACCCCAGAATACAGAGCCAGAGGGGCTGTAGGCCGTGTGTGGCTTTTCTCATCAGGCGGGATTTTCATCACGGTTCTTTAAGCCAGCCTGTCTCCTGCAAGTCTGAACTCTACCAGATGAGCCACTGTGAGTAAGAATCACAGCACCCGCCCCTTTCCCAGCAATGGCTGGAACACCATCCTGAGAAAGTCCTCCAGCGGTCACCCCTCGGCCTGGCAGATGCAGAGTCATGGGAAGTCTTTTCTCCAAGGGGCCTACTTTTTGTCTGTAGGTGTGATGCTGCCATTCACCGCCGTGCTGTCTGCAGCTTGGATGGAGGTGGACCCGGTCTCCTAGGAAAAGGAAACACACACTGTCAGGCCGGTCTGCGCAGGTGAGGCCCCAGGGGAGAAGGAAGGAGAGACGTGGGGCGACGTACCTCTTCACATATCTTCAACTTCTTTGTGATGGCCTGGTAACAGACAGCTGGCTGGTAAAGAGCGAGAAGAAAGATGGTTTATCCAACGACCACTTCGCCTGTCATTCTAAGAAGGCCTGAAGCACCATGTTAACAGTGGAAACTCATTTGCTGTGGAGCTCCAATGACACCTGGGGAGCGAAAACACATCGCCCCCTCCCATTCCCTTCCCCACCGGGCAAGGTGCTTTTGTCGTGGATGACACAGAGAATCAGGCCTGCAGTTAGGCACCCAGCATCAAAGAGCTGAGCTGGTGGGTGGACCTGGGCTTGGAACGTGACTCCAAAGCCACATCCCACCATCCAACTGCCTGCAGGTGCTCAGGGAAACTTCCCTCCACATGCCGAGGGCTCATGCAGGGTCTTGACCAGTGAGCCTGAGAACAAATCCACCCGGCAGCATGGGCTGCCTCTGGGCCGCCAGGGCGTGAGATTCCACTTTTACTCTCAACTCTTGAGGCCAACCATAAACATCTCAACTACAGGGTAGCTGATTTTAAGCTTTTTCCTTGCTTTTTATAAAATCTTAACATCTGATTCCTGAGTTGGCCTCCGAGTGACCTCCTAACTAGCTGCTCTGGGAGTGGCACAGGTACAGCTTACCATTTCTGATGAGCAGGGCCCGGGCAACAGCCACCCCTCTCAAGCCAGCCCCTGACCAAGAATCAAGAACCTCAAGTAACAGCTCACCTTCTCTGTTTGGCTGAGCAGGAAGTGATGGAAATGAGGGTCTGCATCTTTAACAGGCTGAAACCAGAAAAGCAGCAATGAGTTACCTTTTTCCTCCAACCACTTCCTCCTGCCCGGTACGGACACCCCTCTGGGAACTGGTCCCGTTGACAGTGTCTAGGAACTCTTTCCCCTTGGGGGTCTAAGTCTTTTATAAATGACCCCTGCACCATCCAGAAGGGAAAATGGATGTTCCTGCCAACGAGTGTGTTAATCATTCCATCAGCGCTGTGGCATGCGTTAGCAAGGCCGGCTGTGGGTCTCAAGTCCAGCAGGTCACCCAGCGGCTGAGCCACAGCAGTTCTCAGGACTCCTTCAGTGCCTGCTCGTGCTGCAGAAGGACACTTCACAGCGGCAACTGGGGTGCTTTAGGCCTTCTTAGAATGCCAAGTGAAGTGGTCGTTGGATAAATGGTCAAGGGCTTCTCACCATCAGGCCCAGCCACGGGACAGAGTGGCTCCCAGCATCGAAGTTGGGAGCCAGACAACGAGAGTGCGCTTATAAAACACCAAGTGAAAAAAATGTGCTGAACAATCTCGCTTTTGTGAAAAATCAACCCTACTGCTTATAGCAATGCGCTAAGGGGGTGAACCGAAGGGTGGGAACAGTGACATCTAAGTCCACAAACAGCGCCGCAGGGCGGGGAGTCCTGCACTTTATACTTCTGCATTCTTTGTGATCAGAGGGAAAAAGAAAGCCTTGAACACAAGAAGAGGGGACGGGAACCAGCTCTCACCTCGCTCACAGTTGGCTGCCACTTGAAGGTGGCCATGGGGCCAGCCATCAGGCCCTTCACGGTGCTGGACTCGGGGATGGTGAGGTCCTGTGGAGGGAAGGGACTCTGTCAGGGCGCCATGCCCCCTCAGGAGCAGGTGTCTTCCAGCCCAAGCCAGGGAGCACGCCTACTGCATCGTGTCCCTGCCCACCCTGAACTAAGGCCGCGGCAGCCCAGGGTTTCGGTGCCTGTTCAAGCCCGAGTACCCAGGTCCGGTGCTGGTGACTGTCTATTGGGAGGATGGGGCCAATCCCGCCTGTCAGCACAGAGGGAGCCTTTCCTCTCCGTTCCTGAGTGATGCATTCTTTTGGCAGAGTTTCCTGAGGAGGGGCAGGAGGAAAGCCTGACCATGGGCAGCAGTGCTATCAGCGAGTCCCAGAGAGGATGCCTCACAGTGACTAGGAATGCGAGGAAACAGTGCTGCCTTCAGAATGGATCCACTACATCTCAAATAAACGAAGACAGCCACCTGGTGCCAATCTGTCCAACACTCACAGTTACTACGTGACCAAGGCAGAATTAGGCAGGGTGCCTGAGAGCCCAGAGCCCTGTTCTCTCCAGACTGATGGGGACAGCCTGGTCCGCAGGGCGCCTCCTGCTGTCCGCTGGCTGGCTGTCCCCGCCACACCCTCATTTTAGCTCAGGCTCCACTGCCCATCTTCTGGCTAGGGTGCCCCCCGCCCCCGCCATTCATGCCTGGAAATCTAATGTGAATCTGGACATGCCCATTGCACTCTTGACTCCCCGGCCCAAATGGGTTCCTCCATAGTCTGAGGTCAGAAAAGAGCAACTCACCCTCCCAGGCCAAGATTTGCGGCGCCCTTGATTCCACCCTCCTCTCTCCCCTAGGCCGCTGGTTATGGTCTTACATGTGGAAACCTGTGCAATCCCCTCTCACCTCCCCCCCATCCCCCAGCACCCAAACCACCATCGCTCATCAGTTGGACAAAAGGCATTTCCTGCTCCTCTGGGCCCTACTGCCAGAAGTCTGCACACGGCAGCCAGAACCACCTTTAAAAAGTTGAGTCAGAGCAGCACATCACTTCCCTGCCTAATCTGGTTTCCTCTCTCCCAGGAAACTAGACTTGTTCTCCTGCCCTATGGGGCCCTCCACGTTCTGCACGCCTCCCTCCCATGCCAGCCTCTGACCTCAAGGCCTGCTGCCTTCTCCCCCTTGGCCCCTGTCTTTGCTCTCCAAACACATGGAGCGTGCACCCCGGTGCCTTCACATCTCCGGGCAGCTCTCCTGCCAGCTCTTTACTTGGCTACATGCACTTGCTGGGTCCCAGAGCCAGGGTTTGTCCGGTCTCCCCTGCACCTTCCTGTCAAAAGGTGATGCTGATGATACTGTAACTGTAACAAGAGCTGGGAGCTTGCCAGGGGCGGCATCACTGTAAGTAGAGAATCCTCACCTCATGAAGCATAACTACTACCTCCATTTTACAGAGGAGAAACTGAGGCACAGTGAGTTTAAGCAGCCTGGCTTAAGGCCGCAGAGTTAATAATTACTGCCATGATGAAACGGAAAGCAAGGGAACTGGCCCTCCAGGGTCTCGGTTACTCTAAGTTCTATGAGAGCAAGAATGTTGCTAATTTTATTTACTGTGTCCCACGCTGGGAAGCGGGCCAGCTCCAAGGAGGAGCCATACTTATTGAAGAAACAGAGGAGACGGACCTGTATATTCTGAAGGCGGTTTTCTCTGGATCCCTGGCTCATGGTGAAGCTGCTCAAGCAGCAGCTGCTGAGTAGAGGTTTTGGGAATAAAGTGGCCAGGTGCAGCGCTGCCCAAAAAGCTTTCCATACTATGGACACGATTTATCTGTAGTCAGGTCACCAAGAAGCACCTGACGTGTGCTGCGTCCAGGCTGGTTCACAGGGTTGCCTGCAGCCAGGGCAGCGCATCTCTAGCGTCCCGTCTAAGGCCTTGAGGAGCGAGAACAGGCCTCTCCACAGGGCCCCTGGCTCTCTGCTCTGGCCTGGAGTTTTAGAAGACCCGCAGGACTGACAGCAGTGCTGTGTGTCCAGAGACGCACTTCTTGGGTCAGAACTTGGAAAGAAGAGAAGGGGAGAGAAGGGGAGAGTGTGCCTCTGTGTGGCTCATAAGAGTAGGTCCCGGGCTGCCCTTACCGCCAGGGTAGCCCTTCCCTAAGCCTCACGGGACAGGGGATGATGGCCCCGCAGAATAGTCACCTGGGGTTCTGCCACCGACCCACCTCGGCTACTGCTGTGTCAGAGAGGTGCGCCACAGGACAGTCACAGAAGCAGCCCTGACTAGACGCAGGCTCAGGTCAGCAGAGGCCCTGCACCCCAGCTCAGGCAGACCCCCTCCGGCAGCCTGAATTGAATGGCTGTCTGCCCTGGGCTAGGAGCCAGTGGTGCTGCGCACATAGCAACTTCCTCTCCTGACGAATCCTCCCCAAGTCAAGCAGAGACGGTGCAGAAAGGGCCCAGGGGGCAGGGGCAGGAGGACAGCTGGCTGGGAACAGAAGTGTTACTCCCCACCAGTGAGTCCTGCAGATGTGTGAGCACTTTCCACTGGGGCCTGGAGAAGAGTCCCTAGCGGGCCCAGTGACCTCTAGGCTTGCCCCACGGACCCTATGGCTTTCACTGCACAGCAGCCACCAAGGGAAAGTCACAAATGGGTGACATTTGTGATGCACCCGCGACATGGGCCTTTTGGGATGCGCTTTGCTCATATCACTCTCTCCGTTCTCACCACTAGCCTAACGGGCCGTGTCAGTATTGCTCCCCACGATCAGATGCGAACTGAGCAGTGGGGGCCGGCTGAGGCCACGCAGCTACAGCGTGATGGAGCCAGACTCCAGCTGCAGTGCCTCACCTCTACTCTGTGCGTCCCCTCTCCAAGGCGGACACGGGCATGGGCAAGACACACAGCCGAGATGCCAGATCACATGAATCTAGAGAATACTATGGGCCCTGGCAGCATCTGGAGCCCCAGGAAACCCTCCCATTGGCTCACTGTGCTCACCCTCCTTAAGCTCTGTGTGCGGCCGCTGGTAGTTCCTGTAAACCTGCCACCTCTGGCTGGCATTGCCCACACTTGTGGTCCCCACCACTACCGGCACTGGCACCGGCATGCTCAGTCTCTGTCACAGACCGTGAGAAGGACCCGCTGACGCAGAGCTTGCACAATGGCGGCCCACAGGCTTGGTCAACCCAAGACATTCCTTTGGGCCTGAAAGTGTTTTAAAAAATTTGGGTTAGCATCTAACATTTCAAACTGGAACACGTCAGATAAAGATCTGTGTTCCCAACTTCCCTTGAGAAAAACCAGAGGCTCCACAGCACTGGCTGGTGTCCCATGGAGGCGCACAGCCCGCGAGGCTTGCAGCTCCAGCACGGACATGGGCCAGCCGGCTCCCTGCTCGCGCTTTTACATTCGGACGCCAGCAGGACTGGTAATGGCAGGGAGTGGAGCCGACTCTGATGCTTCTATTACTGGTGGGTCTCACTGGTGTCAGAATTTGCAAGCCTGGATCTGCTGTCTAGTGTCTCACCAGGCCTCACCCCCTAGTTGTCTCTGCAGCATCTGGCCCCTCTCCCGCTGATCCTGCTCTGACCACCTCCCTGTGTCCTGCCAGATGACCCTCCTCATCACCAACTGTCCTCTCTTGGCTTCTGAGACTTGTCCTAAATCTTCTCAGGAAGGTGAGAGTTCCGTTATTTCTGCTTCATTCCATTTTGCTGGCTCTTGACTCCTCTTTAAAGCCAACTGCCCTTTGTTCTTCTCCCCCTGACTTCATCCTGAGGCAAACCCTACCCCCCCAGTCTCATCGATGCAACACCATGCTATATTTGCACACCCCACATCTTCATTTCACAATGTGCATTTCTCTCTCAGCCCTCTGGGCTGTCTGGGCATCCCCCCAACTTCATCACACTCAAAATGGAACTGGTCATCTCCTGACTCCTCTGCTCTTAAAAAGAGCGTCACCATTTCCCAAAGGTGAGCCAGAAATCACCTGCTTTTCCCTTTTCTTATTCAGTCCCTACGTGATGGGCTGCCCTCCTGGGAGTGCCTCTCACAGTCCTCTCAGCACGCGGCGCTGCGCCCTCAGTGGCGCGCCAGAGGAGCGCACACTGAGGTTCACCCGCAGCGGAGGAATGGTCACTCACACAGCTAGAAGCACACCGCTGTCTACCTTGAGACCCTGCTGAAGCACCTTCAGGCCTCCCCACTGATGCCATGAGGTGCCACACTCTGTAAGAGGGACCTCAAGACTCTCCAAATCCAGTGACAATCTGCTTTTATTGCTCCTCCCTGCCCTGAGGACAGCCGTGCCAACATCAAGCCCACGTGGGCTGGGCCCCCATCTCTGGAGCGCCTTCCTACTTTCTGGCTGAGCCCTGGCTCGCTGGCTCGGGTGTGTTCTTCTGCCTCAACCACCTAGCTGACGTACCGTCCTGGGCTGACCGTGCGTGGCGCTATGTCACCCACGCACCTGGCTGTGTCCCCCGGTCTGCAGGATTCCTAGGGCGGCACTTAGCACAGGCGCTATCCACTCAGTGAGCGGAAGCATCTTGGAGAGCTCGGTCTGCCACGTGCACGAGGAGGTCCTATCCCAGGGCCGCAGAGATCAAACAAACCTTCTCATCCTTTGGGGGCCGACCCCGCTTGCGGGGACTTTGCTCTTGGGCTCTTTTCAGAGGGGACTTGGAGCCTCTCTCTGAGGAGCCTGAAGACACCCGCTTCTTCCCTTCTCCCATGCTCTTCTTCACCTTCCCTTCAGACAGGCTGAGCTTGCGCTTCTCCTCGCCTGAGTTGGGCCTACTTCTCTCCTCACTGGAATTACGCCGATTCTTGTCATCAGCAGAACTGTGGGACGAGGTCTGAAAGTTCAACAATAACAGTGATAACCACCACGAGGCCGCGGCGCTATGAGCCACGCCCTGGGGCCAGCACATCTCATGCATCATCCACGCGACAACCCTGTGAAACAGGCTCTGTGGTCACCTCACTTACATTTGGGGGAGCAGAGGGGGAAAAATCGAATTACTTGCCCACAGTCCCAAAGCTAAGAAGTGGGATTTACACCCAGATGGTGACTGTCTCCCTGAGGCCGTGCTCCTAATCTCGTGGAATGAAAAGGAGAAACGCCTGTGCTATGGACTCCAAAGCTGCGCTGCTTCTCCTGGGCCCAGGCAACTGTCCTAAGAGCAACCGTCTACTCCAGAAAGCTCAGCTGCATGCATGGAGTTTCAAGCTGACTGTGCAACACTGATACTTTAGAAGCGAAGTGGCGCTCTCTCCACCGGCATTTCATTAGAACAGAGCTCCGGGTCGGGGAGACACTTAATCTGTTAGTTACCAGGCAAACCTCGCGGTCTGGCACCAGCATAAAGGGAGACGCGGGGGCCCCTCACCTGGTCTTTCCCTTTGGCTCTCCTCAGGAACTCTTCCACAGCATCCACCGCTTGCTGGAATCGCTTACCCTTGTTAATCTTGATCATCTCCTCTTTATGTGCGTGGTACGGCTTCAGCTGCTCCACCTTGATCCAGGCACTAGCAGGAAACACACAGAAGGGCATGAACCGCACCGCACAAGCCAGTGCCTCACAGACCCCACCAGAGCAGAAGCACTCCCTCACTTGGTTGATCAGGACTTTCCAACAGACCTGCCATTTTTTTAAAACTGGCTATCATCACCTGGAAGGTACTCGTGGATCCCAGGGAATCGGGGCACCAGAGGCACCTGCAGCCACAGCAGCCTCGCTGCCAGACTGACAACCTGTCAATCAACTGGGAAGCAGGGATTCTAAGAGGGCTAAGAAATTCTGGGAAGTGCAACATGGTCTACCCTCTACTGTTGTCATAGCTATCTGCAGCCAGGAGCCTGTATTTGTTCATGAATGATTGTATCCATGGCCACTAAGCCACACAGGACATGTGACGGTGGTTTGGAATGAGGGTACAGTCACAAAGGAGGTCTTTAGATCAAGACTGCTTGGGATTAAAAGTAGAACACTCTTTCAATATTTAATTTTTAATTCCTACCCTCCATGTGTAACATATGAAAGTGAATAAAGTCACCGGTTGTCAATTCTGAACTATCTGGCTTACTGTACTAACCTGAACCAATCTGCCCCAGCTGACTTTCTGCGGTTTCCCTAAATGACATTTCCGTTTACAGAATCCCAGTTTAAAGGATAGAATTTTATAGGCCTGGCAAGGTAATGATTTATACGTTTTACCCTGTAATACTCACAGCTTTCATAGTATAACCTTCAGAAAAAGTGGGTCAGGTTAAGAATAAAGAAACTGGGCTATCACACTAATTTAGGGTTCGCTTCTTTACAGAAAGCTCGAGAACAGTCACTAATAATAGAAGAAGTGCTAGCCTCTGTAAGGAAGAGGAATGCTGCCAATTCACCAGCAGCCACCTGTGCTCAGACTGTTGTGACAATGGCTGTGACGGTGGGTCTGCACGAACCCCACCGTGCACAGAGGCAGACGGCACCCCAGGATGAGACAGGTTCCCTACGACTAAACAGAACCAGAGAGAACAGAAGACGTGTGGGCCCAGGACGCGGGCAGGCAGAGCCCTTCCTAGCTACCGATTGGCTCATCTTCAGGTTGCGCGTTCCTAAGGACAGACTAGAGCAACCAGCAGCCAAGTCAGATGTGGCCGAAGCAAGCGAAGCTGTCACACTGGCGCTGCTGAGGTAATATCAAAGTGGACCCCTGATTTCTGTCAGAGGGAAAGCAGAACAGGCAAAATTCCAGTCATCCTGGAGACTAGCATTTGAGATATCAAAACGAAATATTCCTCCTCGGGACTATCTTTGAAAAGTGAACTGACAGTATAACTATGACTTCACCGCAGAAACGTTAATCTACTTAAGAGCTGAACCTATTGTTGGAGAAGCATCCTGTCACATCAGAAGAACAGTAAATAAAAAGCAGCCTGCCCGAGCCCTAGAGGATTACCTCTTGAAAGCAAGACAAACCAAAGTCGCTTTGGCCATCTGACTGGAATTTTCTCTCAAGGCTGTACTACAAACCCGTCTCCTTAAAGAGCGCAAGCTTTGCAGCCAGGGCATCAATAATGCATCACTCTCCAACTCACAGGGCCCGTCAGCCAGGCCTGGCATGTTACTGGCGCTCAATAAATAATCACTGAGTAAACAATGCCTTCCAGGCCTGAGTGGGGCTGGTGCACTTGTCTCTGGCTTTAACAGAGCTAAAACCCTCTGCTGTGCGGTTTTAGTCCTTTCTTTGATGCTTGTTGTTTCATGCTTTTTAAGGAACTGTTCTGCTCCTTGCCTTCATGGAAGATGTAACTTGTGATTTACCTTATACAATCCTCCCAACGTATTGACCGACCTGTGCCTTTTAACCACCCCATCTGCCGTGGATTGAGAAGTTACACAAATTAAGCTTAGTCAACTTGCATCAACAGTACCAGGCTTTGCATTTCTGGGCAAAGATGCTAATTACACAGCTTGTAGAAGCGAACGCCCCAAAAAACCAGACTGGCAGCGGCGAAGTCATTACACAAAATGAAACGGAAGGTCTCTGACCTCAGTTGGCTGAGTGGGAAAAGCAGAAGGCAGAGCGTGTGCAGTTGGCTGCCGTCTGTGTGAAAACAGGAGAAAGGAGCCCATAACTTCCCCAGCGCACCTTGTAGCTGGAGGGTGTGGCCTTCCAGAGAAACCAGAATAACTGGACGCCCAAGGCCAGAGCCAGCAGCTGAGGGACAGGGGAACAGTTTCACAGTTTACTGCTTGATCTTGGAGGAAACTACAAACATGCATTTTTCTTAAAACCAACCAAGCAACCAAGACCAAATCGACAGTCAAGGCCTCCGCTGCAGGACACGGGCTGCTGATGCCAGGCAGCCCTGCCTCTGGCCGACGTACCTGGTGCTCCTCCGCACACCGGCCGCAAAGCCTCACTTGCCAATAACACCGCCACCAAGCCCCCTCCATCACACGCCCCACTCAGAATGAAGTAAAAAAACCACATTTTCAAAGATTTCCAAAATTTAGACTGTTTGTCCCTAAATTAAAACCACCCCGTGACGACGGCGTAAGAATAACCCCAGTCTGGGTCGCATCTCTAACACTCTCATGTGTGCCTCAGGCTCTGCAGACACCATGACCTGGGCACAAGGTGGGGGAGCGCGGAAACACAGAGAGCATGGTCCAAAGGGAAGAACAAGGACAGAGCCGGACATGGGTTCACCTCTCCGCCTGGATTTGGTGAGCAGCACCTAGTAAGTCACCCCCCCCCCCCCCACCTAAGAGGCTGAAGCATTGCAGGTCCTAGACTTGGATCTATTCAGAAATCAAAAAACACAAACCAAAAAACAAGACCACCCAAAGTCACAAAGAAAATAACTTCTTGGTTGATTTCAAGCAAGGATGTTCATGCAGACCTCAGATATGAATGATTTAGATTTTTCCTCAGAATTTGGAAATGCTCCCCAACGTTGGGTGAGGCTTTCAACCCACACTGCCTGTGCCAACACACCAGCTTCTACCATTCGGGGCACCAGCCTGGAGCCCACTGCCCAGCCAGTCTCATCTGCAGGACAGGAGCTACTGTGGGTGCTGAGGGGAGCTGCCTCCTCGAGGACAGCTCCTGTCAGTCCTGGCAGAGGGCTGAAGCTCAGCCGCACACCAGGGCAGGGTGCTCTACTATCCTCCCGGCTCCCTTCTCCAACCACTGCCTGGGTCCAACTAGGGGAAGTGGGATATTCAGGTGTCAAAATGAAAAAGGGGTGCTCGGATGGTTTCAACCCGCCATGTTTCTAATTATGAGCCACAGACTTCTCTAGAAGAGCCGCTTTAGTACTCAGACACCTCACAGCCAGTCTGTCCCACCTTATAGCTGGAGAGTACCTCAGCGAGGATCCTGGATACCTTATCACTTAGCTCCTTAAGTCTCCTGCCTCTGTTTCTCAATATGTTCAAAGATAAAACCAGAACTACCCTCTCCATCGCCTGAGAGATCTGTGAGGAGTCCTGGTGTGAAGCCAGCTACAGAAGCTCTTGGGTGGCCTTCCGGGGCCTACTGTGCTCTGAACTGGGGTGCTCACCCATTGTGCTCTCTGAAATGGGGTGCTCTGGGTGGTTTCGAGCATGTGCAAAGTTAGCCTCTGCCCTGCTATCCATGGCCTCTGACCAGACCTTTCGGCCCCGAGCGTGGTCCCTGCTGATGAGGACTGAAAATCGCCGTCACCCTAAGAGGTGCCAAGACCATATGCCCCTCTCCCTGGCATCAATCCCTGAGTGTGAGGAAGAGCCCCATTTCCTTGCAGCCATCTATGGCCCTGCCTTCACAAAGGAGCTCTCACCCTGAGAGTCCCCGGCATCTCCTGCCAGGAGCAGCCCTGCGTGTTTCGTGCAGCACTCCTCCTGGAAGCCACCGCCTCGGCGCAGCGGGAACGGGCCATTCATTACTTCAGTAACTCTGACTGCTCTTTTCAGTCTGCTTTCTCACAGGGCCCGACTCCTCCGGCTCTGTCCCCTCCTGCTCTGGACTAGCCCCATCAGGTCCCTTTGGGAAGATGGACCAGAGGCCGTGCTTCTGGTGAGGCCTGGTGTACTTTTTTTTTACTTATAGATTTACTTTATTTATTTATGCATACAAGAACTGAGGTGTAAGCCAGAGGTGTGTGCGAGGGGTGATAGTGCTGAGACTTAACCCCTGCACCACCAGGGAGGCACTACAACACTGTTTAAATGCTAAATCACTGTAGGACTAATGTTGTCTTTCTGTGTCTAGGCAGTTGACAGAGTGAAAAGCAAACAGGGTAAGGATCCAACGCCTTCTCTCAAGAAAGGTGGTTATGAGTGGTAAGTCTTTTTGACTTTTTTTTTTAAAAGATTTATTTATTTATTTATACAAGCACTGGGTACAGTCAGAAGCGTGGGAGGGTGAGAGAATTCACCAGAGCCACAGCGGGTAACAGAACAGGCAGACTGACGAGATACACTGCTGAGGGGAGCAGTGGGCGGCAGGAGAGGTCTGCGCACCATGTGGGACCCTCATCCGGCGGCCGGGGATTGAACCGGTGCTGCAGATGCTGCGGGCAACTTCGCAACCCAGCACTCAATCGCTGTGCCACCAGGGAGGCCCATGAGTGGTAAGTCGTAAGGCAAATTTTATTTAGCATTTTGATAATATCTAAAGGTGAAATCTCCAGATTGCTGGGTAGTTGCAAGCAATGGGGAAAGGGCTGTGGATTTGTTACCAGCCTAACAGTTCTGTTTGCTCTGTGAGGCAGACAAGTTGTTCACCTCTCTAAGCCTCTGTATCCTGGTCTGCATGTAGAGCTAATCCTCCTTCCTCCCTCGAGGTTAGGAAGAAGTAGCATCACTTAGGTACAGTGTGGGAACATCAGGTCAGGCTATACTAGTCTGTCCCAAGAGAGAAAAGCTGATGGCTTTAAGTAAGGGAACTGTGGGTGAGACAGATAAAAACTCTGGCAGTGGGAGAGCTGGAGATGCAGAAAGACCTCAGCCAAGGTGCTCATTTGACCAAAAATACTTTGAATGCAAACAAAACATTGTCCACTTTGTAAAAAGTATACCTTTTTACAGGCACCAGGGGGCCTCCCTAATGGCACTATCTCCAGCCACTGAAGCATGAGTTCGATCCCCACCCAGGGAGCTGACCCACATGGTGCAGCAGCCCTCTCCTGTCTTGCCAGCTGCTCCCCTCAGCAATGAGTTTCAGTGGATCTGCCTGTTCTGCTCCTGACGCTGTCTCTGGTGAATCCTTTCACCCCCTGCACCTCTGGCTTACACCCCAGTTCTTTTATGCATTAATAAGTCTTAAAAAACAAACAACTTTCTATGTGGAATTCTTAAAAAGAATATATCCGGTAGTTGTCTGTATATCCTTCCTTATGAATTTCCTTAAAGAACTTTAGGTAGTAACCACACCACCACCACAGAGTTATTTTTCAGTAAATGCATCCTTTTCACTGGCTTCACCTATTTGCCTGACAAGAAAATTTACTCAGCTCCACTTTTCAGCGTCCTATCTGTAACATCTGTACACAGGACAACAGTTTATTCTTCTAGCTACTCCTTTTTATTATAAGAACACAACGCTTTCAGGCACCCAGTAATTTTACTTAAGTCCCCACTTCCTGAGAATCCCCACTTTTGTTTCAGACATCTGCACTTCTTCATGAAGTTTGGGGCAATCGACACCGTGACCTGTCATTCCCAGGTGCACTGTTCGGCCCAGGCAGGGGAGCCCTTCAGTGCCCACCCACCCAACTCAATGCTCAGTTGTTCTCAGTCTCCCCACTGCCTGGAATGCCCTACCCATTCCTGCCTATCCAGATCCTCTGCCTCCTCCAGAGTTAGATTCAAGTCCCAGCTTTTCCAGCAGCCCTTTTACACTCAGTTGTTCTCCACGGACCTCTCCTTGTTCAAGAACCCTTTGATAATGACCTATTATCGCTCATTCTGTGCTTCATCCTATCTGAATTGTTTGTCTTATCACCTGAGTTCCTGGAAGGTGGGGACCACAACACGTGCATTCCTGAAAATTCCTTCTGGTGTCCAGCAATTCCCTTGACTGAATGACTGTCACCTGTTTTATGTATCAAAACAATTTGGTAGAAATTTGTACCATTACCAGAACATTTTCTCTTCCAGAGCGTTTCTAGTTCTCACAGTTCTGGGCCCATTAGGCCCTTGAAAAGGGCCATCAAAAGGCTGCTCAGTGGGGCTGTGATGGAGAAGTGGGACTGCTGTGCCATGCAGACGCTGAGCCAGGCTGAACATTCTGGCATAGTGACTATCTCCCTCCCCAGCAAGTGAAAAACTGTTTAGAGATTTTCCTATAGAATAACATGTATTGCTTTGTAGGAACATAATCTGTAACTGTTGATATTAGATTAGAAAAGTCACAGACATTTTTCAAACTCAAAGCTCTACTTTCTGGGAAGAATCATAACTAAAAATACAATTACTTTAACAAATTAAAGCATGTCGCCAGTCTGAGGTAATCGAGCTGATAGTGACAAAAATGTTAAATCACCAGAAGCTCAAGGAAGTACACATTCCTTCACTGTGACCTCTCACATGGCCTATCAAAGAACTTCAACCCTAGAACAGGTCTGACTCATTATTACTACAATGTTAGAGGAAGTCATTCAGTTTTACACAGAAGTGTGGAATCACACAGCTACTTCTATTAAGGTAAGTAAGATTCTAGTTCTCACTGTACACCTCATGCACGAGCCACAAAGATAAACGTCATTAAGAGAAAACCAACCTGGCCCTTACAGCTTCGAGGTCGTGAAGCCTAGTTCTACCCTACCTGGCATTGCTATTGGCCCCAGGACAGCTGTCCAGGACAATTTTTGCAAACAGGAATAACTATTTAGCTAAATAAAATAAACCGTTCATTTAGCCATAAAGTCAGCATGATGTGCCATTCTTACTGACCATAGTAAGTCTGAACTGGGGTCCCCAGAATATTCTCAAGGCAGCTCAGATCCACCGTTAACATCCAAACAAAGGGAAAGAGAAACTCATGGCGAGCACTACTCACTGATCTTCTGTTCCAAAAAACTTCACAAAGAAGCATTTCTTTCCACGTGGTTTCTTCAAGTCCTTGGGTGGATTAACAATCTAGAGGATAAGAGGGAAAAAAAGGTTTTTTTCCCCCAGAGCTTTAAAAGTATTTTAAAAAAATTAAAAGGACTATCTTAAAAAACAAAAACAAACCCAACCAGGGCCTAATATGTCTAAATCTGGTACCTTTCAACCAATACGCGTGCAAGTGAGCCTGGGTTTTAGAAGTTCCCTACATAACATACAGCACAGCATTCAGTAGATACACTACCCCTTTTACTACAACTGACCTGGTTTAAAAGCAGTTAAAATTTACATGAACATCAGTACCCCCATGTGACCCTCTTGCCACTGAAGAAATGTTGAGGACATTCTTAAAAATACTTCTGCACAGGAAGAGTTGAGATAGGTAACAGTAAGAACTGAGGCACTGAACATGCCACATTGCAGAGACAACCTAAAGACACTTCCTGGGCTTGTAGCAGTATAAAAACAGAACATTTGGAAAGCTCTGACGGATCATCTCATGCAAAGTCTGGAATGCCAACTCCCGCAAAGATGCCCTGGTGCAGCACATATGGTAACGTGGAAAGAAGATTTAAACTTAGTTGGGACAAAAATACTTCTGACTTTTCACTAACCTACATTTAGACTTCGCTCTTCCTGGAGATTGTCCCCCCCCCTCTTTTGTTAGATTTAAATGTAAAGCTAAATTCAAGTTGGAATTGATTTCCAGGGTTAAAAAACTTATGTCATCTCTGTTTCAAGAAATAAGCAGGTAGGGCCAATTAAATGACCTGGTTTGTCTTATACTGCCTTTGCTAAACGAATTGATGCTACAGGAAAAAAGAATTCCAAGTGCTATTTAAATAGGCCTATTTTAACTCTATGCTACCAAATGAGGGAAATGCATCTTACATTCTCCATCTCCTCAAACCCAAGTTCCAGAGTCTTACTTTAGCACCAAAACACTCACCTTTCCTGGCCAAGGAGGATACCTGCCGAGTTTCCCCCTAGAGAAAACACAGAGAGTCAGCATTTGCCTGACCCATTCAACAAGCAATTTATTCTCCAAAATCCCCGCCTGCACCATCAGGTGCCAGAACAAAAGCAACCGGGAGCTCTTAATCTAGCTTCCACAGCTGGGCCAAGAAGCCCCAAACCCCTCAGAAATGGAATGAAAAATTGCATGGGTATGTGCATTTTTTTTTTTTTAAAAGATTTATTTATTTATTTATACAAGCACTGGGTACAGTCAGAAGCGCAGGAGGGTGAGAGAATTCACCAGAGCCAGAGCAGGGAGCAGAGGGACCGAAGTACACTGCTGAGGGGAGCAGCGGGCGGCAGGAGAGGTCTGCGCGCCATGTGGGACCCTCCTCCAGTGGCCGGGGAGCAGCCGGGGATCGAACTGGCGCTGCAGAGGCTGCGGGCAGCTTTGCAACCCAGCGCTCAACCGCTGCGCCACCGGGGAGGCCCGGGTATGTGCATTTCTCTAGAGACGGAGAACAACAGAAAAAAACTACCCAGAGGCACTTGTCTACAGCCTCCTCGGGAGGGGAGCAAAGGGGCTGTTTGCTCTGCAAACACAGACTTCCCTTTACAAAGTCTGTTTTAGTTCATGGCGAGACCAGCCCGGCTTTGACAAGTGCTAATGGAAGCCTTCCTCTGGGTCGAGAAAGGAGCTGCGCAGTTCCTGGGCGGCGGCGACAGGCTTGGTTCGGACGGTTGTCTGGGACACAGAAGCAGACCACGAGAGGCACCCCAGAAGGCACTGGTCACTGCCGAGCCTTCGGCTGCAAAGGAGAAGTGCCCCCGCATGTCTTCACCGGGCAGCGCCGGCGCTCCGGTTTCGACATCCCGGCGGAGTCGCCCGCCCGGATCTGCTTCATCGCGACGCGGGGTTTGACGGGCTCGCCGGGGCGAAACGGCCCCGCGGGCTTCCCCGCCTTCCAGGGAGCCCCAGCCAGACCCCGAGCCGCGGATCCGGCGTCCGCGGGAGGCTCGCAGCACCCGCGCCCGCCTCACGAGGGCCGCCGGCGTGCGCGTCCGGGGCGCAGCCCTCCGCGGGGCGGCCTCGGGGCTCGGAGTCGGGCCCGCGGCGGCCACCCTCGGCCTCGGTCCCCCGGGGCCGGGCTGCCCCTTCCGCCCGGCGGCGCGCCCGGCGCCGGCGCCAGTCTCGCCCTCTCCCCACAGCCTGGAGCGCGCAGAGAGGCGGCTCCGGGGCCGCCCGCGCCCCAGCGCCCAGGGAGCAGCAACTCGGCGCGACGCGCTCGGCCCCGGCCGCCCGGACTCACCACACCAAGTCGCCGAGCCGCAGACTCACAGCCGCCATCTTACCACCCAACCACCGCCGACGCACGGGCCGCCGGGAACCTCAGGTCGCCCCGGCGCCGCCCATTGGAGTGAGCCGGGTCACGTGACGAGGGCCCGCTGTCACCGGCCACGCCGCTGCGCTGACGTCACCGCGTCCGCCAGGGCTGATTGGCTGGCCCCGCGGCACGTGACCCGGGCGCCACGGTCGCCGCGCGCCCGGCCCGAGCCTCCCGGCTCCTTCCCCCTCCCTCCGGCTGGTGACGACGAAGCGCCCGCGGGCTGAGGCGGCGGCGGCGACGGTGCGACCGGCCGAGCGCGCGAGGAGCCGTCCCTGCGCCCCGCCCCGCCCCCGGGCCTGCGCTCCGGCCCCTGCGCGCCCGGCGCTTCCGTGGCTGCCGTCGCGCCCGCGCGGGCCGGGGCCGCCGCGCCGGAGCTGCCCCGCCGGCCCTCGGCGCGGCCTGGAAGCCCGCCGCGCCGCGCCCGGGGCGCTCCCCTAACGGCCGGCGCCGCGTCCGCGCGCGCGCTCGCCCGGGGCGCCTGGGCCGCCCGCCCCGGGGCCCCGGGGGCCCGGCCGGCGTGGAGTCGGCGCGGGGCCGCTTCCCCCGGGGCCGGCGCGCGGAGGCGCCGCGGGCGAGCCTCCCCGGGCGGCGGGGACCCGGCCATGGGCCGCGGCGCGGGCCGGCCGCCCGCCGGGAGGCAGGGCGCGGGGGCCGGCCGCTAGGCGCCGCCGCCCGGGCTCCGGGCCGGCATGAGGACGGCCGCGGGGCACGAGTGCGGCCCGCGGGGCTCTCGCCTGCGTCGCGCCGGGGACAAAGGTGCGTGTCTTTGTCGGGGGGGCGGCCGCGCGCGCCGGGCCGGAGTTTGACACTTCGGGAGAAGTTGCGAGCGGCGTCGGGCCGCCGGCCGGAGCCCCGCGTGGGTGCCGCGCTCGCGCCGGGCCCGCGGCTGGTGCCCCGCGCGGCCCCCCGGCCCCGGCCCCGCGCACCCGCGGCCCCCGCGCCCGGGCCGGGCCGGGCCGCGCTCGCTGCTCGCGGGACGCTTCGTGGCGCCGGGACTTCGTAAACCGAAGGGTTTTCGGCGAACCGGGGTGCCTGCAACTCGGCTTCTCCTGAGCGTTCGCCTTCCCTCAGGCGTCCTCGGCGGGGCTCGGGAGCTGTCATCGGCCGTCGCGCGGTGGCAGACACGCCGGTCCGCGGAAGCGTGTTTTAAATTCCCGGAAATCAGTTCTTAGCGATCAACACAAGTTCCTAATTTCAAGACTCTTGGCTTTTGAGGCCTTGATAAGCTGCGGGAGTCCTCAGTCACTGTCCACCGAACTTAGAGGCATCCCCCTGCTAGACCCGGAACCCCGCAGAGAATGTGCTGCCTGGTTCTGCGAGTTCTCGCCAATGCAATACGACATGACACAAAAATCAGAAACATGGTTTTTCAGGAGGCTGAAGACAGAATTCTTTTTCTGTGGATGATAGAGTAGCCTGTTTTGCGAAAAGAAAAAGGTTAGAGGAAATGCATTAAAATAGGTAAAAGTTCAGTTAAGAGACTAATTACAGAATTCAGTTTTTTTAGCTTGAAAATATAACGGTGGGGAGGATGTATAGCAAAATGCACAGTTCTTGGGAATAACCCGAAAAACAAAAGGAGGCTAGCTTATCTTGATTAACACCAGTTGACTTTTTTTTTTAAGAGGAATGTTTTTGTGTGTAATGTTCAGATCATTAAAGCTGAGTATTTAATTAGCTTTTTTTAAGTTTTACAAATTTGGTTTTATTTACAAACCTGGTTTATATAAACCATTCATTTTGATTTTTGGCATCAGTTTAGCCGATTAAATTCCCCTTAACAATGAACTCTTTTTAAACCAAGTTAAATTTTCTAAGTATTTTAAATTGTGTTTAAAGTTTTATTTGCTTATTCGTTCAAATAGTCACACTTTGAAAACTGCTTATAAATCTAATAGTAGAGTCTTTCCAAGGGTTTAACTCTTATCAAGCTAATAAACATGTAAATGTAAGTCAGTTTCTTTTGTAGGCACACTGTCAAATTTAGGTATATTTTCTTAAACATTTCAAAAAAAATTGTAAGGCTAGCATTCATTAGTATGTCTGATTCTCTTAATATTTCGTAGGATTAACTGGCAACAGTAATTATTACTCTCATTATAAAATGCAACCTAAAGTCTAGCTTCTAAGTGTTAACATGCTATAGGTTTGATTTACTTTATCCTCCACTCTTATTTATATAACTACTAAGGCCTGCAAAGTCACACAACTAAATTTTGGACTAAAAGAAGGCTCTATTTTAAAAATCACTGCCAGAACTATGGTAGGGACCTGGTTGTCACTTCCAGGATCACCTCCCTGCATTCTACTGGTTAATTTGCATGTAGTCTCTGCAAATTGTACTGAGACTTTGCCTGCTCGTAACAGTGGGGGACCTTTAAATCCTGCAGCTTTTAGCTGGGATTTATTTTCACAAGCTAGTACATCACAAATGTCCTGGGGATCTTGAAAGTTTTTTCTAGGGGAATTTCTTTCAGTGTCTTAGTGTATGCTGGTCTTTTGCCCCATCACCTGTTTTGCTGCCAGTCACTTTGCTGCTAATTGGAATGATTCTAACTTCATTTTTCAGACATCTTATTTCCTCATTGCTACCTTTTTTAAAAGATTTGTTTATTTATACAAGCGCTGGGTACAGTCAGAAGCGTGGGAGGGTGAGAGAATTCACCAGAGCCAGAGTGGGGAACAGAACAGGCAGACTGATGAAATACACTGCTGAGGGGAGCAGCGGGCGGCAGGAGAGGTCTGCGTGCCATGTGGGACCCTCGCCTGGTGGCCGGGCATAGAACCAGTGCTGCAGAGGCTTGCAGGCAGCTTTGCAGCCCAGCGCTCAACCGCTGCGCCACAGGGGAGGCCCCTCCTCATTGCTTCTTAAAAATCACAAATTTATGGCCACAATAGAATGGCAGTTGCATATATACAAATATATACCCCATATATGAATATATGTGATATATGTAAACTTTCTGAATTCATTCCTATTTATGATTTATTTATAATCAAAAAGCAGTGAGCTTATTTGGGAACTTGTCAAAATGGGTCAAAATTGATCTCAAATAATGAATAGGCTAGAAGAATAATAAAGATGAACTTTTACTTCGAGTTATTAAAATATTCAAATTTTCAAAACAGTGCATTACTGATTAAAGAATCTCTCGGTTAACATGACAGAATGGATTTCAGAAATTGACCTTAAGATGTTTAAGATGGTACTTTATGATATATGCTAAGTCAACAGGAGAAAGGAGGAGGATTATTGGTGTGAGGAAGAAACAAAGGGCCTCACCTCTCACCATCCAGCAATAAATTCCACTTGCTTTAAAAAGTTCAATGTGTTGGGCCTCCCCGATGGCGCAGCGGTTGAGCGCTGGGTTGCGAAGCTGCCTGCAGCCTCTGCAGTGCCGGTTCGATCCCCGGCTGCTCCCCCGCCACCGGAGGAGGGTCCCACATGGTGCGCAGACCTCTCCTGCCGCCCGCTGCTCCCCTCAGCTGTGTACTTCGGTCCTTCTGCCTGCTCTGCTCCCCGCTCTGGCTCTGGTGAATTCTCTCACCCTCCCTTGCGTCTGACTGTACCCAGTGCTTGTATAAATAAATAAATCTTAAAAAAAAAAGTTCAATATGCAAAATACATCTATGAAAGGTGGTGGATAAATTCTTGTACAAAGAGTTATGAGGCTGGAGAAGGACATTTTAAGCCTTAAAAAAGGCATCTTTAGAGAAAAAAGCATACTGTTAACTGCATGGAAAGGTAAAATTTCTCTCACTGTACCTCTCGGAGCAAAATTAAACAATAAATAACAAGGCAGATCAATTTAAAAGCCATATTTTTTTTTTCCCAACCAGTCTCATAGCACTGGATATTCATACTGCAGTGAAGATTCTTATTTATTGACATGGTAGAAAGTTCACACTGGAATGTGAGTTAAGAAAAGAGGACAGGGCCTCCCCGGTGGCGCAGCGGTTGAGCGCTGGGTTGCGAAGCTGCCCGCAGCCTCTGCAGCGACGGTTCGATCCCCGGCTGCTCCCGGGCCACCGGAGGAGGGTCCCACATGGCGCGCAGACCTCTCCTGCCGCCCGCTGCTCCCCTCAGCAGTGTACTTCGGTGCTTCTGCCTGCTCTGCTCCCCGCTCTGGCTCTGGTGAATTCTCTCACCCTCCCGCGCTTCTGACTGTACCCAGTGCATGTATAAACAAAAACAAACAAACAAACAAACAAATAAATAAATAAAAAAAACATGCCTCTATTAAAAAAAACCTGTAAAATCCTTTAAAAAAAAAAAAAAGAAAAGAAAAGAGGACATACAGTGATAAATGAGGCACACATATGCTGTACATGTGTATGTCTATGTACGCACACATACATGACATGTGTTTGCTTATTTATATTCTGTTAACCTCTGAATTCTTGGGTTCACAATCTATTTTAACCATTCCCAAGCAACTTTGAAGATCTCTTTGGCATGTGATAATTTATTTTGTCAAGGCCCAGTTTGGTGGTGAGGGAGACTTATGCCTTTGGAGGTGAGCCTAACTGCACCCTTCCTGAGACACTGGTGTTCTACTTCTTTGAGGGTGGGCAGCACCTTCTGTGAGCTGGTGAAAGCTTCATTGTTGCCAAGATTGGTCCTGAATGAAAGTAATTGGCTGGTCATAAAAATAATGAGATCTTGAGAAAGAAATCATTCCCACACAGGAAAAAAAGTTGGATAAATTAAATGAAATAAATTTCATTAAGTGAAACTAGTGGCTTTGCACTTTTGAGGGTTTTTTCAAGGCTCTGTCAGCATGGATTCTCTAATAAGGATTTAGCGTATAGAAAAAATCTATTCTAGGGCATAGAAGAAATATCTCGAGTGTGCTGAGCAGTGATCATCTCTGATAGGATCTTCATGTGCATGAATAATGTATTTAAAATAGAAAAATATTGAAAATGTTTAAATGGTCTACTTAAAGTGTTTAAGTAGAACAAAGCAGTAAATGGTAAATAAGATAAATTTAAGAATGAATTCTTGACAGTGAAAATCTTTTACATGCAAATCTACATGCTAACCAGGAAGCATCATCTTTTTCCTTTTTTTTTTTTTAGGAAGCATCATCTTTTGCTGTAATGCTTTGACCTGGCTCTTCTTTTCAATGTTAACAGAAGCCATGCAGTGACACCCGCTAAGACTTGTTGGTAGCCATGTCGGAGCCCCACAGGGTCCAGTTCACCTCTCTCCCAGGTTCTCTGAATCCCGCATTTTTGAAGAAGTCCCGGAAAGAGGAGGTTGGGGGAGCAGAACAGCATCAGGACTCTGAGCCGGCTGCAGCAGCTGTGCGGATTACACTCACTCTCTTTGAGCCCGACCACAAGCGCTGCCCAGAGTTCTTCTATCCTGAGTTGGTGAAGAACATACGAGGGAAGGTGAAAGGCCTTCAGCCCGGAGACAAGGTACAGCCCAGTGGCCCCAGACTCACTTGCAGATTGAATGTGGGTATCGGCCGATGCAGGTGGGGTTTTAGAGGGAGAAAGTCAAACTGGGGGTGGCTTTGCACCCTGCTCTCTACCATCATAGTATTCATCCTAAAGCAGGCATTAAGTGTGCTGGGTTTGCCTCTGAGCATGAAGGGATGGAATTTTTCCTAGAACCAGCTCCTAATGTGTGTCAGAGAAATCATATGAAACATCTAAGACTAATTTGAATCATGGTCAATTTATATAGGTGAAAGAAACAACAGGACTTTTTTTTATAGCAAGAGGTTAAAATGTTTTTATAAAGGTGACCAGACCCTGCCTGTTCCTGGTTTGGGAGGGAGTCTCCTGCCTAGTGTGAGGGCAGACAAAAAAGACAGACTGCTCCTCTCATGGAAACACAGTAGTATTCTTTTTGTTTCCTTTCTTCTTTATTGATGTAACGTTGGTTTACAATGCTGTATATGATTTAGGGGAATAGACTTATGTTCCTGCACCACCCCACCAGCAAAGCACCCAGAGTCCTTTACCCTAGGCCATTTGGCTCCCTCCCCACACCACATTGTTCACACCCCCTTACTCCCCCCAACCTCAACTGTGCAGTCGAATTTCTAAGTTTGTATTGCTTTAGTTTTGTCCGTTCCTTTCTTTGTTTCTCTGTATTTCACACATGAGTGAAATCAGCCAGTATTTGTTTCTTTCACCTTCTGACTTATTTCACTTAGCTTCATACCCTCCAGTCGCATCCATGTTGCTGCAAATGGTAGGAATTCGTCCTTTTTTATAGCTGAGTAGTATTCCATCGTGCATGTATGTTATATTTTTCTAATCCACTGCTCTTGTCAATGGGCACTTAGGTGCAGCAGTGGACATAGGAGCACATACATCCCTTTGGGTTAGTGATTTTGCATTCTTTGGGTAGATACCTAGGAGTGGATCTACTGGATCACAGGGTAGATCTATTTTTAATGTTTTGAGAAAACTCCATGCTGTTTTCCCTAGGGGCTGGACCAGTCTGCACTCCCACCCACAGTGCACAAGGGTTCCTTTTTCTCCACACCCTCCCTGACATTTGTCCATTCTGGGTTTTTGGTTTGTTTGTTTCTTTTTTTTTTAAGATTTATTTATTTATTTATATAAGCACTGGGTACAGTCAGAAGCGCAGGAGGGTGAGAGAATTCACCGGAGCCAGAGCAAGGAACAGAACAGGCAGAAGGACCGAAGCACACTGCTGAGGGGAGCAGCGGGTGGCAGGGGAGGTCTGCGCGCCATGTGGGACCCTCACCAGTGGCTGGGGATCAAACCGGCGCTGCAGAGGCTGCAGGCAGCTTCGCAACCCAGCGCTCAACCGCTGCACCACCGGGAGGCCCCTATTTGTTTCTTTATGTGCCATTGTCACTGGAGTGTGGTGGCATCTCATGGTGGTTTTGTTGTGCATTTCCCTGATGATAAGTGATTTTGAACTTTTTCTTGTTCCTGTTAGCCCTCTGTATGTCTTCTTTGGAGAAGTGTTTATTTAGCTCTTCTGCCCATTTTTTGATTGGGTTCTTTATCTCTTTGTTGGGTTGTATGAGTTCTTTGTAAATCTTGGCTGTTATTCCCTTGTCAGGTGTATGATGTCCAAGTAGGGTCTCTTACTGTTTTAATAGTTTCTTCAGAACACAGCAATATTCTAGTATTTTTTACCTGGATGGATAGAAGCCTGCTTTTTTACCTGCATGTTGGGTTTCTTTTTCTTTTCTTTTTTTTTTTAACTTTCATTTTGGCCAGGATTGGATTATAACTTTTTAAAAATTTATTTTTATTTATACATATAAGAACTGGTGTGTATGCCAGAGGTACATGGGGGTAAGAGGACTCACCAGAGACAGAGTGGGGAGCAGAACAGGCAGATCTACTGACATCCACTGCTGAGGGGAGCAGCAGGCAATACAGGAGAGGTCTGCTGCACCCTGTGGGTCAGTTCCCTGGCCGGGGATTGAACTCAGGCTGCAGTGGCTGGTGATAGCTTGATAGCACTGAGATTTTAATCCCTGTGCCCCCAGGGAGACCCATAATTGGATTATAACTTTTCAGGGCTTTGAGGCTAAGTTTGATTTCCTTAATTTTTTTTCAAATGCTCTATTTATTTTCTTGGTGGGTTTGCTTTTTAGTATAGAAATTTTCAAATATGCACTGAGTAGAGAGCATGGTATAAAAAGCCCCTGTGTACTGTCACCAGTTCAACTACTACTGACGTTTTGGCTATTAATTGACATTGTGAACAATGTTTATAAACTTTTCATTTGAGTTATTACATAAGAAAAGTGCACATATGATCAATGCACAGCTTGATGTGAACATGGCTCAGCACACTTGTGACCTGCACCTGGATTGCCAGCTTAATTTTTCAGGACACGAGAAACCCTCCTCCTCCTCCTCCTCTCCCAAAGCTCCCTAGGCCGTCAAGGGTAATCGCTGTCCTGATTTCTCAGAGCTCAGGACAGTTTCGCGCAGTTTTATGTTTTATGTAGATGGAAACCTACCGTCGGAGTGGGCACTAGGAGAAGAACGTTGGCTCTCCCTGTACACCGCACACCATAGCAGGCTTTGAAGAAAAGGCTAGTGAGGCCTGCGCTGGCAGCCTTTGGTAAAGTAGGGATGAAGCTTGTACCTGATCCTCAGGGGGTTTGAAAGAGAGCAGGCAGGTGCACTTTCTGCTGTGTCTGTGTGGCAAGCATGTCTTCAGTCTCGTTCACGTTGGGAGGTTTGGGGTGCTTGCCTGTGGTTGCCAGGTTGTTACCCACTTTTCTTTGCTCAGATAAACATGTGCTCCATTAAAACATGTTTTGCTTATGAGGGCCAGTGGGTAGGATGAGAAGGCTTTTCAAATCCTTTCACACACTTTCTTAAGTAGGAATGATATCCTCATTCTTGAGAGGAAGAGAAAGCCACAGGGATTGGTTAAGATCTTTATAGACTCAAATCAGTAGATCAGCTGAACTTAGTGCTTCCCTTCTGCCTTCTGGGGGGTTCAGAAGTCCCTCTCTGTTGCAGAAAAATACACGAAGCCTACACAGAGAGCTTCAGATCTGATGCAAAGGGCGCACATTTGTCCTTCAGGTTCAGGACTCCTGAATCATCATGGCTACTCTGTACTGTTCAAAATGCCTGTGTTAATTCATTTAGCATATGTTTTGTATAATGTGAAGGCACTGTGCAGAAGCCGAGAACTGTCTAAAGGTCAAGACTCTGTTCTTGCCCCAAAGTAACTTGGAATCATGCCAACACAGTGAAAAGTCCCGATGTGGGCATTGTTTTAGTGTGGCCCAAATACACGTCCTGGGGGGCTTGCAAGAGGGGAACTTACAGCCTCAATACTACGTTTGGACAGAGCTAGGCCTCCATACATTCAGGAAATAGTAGTTCTTGGGAGACTACTGTTTTTGTTAAGGAGAATACATTATTCCATGCTTTTCCAGATTGGTGGACTTATTAAAATTATTATTACTGGGCTGGGAAGCTGCCTGCAGCCTCTGCAGTGCTGGTTCAATCCCTGGCCACTAGCAAGGGTCCCACATGGTGCGCAGACCTCTCCTGTCGCCCGCTTCTCCCCTCAGCAGTGTATTTCTTCGTCAGTCTGCCTGTTCTGTTCCCCACTCTGACTCTGGTGAATTCTCTCACTCAACACGCGCTTCTGACTGTACCCAGTGCTTGTATGTATAAATAAATAAATAAATAATAAAACCAAACTACAATTTCTAAAAAAAAAAAAATTATTAGTACTACTATTTTTTAATTTTTTCGCAGAACTGGGTTGTAGGCCAGAGGTGCAGGGAGTGAGAGGATTTATCAGAGACAGAGTGGGGAGCAGAACAGGCAGATCTACTGAAATCCACTGCTAAGGGAAGCAGCAGGTGAGAGGAGAGGTCTGCTGCACCCTGTGGGTCTCCTTCCTGCCCGGGGATTGTACTCAGGCCATCACAGTGACAGCATAGAGACTTAACCCCTTGGCCGCCAGGGAGGCCCTTAAAGTGATTTGAACTGCTTAAGTTACATGTGATCTCATTGTAGAAAATAAGGTGATACGGACAAGCACATGTTTTAAAGACCACCAGTTTTGTGGTACCTGCATTGTGTTTATGGTATACAATATCTCATTATTGATAGATACTTTGAATCATTTAACTGACCTATATGGTTGGGCGGAATTTCACTAGGCAGAGTTGGGAGGGTGGATGAGAGTTTTGTTTTCAAACAGGCATCTAAGTCCTTATTTTTGGCTTACTCTGAAGTGCTAAACATATTTGGTGCAGGAGTCTATTATTAAAATTAAGATCCCTTGCCAAAGAAGCTTGAGGTCTGACTCTGGTAAATTTACTTGATGAGAAAAACTCATGAGTTAAGTTTATGGGATAGAAATAAACTTTGGAAAGCCACATAAAAATATTTGGAGTGAGTATTGATATTAGGAGGAAAAAAATGATTAATCATTAAAACAGACTTCCAAGGAAAAGGAATACCAAAAGAAGGAAGACCTTGCAGAAATGTCGCATTTCTCTCTTGTATTTGACTCTTGGTCGCACTTGAGAGGGGGACAGTTGCTCACCACTCCTCTTACTGTCAGGGCGGAAGAGCTTTCAAGAACTCCAGCTTCGTTGGTGGTTCTCAGCCTTGTGAGCCATTGGCTGCTTTGGAAGAAACCTGGTGAAACCTGTGGGTCCTTTTTCAGAATGATGTTTTCAAACTCATAAAATCATTGTTAAGGTTACAAAGGAACCTGCTGTATTTAGATAGTTCTATCCAGGTTGAGCACACCCCTGAAGGCACTTTGTCATATTTGGAGCCCTGTAGGATACTGTAGGGCAGTTAGTTAAGTTGCATTCAGTTACATGCATGAAAATTTTACCTTTTTTTTTTTTTTTTTTTTTTAAGATTTATTTATTTATTTATGCAAGCACTGGGTACAGTCAGAAGCGCGGGAGGGTGAGAGAATTCACCAGAGCCAGAGTGGGGAGCAGAGCAGGCAGAAGGACCGAAGTACACTGCTGAGGGGAGCAGCGGGCGGCAGGAGAGGTCTGCGCGCCATGTGGGACCCTCCTCCAGTGGCCGGGGAACAGCCAGGGATCGAACTGGCACTGCAGAGGCCGCGGGCAGCTTCGCAACCCAGCGCTCAACCGCTACGCCACCGGGGAGGCCTGAAAATTTTACTTTCTTAGAGAACCAAGACAGACACTGAGGGAAGGCCTAATGTGTTCTACTTTTTGTCTTCTGAGGAACTCTGAAAAGCAGTTTTTGTGCAGTTTCTAGGTGTTGGATAGTCAATAGAAAGTTCTAAAACAAGATTGTGTGAGTTTTTTTGTGACTTTTTATGGAATGGTCTCTTTACAGAAGAAAGATCTCTCAGATCCTTTCAATGATGAAGAAAAGGAAAGGCATAAAGTGGAGGTCCTTGCCCGGAAATTTGAAGAAAAATATGTAAGATACTCTTTTGGGTAACAAAACGATGTTGTTGGTGGGAGGGAGGCGGGTTGGGTTTCTAAACATTTCCGTGTTCCTTTAGTGGCCTATCAGTCTAACCAGCGCTGATGTTGTAGCGTAGACCTTGGAGAGAACAGATGCAGTTATTTACTAATGCATGTGGGGAGCATGTGTGTGTGGTGCTAAGCCAGGAGCCAGGGAGGGCCTTTCACTGTTAGGACAGTGGAGATTGTTTTGATACCAAGCATGAGAACGGTCTTAGGCCAAATACAAGTCTGTTTTATTTTCAAGGTGTTTAGGGATGAGGTGTGTGTGTGTGTGTGTGTGTGTGTGTTCCAGTTCTTTCCAGTCTTCAGTCACTAGCTGATGGAGTTCAAGGCAACCCTGAATTCTGTGTATTAAAAAGAGCGTGTGATCCTTGTGGACTTCAAAATTTGTTAGGAGGATAGATCTCCTGCTATGTGTCTTAACGTAGTCAAAAAAAGAAAAGGCACGTGAACTGTTTCTTTTAAATTTTAGGGTGGAAAAAAACGTAGGAAAGACCGAATCCAGGACTTGATTGATATGGGGTATGGTTATGATGAATCAGATTCCTTCATCGATAACTCTGAGGCGGTAAGTAGTCAGTGACAGTTCAAGTCCCAACCGGGTACTTGACCTCCTGTTGATAATGGCTGGAGGCTGGGGCGGGGTCAGAGTGGGCGTGCCCGCAGTCTGTGGGAAAGGCCACTGATGAGAGGGGAGGGACACCCTTATCTGGGCCTTGATTTGTCCAAAGCACTTCTTAGCTCAGACATTCATGATTGACCAAGAGGATGTCTTAGCCTGCTTAGCCTGTAACGTGGCAGAGAAATGTGGTCACGTCTTCTCTGTCCAGAGCTGCCCTCACCTTTGAAGATAGTACCAGAGCATGGAACTGACCCTCAGTTTTCCCCCTGCAGTACGATGAGCTCGTTCCCGCTTCTTTGACTACAAAGTATGGTGGATTTTACATTAACTCAGGAACCCTGCAGTTCAGACAGGCATCAGAATCCGAGGACGATTTCATTAAAGAGAAGAAGAAGAAATCTCCAAAGGTTAGAACGTTGCTGCTTTTGGATTTCAGAAGTGCTTTTCACTGTGACTTTGTAAGATGAGTAGGTGACCTGCCAGAGTGTGAGACAGTGCGGGTGACTCAGGAGATTGGTGGACAGGCAGGCGCTGTGTCAAGGTTGACGACTGCTCTCACACCCGTGCGGTGACAAGGGGATGTCAACTCCAGGTCTCGCCTGTTGTGTCAACGCCTGCACCCCACTCAGCAGGCGTGGCCGGGATTCGTTTCTCAAGGTGGTGTCAGGGTGGGGACGGAGGGCAGTGCAGTGTGGAGTGAGGGGAGTTGGCACCTGCCTGCTGTGTCTCTTCTGTGGACATGTAGAGGACTCCAGTTCCCAGGGCTGTCACCGACGAAAACAAGTTAGCCTTAAGACAGGCTTATTTTGCAATCGCGCCACCTCTGCCGTGTGTAAGATGAGAGGGAGGCCCGTGTGCAGCTCATTTCCAGCCAGAGAGGTGTCAGGCTGCAGAAGGGCTCTGTTGCCTCGGCCCGGGCGCTGCCAGGAGACACGCAGTGGGCGTGCCGTGTTGACCTGCTGCGGGTGTGGGTCCAGGGACCCACCTGAAAGCTCTGTCCATGAAGGAGATCAGACAGCTCTCGGGATGCACCCCGGGCGGAGCCAGGCCAGTACTGCGGAGTGCACCTGCTCCCCGAGTTAGGGAGCCGTGTAACTGTGCCTTGTCTTTAATTCTCAGAAGCGGAAGTTGAAGGAAGGTGGTGAGAAGATAAAGAAGAAGAAAAAAGATGACACTTATGACAAGGAGAAGAAATCGAAAAAGTCCAAGTTTTCCAAAGCCGGGTGAGAGGCAGCAGCTTCTTTGCTAGGATAAAATTTGAGCAGTTAGGGCAGGACACGGGAGCTGACTTGCCCACCTCCTCACAGCTTCAGAAGAGGCAGCAGGGCCTGGCCTTCCGTTCCCCCTCACGCCTCCCGCGGTGCTGTTGTGGGAATCGTTGCGCCTCTCCTCTCTGTGTGTCAGGCAGCCAGCGTTGTCTCTGTCCCACTGTCAGTGTTGGCAGCTATTCTGTCGCCACGCGGTTGCTGATGTTTCTTGTTCTCTGGGTGCCCTGCTCTGCCCCAGTTCTTCTGTCTGCTGTTGCCCTTTGTCTTCTCCGGTCCTGCCTCCTTGCCTCCCTCCGTCTCACCCCGGCTGCCCTTCGAGTTGCTGCTGCTCTCTGCTGCTCCTGCTTTCTCCCTTTAAATAGTTTTCTTGCCCCCCTTTTTGCAACCTTTTGTTTCAGCCTGGCAGTGGTTCTTAAAAACCCATCGGATAATTAGCGTTATGTGACACTGTTTGCTAACCTGTATTCAATCTCAAGCTTCGGTCTCATCAGGAAGTTGCTCCATATGCCAAGAGGCGGGAGGAGGAATGACAGGGTGGACTGTGACTGAGGCTCCTGGAGGCCATTGCGCTGGGAGCAGGGCGGAATCCCTCTGTACCTGTCCTGTCCTGGCTGGCCTTCAGCCTTAGTAACCGATTTCCCCCTTGCAGCTTCACAGCCCTCAATGCCAGTAAGGAGAAGAAGAAAAAGAAATATTCTGGGGCTTTGAGCGTGAAAGAGATGCTGAAGAAATTTCAGAAGGAGAAAGAGGCTCAGAAGAAGCGGGACGAGGAGCACAAGCCTGTGGTAGTCTCCCCGGCAGAAGCTCAGGGCCTGCGGGAATTGGAGGGCGCCTCGGACCCCTTGCTCTCGCTCTTTGGCTCCACTTCTGACAATGACCTGCTCCAGGCGGCCACTGCCATGGACTCATTGACTGATTTGGACTTGGAGCAGCTGCTCAGTGAGTCTCCAGAAGGAAGCCCCTTCCGTGACATGGATGATGAGAGCGATTCCCTTGGAGCGGGGCTGGAGCAGGAATTCAGGCCACCCACTTCCCTCCCCGAAGGTCTGCCTGCGCCCCTGGAGAAGCGCGTGAAGGAGCTGGCTCAGGTATGGTGACACGGTGGCCGGGCGTCCCTGAAAGTGGTTTGGGCAGATTGACGCTGCTTCCCTGCCACGAAACTCGTTGCCAGAGCAGCCGAGAGGGGTGGCGTGCTCAGTGCCAGCTTCCTTCCCGTCCTGAGTGACAAGGCGGCATGGGCTCTGCCCGCCAGACATCATTTTTAGGCCTTTTGTGCTTCCTTTTCTCTGGAAAATTTGCTTTCTTTTGGGAAGATTTTCCATTGTTTTTTTTTTTCCAAAGATTTATTTATGCATACAAGAGCTGGGGTACAGGCCAGAGGTGCAGGGGGTGAGAGGATTCATCAGAGACAGAGTGGGGAGCAAACCAGGCGGATCTACTGAAATCCACTGCTGAGGGGACCAGCGGGAGAGACAGGAGAGGTCTGCTGCGCCATGTGTGTCAGCTCCCTGGCTGGGGATTGAACTTGTGCTGCAGTACCTGAGGATAGCTTCATAGTACTGAGACTTAACCCCTTGCGCCACCGGGGATGCCCCGAGATTTTCCATTTTTTTTTTTGCCTGTCAGTTCCTTCCCTACAGAGTAGCATCTTTTTGCATGATGGGCTGGCATGGATGTTGGCAGTAGGTGCCCACAGCTGACGTTCACCTGTTTGTAGTCTTTTGAAGGTTTGAACGTTCACAGAAGCTTGCAGGTATAGCGATTGCATTGTCTCTGCTTAACACCACTGGGTTTTGGTTGCTCCGTCGACCTGCACCTCACCCGTGCCAGGTAGTGGTGACAGGTATGCCTATCACTTCAGGCACTGTGGTGTGTGAAAAAGAATTCAGCCCTAGATGTCTGTCATCCATGTCACAACCTCCAGAAGATAGCAGCCACTGCTGCTGTCCCCCTGTGATTGGGACTAACCGTAGATTGCTAAGAACGCTGTTCTGTGATACGTTGCTGGCTGTAAGCCAAGCACAAATCATTAATTATGAAGACATTTGCCTATTAGTTAAAATAACGTTTTACCTCGGGCGTCACGACTCCAGTGACATTATACCTTGTCTCTGTCGGTTTTAAACCAGTGATTCTCAGTAGGACTTCAGAATCGCTGTCCTGTGGACTGTCCCTTATGTTTTAGGGCAGGGCAAAATGTGAGCCGCTGCTGCGGTGACTTTCTCACCTCCAGAAAGCACGTGAACACAGTCTATGCAGGAAGTCCAGCGTTTGTCCTTGCTGGCCTACGTGTGGTGTTGGGCGTAGGTTTTCTGTTTGAATGTAATGATACAATGTCGCTCATCTAGGACCAGAATCTGTGTTCACACCGCAGGGGAAGCAGCTGAATCTGGGCATGGCATGTTTGAGCTGTCCTGTCCTATTTTGACTCTCAAACTTACATTAAAAAACATTGCTCGGGGCCTCCCTGGTGGTGCAGCGGTTGAGCGCTGGGTTGCGAAGCTGCCCGCGGCCTCTGCAGCGCCGGTTCGATCCCCAGCTGCTCCCCGGCCACCGGAGGAGGGTCCCACATGGCGCGCAGACCTCTCCTGCCGCCCGCTGCTCCCCTCAGCAGTGTACTTCGGTCCTTCTGCCTGCTCTGCTCCCCGCTCTGGCTCTGGTGAATTCTCTCACCCTCCCGTGCTTCTGACTGTACCCAGTGCATGTATAAACAAACAAACAAATAAATAAATAAAACATGCCTCTATAAAAAAAAAAAAAAAAAAAAAAAAAAAAACATTGCTCCTTGTTCTTTTCAGTCCTTCTGCTTGTAACCAAACTGTTTTGCTTCTGAAATTCTTAGGCGTTCAGTGAGTCGAGTCAGGCATATGTGGAGATTTTTTTAGAGAAAAGCCAAAACAATATGTGGCTGTGTCTCCACCCCACTCGGGGCTGGGTGCGGTCTGCTAACCTGCATGCGCGGCTTCTTTCTTGGGAAAGAAGGACAAACTTAGTGGCGACAGAGTGGCCTGATGTGGACAGGCCACTGTCCAGTGCTGGCGTCTGAGTCTAGAAAGCCACTGTCTGGAGTCCACTGTGATGGTGCAGTCCTCCCTCGTGGCCGTGCCTCTCCCATCTCTTGGGCACGATGGAGGCAGGCCTGGTGGGCCTGGGCCCTGGGGTGGGGTGGCGATGGCCATGAGGCGAGATTGATGAGCTGGTTTGGAAATAGAAAGCTCGGGTATGAAGCTGATGCTTTAGTCCTCGCCTGGTCTTCCTCTCATAGCACCATGAAGAAAAGCATCTTTGGGAAATGAGGCACAAAGTGGGAATCACCCTCATCCCATCAGTCTGAAAACTGCTTTCAATTTGCATCACCTTTTCTAGCATCTGTGTATATGTTCTGATGCAGTTGTAATTACAGTTGGGAATATTGTTTCTTGCTCTCTTCACTTAATAAATAATACTATAAAGTTTTATTACTTTTAATGTTTGCAAAAAAGAAGGCTCCTTTTAGAAAGCTGCTTAATGCTCCCCAGGGGCTCTGTTCCCCCCGGCCCAGCACTTGGAGTCCTTCCTGGGGGCAGTGGCTGGGATGCAGCAGCCACGCGTGGGTGTTTGGGTCCTTCTCCTGGAGGCCTGTCCTCAGCCTTGACCTGGACGTTGCATTGTGAGCGCAAGTTAGACTAGGTGTATAGACCTGGAGCCGTGGTCTGTGCTTGTCGGTATTTTTTACTCCTCTTACTTCTTTTTTTACTTTTTTTTTTTTAAGGTTTGTTTATTTATGCATACAAAAGCTGGGGTACAGGCCAGAGGTGTGGGGGTGAGAGGACTCACCAGAGACAAAGCGGGGAACAGAACAGGCAGACGGACTGAAACACACTGCAGAGGGGAGCAGCGGGCGAGACAGGAGAGGTCTGCTGCACCATGTGGGTTGCTCCCTGGCCAGCCGGGTACCAAACTCGTGCTGCAGAGGCTATGGATTGCTTCATAATGCTGTGCTTAACCCCTTGCGCCACCAGGGAGGCCCCTTGTATTATTTTTATCCCCCCTTATTTTTCTCTTTTCCTCTTAGTTCATTTATTTTTACAACCATTGGCTTAGGTTTTAATCTTGGCCCTGGATGGCATGCGTGTTGCTTTCTTCTGCTATCTTAAAAATGACCCCACTTTAGTCGCTTCGAACAATGCTTTGTTTCTCCTGACTCTGCGGGTGGCTGGGCCGCTCCTCTTCTGGTTCTGCCAGGCCTGGCTCTTGGGGCTGCAGGTGGACGGGGCACTGGGACACAGGACTCATCTCTCTGCTGGTCTTAGCCCCTGGGCTTCTCCAGGGCCCACGGTCCCAGGGCAGCACCTTGAGAGGGTGGGGGGCGGAAGCTGCATGGCTCTGACAACTGACCTCGCAGGCTGTTGGTGCCACATCATCCGCCCTGCCCTTTGGTAAAGTGAACCCTGGGCACAGCCCAGATTCGAAGGGGCATGCGCACTCGGGGGGCTGTGGCCCCACTTGAAGCCTACTGCAGGGCCTAGCAGGTGCTCCTTAAAAGGCTGGCAGTTCCTTCCTGCAGGACACAGAATTGGAGTGTCTTGTTTGAAACTTTGTAAAATATATTTGAAAACTTGTGTATGTCCAAGACTCCCATCTGAGAGGACACCGTGGCGGATGGGTGCCCGCCCCTCAGCCCTTTATGCTCTTCTTATTCCTGGGCAGAGTGTAATTTTGTGGGGCCCAGGGAATCCATGATTTCATTTGAAGCCCTTACCTTATCTTCTCTTAATACGTGTTGTGTCTTTTGTTGTTAACATTGGAAAGCTCGGGGTGTTGTCCCCTCAGGTTACTGTCTTAATGTAATAGTTTGGCCTCCCCTGAGCATGGGCCATACGGATGATGCAGCTCTATCTTGTTCCTCTTCAGTCACGCATAAGACGGGAAGAGTCACTAAGATTACTGAGAGGAGACAGACAGACACACCGTGTCACCCAGGAGTCTCCTCCAGCACCGCACATCCAGGGAGACGTGCATCTGAGGGGAATAGGTTGAAAAAAAACTAACCTGTCTGACCTTTTTTTAAAAAGAACATCATGCCAGATTTCATTCTGTGTAGCAAAAACAGGTACAGTCTGTAAGATGCGGCCGGCGTGCGGGACGGCCGCGCGTGGCCTCTCATGAGCGAGGCAGCTCACGCAGTGGCCACTGGAACTGTCGCGGGTCGCTGTGACCGACTGTTTGGTTTTACTGCGTTTCCTGACTCTTCTCATTGATCAGCTGAAAAACACTTCCTGTGGCCAGGGTGTCGCTTCTGAGGCTGAGGGACCTGGCTTATTTCTGGGAGACTTAGATCGCTTTTAGTTACACCTTTAATCATGCAGCACTTGGCTGGTTGTCTTCAGTAGAAAAGCAGACTCAGAGAGAACTGCCTGTACAATTCAGAAGACTTCGGATGAAAGCTGCTTAAAAAAAAACTTTATAGCCCAAAAGCTTCTGAAATGCTGGATAAATAAAATTTGATTGGAAACCTAAGTTCCAAACAGGAGGGCCTTTGAAATCCACATAGAAATACATAGATTGTGTCACTATGAAGGTGCTTCTGCATCTTACACCTAGCGATGTGTGAGCCGAAGCAGAAGAGCTCAGTTCTGTCTCTTCTCAAACTGAAGTCGTGATTCTAGTGCGTGAGACGTGCCAGGGCAGAATTCTGAATCCTTCAGAAATGGAAATGGTGAGAGGTTAGCAAATGAGGAGGTTTCAAGTCCCCTGGCTTTTCTTCCTGTCTGCTCTTCCCCTTCCCGGCGTGTCGGGCCTCTGCACCTCCTCCTCCAGCCCAGGCTGTGCAGAAGCAGGTGTTTGGTTGTCGGGCATGAGTCTTTTCTTTCTCAGCTCAGAGTTTGTGTTCCCTCTGTGTGTCTGCTCTTCGGCCATCGTCTCGGCCAGCACCTGCTGTGTGATGGGCAGCTGCGGGCAGCACGCTGATGGGCGAGCACGTTCTCCTCCTCCACGAGCTGTGTGTAAGTGGCCCGGGAGGCGTGGGAACAGTTAACAGTCCGCAGAGCAGAATGAGAGAAGCCCTCTGATCCTTGGGTGGCCAAGTGGCCGGGCAGAGGGGCAGCTGTGCTTGAGGAGGTAAAAGAGCTCTGTGGGTTGCATAGCAATTGGCCTCGAGGCTATCAGGGTTACACCCCTTGTGGGAGAGCTGGCCTGAGGGTTCGCGGGGGCAGAGGAGGGGCAGGTTGTGGGATGTGGTGGGAGATGGGCCCAGAGTGGATGGGGCCAGATCCTCGCGGACCCTAAGTGCCGTGTGAGGGAGTTTGAGTTTGATCCTAGGCTGAGAGCTGCCAAGGGATTCCCAAGGAGGGGTGGAAGGATTCCAGGGAGAATGAGGTGCTACTGTTCAGAGGTGGGGAGTACTGAGGAAGCCCAGAAATGAATGAGTTTGGACAAGAGCGAGGTTATCTGTTGCCAGAAGGAGTTGGGAATTCCGACCCAGAGCTTAGGAAGCAGAGCTCAGGGCTAACAACGTGGTTGAGACGCCGCTTGGGTCTGTGCCGTCTTGAGCTGAGGGCAGGGTGTCATGGGGGATAGAACCTTGAGAGTCCAGCTGCTGTTTCCAAACTGGGGGAGGAGACAGCAGGGTCAGAGGTAGGAAGGGGACCCAGAGGGTGCAATACAGAGGGCGCATGGGACCAGGTAAGGGGCTCAGAGGGGCTGACCAGAATTGATGGTTTTGTTTTAGACGGTCAGCTTGTCGCTGCTGCTGTCTTTCTTACTAGCACGCCCCTGTCTGAAACTTCATCTTACCCAAAGCCTTCAAGACCAGCGTCTCTTGGGTTTAGAACTGTGGTCCTCCAGTTTCTCTCCTCACGAGTGTCACCAGAGTTAACTTGTAAAGCTCTCTGAGACACGGGCCCCCGTGTAGAGCACAGACTCGCGGGCCTCATCCCAGAGATTCTGCTGAGCTGGCCGGGGGTGGGGCGTGCAGCCGGGGAGTTCCTTGGAGCCATGCTCCCTGCGGGGGCCGCGCCACACCGCTCCGTGCTTCTGCGGAGGGACTGCCTGCTGTGGTCACTTTGGGGACCCGCAAGCTTGCCGCCCCCGCTGCTGATTGTGAAGCAGAAGACTGTCCGACGCCTGTGAGGTGTGTCCAGCATGCCGGGGTCTGGGTAGGAGAGTTTGTGCCGTTTGTAGGTTGCTCATCTAACGTCAGGGGATTTGTTCTTCAGTGCTCATTATGGTCATTACCGTTATGTGGTTATGGAGTATAAAGACCTTCAAGTCTTGCGGACTTGTTAAAGCTCTAGATAGTTCTTTTGCACTGTGGAGGTATGGAAATCCCAGCCACACCTCAGGCGGTAAGAGGGCTGGCGTGGGCCGTGCCTGCCTGGCTCTCGGGCATCTGGAGCGTAGCGGGGTCATAGGTGAACTGCGTTGGCGCGGGGGCTGAGGAGGGAGGGCAGGTGAGGGTCGGCGGGTGGCAGGCTTCTGTAGTGACGGCACGCTCCCGTGCCTGCGGTGCGCGAGGCCCGCGTGGGGAAAGTGCATTAACAGATGTTGTCTGCTGTGAACCAGGCTGCCAGAGCTGCCGAGGGAGAGAGCAGACAGAAGTTCTTCACCCAGGATGTCAACGGCGCCCTGTTAGAGTGAGTGCCTTCCGTTCCTTCGTATCCGCGGTTACCGGCCTGGGTTGAGCAGGCCAGGGGGCCGGGAGTAGCACCCAGCTGTGCGACTGTGCCCACTGGCACCGGCAGGTAAACGGGCATCCTTTTTTCTGTTGCGGTGATGCTGTTCTTTTTTAAAGATGGGGGGGTGGAGGGAATCCAAATACTTGTCTCCAAGTAGACCTCACTGATTATAGACTGCAGGCATTGTTAGAAGCCTGGGCATAATAGCCACGGCCTGTTGGAAGGGGATTTGTGGCAAGGATGAGAGGAAAGAGAGAGGCGTCGCTTGCCTGTCTGCAAATCCAACTTGGGGCAGCCTTGGGACCAGCTTTCTTGGGTGCTCCTCAGCGCACTAGGGGAGTACCATTCTCCTTGCACGTGTGCTCCTTCCAGTGCCGCTGTCCCGTACCACCGAACAGGCCTCTGAGACCCCACACTGTGCCATGGAGTAAAACAAAACAAAGCTTAATGCTTTTAATTCAAACCACGTTCTCTGTCTGGTCCTGCCGCTTTGCCAGCTTTTCTCCTGGCTGCCCTGTGGCAGAGAGCTGGTTACTCAACACCTGGGGATTTTCACATGGAAGGACAGTTGTCACGACTTGGCAACACCCTGGCAGTGAGCTTGCCTGACCAGGGTCTGGATTGGCCAGGAAAGAGTTCAGGAGATGTGGGCCCCAGAGCGCCCTGAGGGTCTGCCTGGGTGGAGGGTGCTGGTGGGGGGGGCTGTGTCTGCACGCAGCCTGCTTGGGTGGACAGCGCGGGAAGCTCAGGGTTGAAGACACTTTTCTGCTTACTAGTTGGGGAAACGAGGGGGATGACGTCCCTGACCTCACAGTCATGGATAGAATGGGAAAAGGGAGATTCTCTTGGGAGTTTTCCTGTCTACCCCAGGAAACTCGGCTGCTTTCCATTTTGAAAGCTTTTCCGTTTTCTTCACTGATGAAAGTTAGTCCTTCAGAGCATGCCTTCGCTGTGCTGTGCTTGACCGGAGAGCCTAGACTCGCTTTCCCTTGCCAAGTTTGTCAGGTCTGGGCATTCCTGTTGGGCGGCTGCTGGAGCTCTGTTGCCTTGGCCACACCATTACCTTGGGGGGCTGACAAGATTAAGGTTTGACCTGCTCTTCGCTGTGAGCTTTGTGCTGTGAGCTTTGTTCTCCGAGGCAGGGTGGACTCGGTGCGCTGCAACTCTGGGTGACTCTGTTCTGTTCTTCAGCATAGAGGTGCAGGCGCGGGAGCTGAGCAGCCAGGTCCGCTCGGGAGTGTACGCCTACCTGGCTTCGTTCCTGCCCTGCAGCAAGGACACCCTGGTCAAGCGTGCTCGGAGGCTTCACCTCTATGAGCAGGTGGGTGACTGGGCATGGAGTCTTTTGGCTTGGGGGCCCAGTGGAGGGGGTGACCAAAACTTTACAGGTGCCACGTCTGCTGTGGAGTGCCCCCGCATGCCGGCTCCTGTCGAGTAACCTCCTTAGCGTGAGAGGTGAGGTGTAAACCAGACTGAGAAAGTGTCTCCTGTCTTGTGCAGGGGGGGCGCCTGAAGGAGCCTCTCCAGAAGCTTAAGGAAGCCATTGGCAGGGCGATGCCAGAGCAGATGGCCAAATACCAGGATGAATGCCAGGCACACACGCAGGCAAAGGTGGCCAAGTAAGTGTGTCTCATCACTCTCCTGGAATTCTCCTACTGCCGTTTATCGCTCTTTCCATTTCCAAAGGAAATGGTTCTTCTTCAGCATTTTCACCTTCTCTCTAGAAGTTGGACCACGGGAGGTGGGGGCAGGAGGGACTGCTCTGTGGTGATTTTAGGGCTCCATTTAATTCTCTTCATGCTGTAGGCTGCTGGAAGAGGAGAAAGACAAGGAACAGAGAGAACGGATTTGTTCTGATGAGGAAGAAGATGAAGAAAAGGGGGGCAGGAGAATAATGGGACCCCGGAAGAAGTTCCAGTGGAATGATGAAATCAGGTGCGCCCAAACTTGCCTCATTGGGGGGTTTGTGGGACCACTGGCTGAGCCTGTGCCCGTATTTCTAATGAAGGTTAGAATCATTAATCATTAACCATTAATGAGGGCTGCTGACAGCACATGGTTGAAACCTTAAGGAATGTTTGGGGTAGTTTGGAGTTTCTGACTTGTCCCTCCTCCTCAGGGAGCTGCTCTGCCAAGTGGTGAAGATGAAACTGGAGAGCTTCGACCTGGAGAGGAGCAACAAGGCCCAGCCCTGGGAGGACTGCGTGAAGGCGTTTCTGGATGCCGAGGTCAAGCCTCTGTGGCCCAAAGGCTGGATGCAGGCCAGGTGAGGGCCTGTGGCCGCCAGGCCGGCGGGGTGGTGACGGTGCGTCGTGGCAAGAGTGTTTTGAGTGCCGCTCTTGTGCCAGGCCAGCAGGTATCACTGTCTAGTGGGCTCGACTCTGGTCTCACTTGAGCAGTTGGGGGGCATGCTGTCCTTGTGAGGGGTCTTCCCCAGGAGAGGAAGTTTCCTGTGGGGTTTCGTCGACGTCGTCGTCATCCTTTGTCCACTTTAGTCCATAGTTGACTTCATGCCCCTTCCACCTGTCTTCCCTTCCTGAGCTAACAGCCTGCCTTTTGAGGTATAAATCCTGCTAGAAGTTGAGAAATGAAGTCACCTTGGGAACATCTGAATGTTCCAGACACAATTTGCAGGTAGCAGGGCTGACCGCTTCCTGGAGGTAAGTGCCAGACTCCAGTGAGGGCTTCTTTGTGGTGTTCAGTCTCCTATGACGCCACTGCACTTGCAGTACATGTCACGCCAGGTTACCTGGGGGTATGGTGTGGTTTTTTTTTTTTTTTTTTTAATTTTTCTTAATGTGATATTTACCATCTTGACCATTTTGAGGCACAGTTCAGTGGAGTTAGACATCTGCGTGGTTCTGCAGCTGTCAGCACCATCGTCTCTGCAGCTGTTGTTCTCTTGTGAAACCAAAGCGCCCCACTCGTTAAACAATAACTCCCCCTCCTCTCAGACACTGGAGACCCCATTTTACTTTCTGTCTTTATAATTTTGACTCTAAGCACGTCATGTATATGAAATCACGTACATGATTTGTGTATGTGTGTGTGTGTGTCTGGCTTATTTAGTGTAGCATAATGTCTTCAAGTTTCATCTGTGTTCTAGCATTTTGCATAATTTCCTTCCCTTTTGAGGCTGAATGATACCGTACCATACATGTAACCACACCTTGTCTAGTCACCCACCCTCCATGGGTCACTCAGGTTGCTTCCTTTCTAGCGATTGTGAATAATGCTGCGGTGACTGTGAGGCCAGCATTCCTCTACCCTGCTAAATTCTACCCAGAAGTAGAATTGCTGGATCTTATGGTTTTCCTGTGTTTAATTTTTTGAGGAATCCCATGTTTTCCGTGGTGACTATGTCATTTTACATTTGCACAGTAATGCACGAGGTTCCAGTGTCTCACCAACAGTTGGTTTCTGGTTTGTCGGTATTGGCTGTCCTGGGGGTGGGAGGGGGGGTATCTTACAGTTCCCATATGCAGTTCTCTAATGGCTGGTGATGTCAAGCATCTTCCCATGTGCCATTTGGCCATTTGTATATCTTTGGTGAAAGGCTTATTCAAGTCCTTTGCCGGTTTTTGGATTAGTTTGTTTATTACTGAGTTTTAGGAGTTCTCTGTATTTTCTTGTTATTAATCCCTTATCAGATATAAGATTTCCAAATATTTTCTCCCATCTTGTTTCTCCCATCTTGTAACTTGTGGGTTGCTATTTTACCCTGTTGATAGTGCCTTTTGATGGACAAAATTGCTTAATTTTCATAAAGCCCGGGGTGTCTCTTTTTTCTTCTGTTACCATGCCACCTTGAAACACAGGTGAGTCTTACTCTGTTCTGTGAGAGAATGATGAGATTTCCTCAGTATTTAAATATTTTAATACAGCCATCTTTATAAATCTAAATATAAAACCACTCTCCTACAGATTTCAAGATGACATTCACCATCTCTTCGAGAAGTTAAACAATGCTCATCAGGGCCAGGACTATCTTTAGAAGGAGAAAACAGTGATTGTGCTGGTTGAACTAGAATTACTATCAAAATTCAAAAAGCTATTCATATTCATATTTAACCACAAGCCAGTCTTCAGTGAATCAGAGCTTTGTCCAAAAAAATGCCAGCTATTGTAGTGTTTTTGAGATAGGCTGTCAATTCTGCCCTTCTTCTTCTTTTTAAGATTTATTTATGTGTGTATACAAGAGCTGGGGTACAGGCCAGAGGTGTGGAGGGTGAGGGGATTCACCAGAGACAGCATGGAAAGCAGAACTGAAATATACTGAAACAGGCTGAAATACACTGCTGAGGGGAGCAACGGGTGGGCGAGTCAGGAGAGTTCCGCTGTGCCATGTGGGTTGCTCCCTGGCCGGGCATTGAACTCGTGCTGCAGTGGCTGCAGACAGCTTCATAGGTTGAGTCTTTTTTTTTTTTTTTTATAGAGGCATGCTTTATTTATTTGTTTGCTGGTTTGTTTGTTTTGTTTATACATGCACTGGGTACAGTCAGAAGCGCGGGAGGGTGAGAGAATTTACCAGAGCCAGAGCGGGGAGCAGAGCAGGCAGAAGGACCGAAGTACACTGCTGAGGGGAGCAGCGGGCGGCAGGAGAAGTCTGCACGCCATGTGGGACCCTCCTCCGGTGGCCGGGGAGCAGCCGGGGATCGAACCGGCGCCGCAGAGGCCGCGGGCAGCTTCGCAACCCAGCACTCAACCGCTGCGCCACCGGGGAGGCCCCATAGGTTGAGTCTTAACCCCTTGCACCACCAGGGCCCTGCCCTTGCTTCTTAATGTCGGCAAAGATCATTTTTGTTCTTGGGATTCTCCAGAAACTCACTGTCTTCTCTCTCCAGGTGATGACTTGGTTTTCTTGTCATTTATCGAAAAGAACCCGACAGCCAACCTGTCTTTCACCCAGTGGCGATCTGACTCCGCCCTGTGCTTCCCTCTCTTTTCCACAGTAAGGCACTGGCACACTTCTCAACAAATCTCCTTGCCCTTCTCACCGTCACCCAGTTTCTAAATTGCTTTTGTGTTCAGCACAAAGGTTCTTGCTCAAAAACTGGACATTCTCCTCTTTTTCCTATTGGTTGTTTAAAAATGTTTAATTCACAGTTGTGAATTTTCCAGTTTTTCTTTTGTAATTGAACTAAATTTACCCTGTCATGTTCAGAGAAGATATTGTGTGTGACATCTGTCTTATTAAATCTCTTGAGATTTAGTTTGTGGCCTAACATTTGGTCTCCTTGGAAAATGCTGTCCCTGCACTTGAGACGAACATGGTGGTGCTGGTGAGAGTGTTGCTGTTTGTTGCTGTGTTGTGCTGTCTAAGCCCTCTGTTGCTTTACTTGCCTTCTTCCTGTTCTGTTCTTTATTGTGCGTAGGGTATCTGTTACTGTAGAACTATCTAGTTCTCCCTTTAATTTTCAGTTTTTGCTTAACATATTTGATTATCTGTCAGGTGCACCATATTTATCGTTGCTGTATCAAATCTTTTCCTAGGACGTGGTGTCTCTTGTAACCTTTCTTGATTTAAAGTTTATTTCTTCTGATATTAGTGGAGTTATTTTTGCTTTCCTTTGGTTACTATTTTCATGGAATATCTTTCCCCATCCTTTTGCTTTAAACCTGATTTTATTTTTGAATCTCAAGTAAGTGCCTTGGAGATAGCATGTAGTTGGGGCTGTATGTTTCTGTCCATTCTGTCCATCTGTCTTTTGATTAGAACGTGATCCATTTACATTTGAAGTAATTACTGATGAGGGACTTATTTCTCTACATTCAGTAACAAACCCTGCCCCCCCCACAGTTCAGTCTTGTTGATGTTACAGTTATGTCGTTACACGTCGTGTGCTCCCAAACATAAATAATTTTTTAAAATGCAATAGTCTCTTAAATTATGTAGAGAACGAAATTTAGACTTACAAACCAAAATTACAGTGATGGTAGCTTTTTCATTAATTTTTTTCTTTCAATGTACTAACCCTTAATCTCTTCACACATGGGAGAGAAAAAGTGCAGTTATAAGCCATTGTCACAGCAATACTTTCATCCCTGCCCGGGTGTTTTCTTTTCCAAAATCTTTTTCTTTCTTTCTTTTTTTTTTAAGTTTAACATAAAACTTTTTTTTAAAGATTTATTTTTATTTATTTATGCATACGAGAATGAAGGTGTAGGCCAGGGGGTGAGAGGATTCACCAGAGACAGAGTGGGGAGCAGAACAGGCAAATCTACTGAAATCCACTGCTGAGGGGAGCAGCGGGGAGACAGGAGAGGTCTGCTGCGCCCTGTGGGTCAGCTCCCTGGCGGGGGATTGAACTCAGGCTGCAGTGACTGCCAATAGCTTGATAAAGCTGAGACTTAACCCCTGTGCCACCAGGGGTCAACAGTTTAAGACTATTGTTTTAAAGCCTTTGTCTGACATACCTGCCATTATGTTTTCCAGGAGTAGTTTCTGTTGATTTTTTTTCCTTTGAGCCAGCTCTGCTTTCCTGTTTCTTTGTGCACCTTGCGATTTTTTGATTAAACACTGGATATCTGAATATAGTGTTGTAACCCTGGGAATCAGATCTTCCCTTCTCTAGGGTTTACTGTCTCTTCTTACTGTGTTTGTTTATTGATGGCTGGGTGGATGTCACAGGCCGTGTCTGTGTGGAGGACCAGTCTGAGGTATAAACTAAATGTCCTCTTCAGTCTCTTCTGAGCCTTTCCCTGGGTATGTGCAGTCACCTTTTTTTTTCCCAAAGGTTTATTTATTTATGCATACAAGAACTGGGGGACAGGCCAGAAGTGTGAGGGATGAGAGGATTCACCAGAGACAGAGTGGGGAACAGAACAGGCAGTTTGACTGAAACACACTGCTGAGGGGAGCAGCGGGCGAGTCAGGAGAGGTCTGCTGTGCCCTGTGGGTTGCTCCCTGGCTGGCTGAGGATCGAACTCATGCTTGCAGAGGCTGCGGACAGCTTCATAGGTTGCCTCTTAACCCCTTGCACCACCAGGGAGGACCCTGTGCAGTCACTTTATATGTGGTTGGGATTTTTTTTTTAAAGATTTATTTATTTTATTTATACAAGCACTGGGTACAGTCAGAAGCGCGGGAGGATGAGAGAATTCACCAGAGCCAGAGCGGGGAGCAGAACAGGCAGACTGACGAAACACACTGCTGAGGGGAGCAGCGGGCGGCAGGAGAGGTCTTCCCACCATGTGGGACCCTGGCTGGCGGCTGGGGATCGAACCGGCACTGCAGAGGCTGCGGGCAGCTTCTCAACCCAGCGCTCAACTGCTGCACCACCAGGGGAGGCCCTGTTGTGGGTTTCAATGTCGTGTTCTCTAATGTCTGGCTTCTGAAAGGGGAAGGAGCAAAAGGGTGTGTGGGGGGTGGAGGGACAAGGGCAGTGGCTGCTGGCCTCGGTGCCTACACCATTCTGATCAGAGCAATGGCCCCTGGTACCCGGAAAATAGTGTCCTACTTGCCCACTGTAGTTTGGGGGCTTTGTACAGGCCGCTCCAGGAGCAGGGGCCAGTATGTAGCTGCTTGCCCTGGCCGAGGCAGGGGCGCCGGAGCTGCTCCTGCACTGAGAGCTGGAGGTAACAGTTTGCCCTTCCAAGCCTTCAGCACACTCTGTAATTCCAAAACAGAGTCTGCCAGTACCATTGTTGTCCACATGGGGCTGGATCCTGGTGCTTCCTACTCCTCTGTCTGCCCAGAATTCTCTCCCTGCACCTAATGCTCTTGACCGGGCCTGAATTTTCCGTGGTTAGACAAATCATGGGGTCCATTCTCGTCTCAGTGTGCCTTCTTTTTTTTTTTTTTTTTTTTTAAAGATTTATTTATTTATTTATACAAGCACTGGGTACAGTCAGAAGCATTGGAGGGTGAGAGAATTCACCAGAGCCAGAGTGGGGAACAGAACAGGCAGACCGACGAAATACACTGCTGAGGGGAGCAGCGGGCGGCAGGAGAGGTCTGCACGCCATGTGGGACCCTCGCCTCGTGGCCGGGGATCGAACCAGTGCTGCAGAGGCTGCGGGCAGCTTTGCAGCCCAGCATTCAACCGCTGCGCCACCGGGGAGGCCCTCAGTTTGCCTTCTTCAAAGGGAATTTCCTATAGATTGGACTCTTGAAGGTATGTGGGGAGGGGCATAGAGAAATTTTGTTGGAGTTTCTTTGGAGAAGGGCATGTTGTAGGTTATTCCACATTTCATTCTTGGGAGGAATGAGAGTAAGCAATAAATCAGGAGAGTGTCACTGCATTGGGGGAGAGTCATTATGAAAAGTCTGAGGGCAGCACGTAGTGGGTTTGGTGACGCCTCGGCTCTTCACGCTTGTTGGCCGGTGCAGACGCTCTGGGTCCTCTGGGCAGGAGTTCAGCTCACCGGTCCCCGCCGTTCAGTGAGGAGCGGTCCGTGGGCCAGGGCGGCAGATGAGCGCTGGACAGAGCCTGCTTCCGGGGCGTGTCCCGATGCTTGGTGCTCCCCCTTTCTTTCAGGACTCTGTTTAAGGAGAGCAGACGTGGCCATGGGCACCTGACGTCACTGCTGTGAGTGTCTCAGTGTTTTTATTTCTCAGTGCTACTGTTATTTCGTCTCCTTTGTGGGTGTCCTCTAAACCTTTCCTGTGTTTATTCCTTTGAACAGGGCTAAGAAGAAAGTAGTGGCCCCTTCTAAAGTCAAGGTGAAGGTGAGTCTACCTGTTCAGGTCAGATGCATGGTCATGAAATCCCTCAGGTGACTGTGGCAGCTCATGGAGGTTAGCTGGTCTGGGGACAGCTGTTCAGGCTGATACTTGAGGTTGTACTGGCCTGGTGTTGCTTAGACCTGAGCTGGGACACTTAGGACCCAGAGCCATGGTCTAGGAAACACGCCCTCCTTCACCAGACCCTGGGGTGGTTGTGGGATGAAATGAGGCCTTTCAGACAGCCTCCGAGGGTGCAGATCCCGCTGCGCTGTGTGGTGTTACACTGTCGTGGCCGTCTTTTTCCTGGAGGCTGTGTGCCTAGCCCGGTGTGTCAGCCTGGAGGACCCCGGGTTGGACAGGTTGCTGAGTTTACCTGGCAGAACTGGAGGGAGGGACAGTGACTCGAGAGAGATCGTGGGCGCCATCTCAGATGTTGTGGAAACCTTCAAAGGTCGTAAAAAGTGCAGTTTTATCAGAACATACACAGTTGCTGAGGCTTCATAGTGCCTTTCGCCATATCTGAATAGTTGGTGAGAACAGCTGTGAGAGTGTGTCCCTGAGTGTCTGTGAGCGCCTGCAGCACCCGAGACACTGCTTTAAGCTCTTGGGTTGCAAGAACAATGGGGCACACCCCTTTCCTGCTCCAGGAAATGATTTTTCTTCGAACCTAAGTGAGGAGGCAGGTGCTACAAAAAAAGGGGAGAAAACTACTTTCAGAGGTCCTCATGCCCTGCGTCGTGGTCATGAGTGCCGACGGGGAGAGTGTCTTTGTGCCAGTCTTGTCTTTCAGAAGCAGAGAAAAGCAGCTCCCTGCAGGGGAGGCGGGTACTGGGCACCAGCCTGCCCGGGAGCTCAGCCCCAGCCTGCGGCCTCGTGCCCCTGCATGACGGGCACAGCATTTGTGGTTGCGCACACACCGGCGCCTTGTGCTCTCCACAGGGCCAGCGCTGGCGTCTTTGGGTATTTCTCAACACCCACTTTTGTGCTTCCTCTAGGAATCATCTGCTAAGCCTGATAAGAAGGTCTCCATCCCATCAGGCCAGATTGGCGGCCCCCTTGCTCTGCCCTCAGATCATGCGGGAGCAGGCCTGAGCTGCGGGGCTGCAGGACGGGATCTCTCATCCCAGGCATCTGGCGGCCATGCTAGTTCGGCCCCCATCAGCCTGGAGGACTCACTGGACGGCGACCGGATCCGCGGCTCAGCCTCCTCCCTGGAGGCCGTGTCCAAGGAGCTGGCTGCTCTGAGCAGCAGAGCCAGTGGGGGCGCAGACTTTGCGCTGCCCGCACCCTCGAAAGCCCCTGCGGAAAAAGTTGTGGGTGTTTTATGTACTGAAGAAAAAAGGAACTTTCCGAAGCCCAGCCCTTCTGCCCCACCACCCTCTAGTTCTTTGCAGTCACCTCTCAATTTCCTGGCTGAACAGGCTCTGGCACTGGGGCAGTCCTCTCAGGAGAAAAAAACAGAGAGTTCTGGCTACAAAGAGCTGTCCTGTCAGGCTCCCCTCAGCAAGGGCCTGCCAGATGTGCACCAGTCCAAAGCAAAGCACCACGGTTTGCCACGGACGTCTCACGGACCCCAGGCGGCGGCTTCCGGGCCCAGCCCCCAGGTCAAAGTCTTTCATGCAGGCGCTCAGCAGAAGAGCTTCCCCCCCCCAGCCCCGTTGGTCAGTAAGCTGCCCCCCACGGCCCCGCTGGTCAGTAAGCTCCAGGGCCCTAAGGCTCCCTCCCCACAGTGTCATCGCTCACTCCTCCAGCTCGTGAAGACGCCCAGCAAAGGACAGAACTTCCACCCTTCCACGCCAGCCTCGGCAGGAGGCACGCCCGTCTCCGGCAGCAGCTCTCATAAAACCCCCGCCTCGTCCTCTGCTGCCCTGAGCCACCCCACGAAGCCACACTCGGCCAGTGCTTCAGGGCCGTCTTACAAGAGCAGCCCCTTTGCCGGCCCCCTCTCCAAACATGGGCTTTCCTCTGGCAGCTCTTCCTCTGGGGGAACACCAGCCCAGGGCTCGGCCTCCGGGAGCCTGCTTCCGGGGGTGCAGCCTCCCTCCACGGGGCAGCCCCCCAGCCGGCCGCTGCCTGGCTCCGCAGTGAAGAAACCACCCGTGTCCCAGAAGCTGACCCTGGTGGCCCCTCCCGGCGGCCCCAATGGAGATTCCAGTGGCGGGACCCAGGGAGTGGCAAAGCTCCTCACCTCTTCCCTGAAGCCGAGCACGGCCAGCAGCGTGGCCTCGTCTCCCTCCTTGCCGGTGAGTGTGCTGCAGCCCTCCCCCACGGGCCTTGTGGCCAGGGCTGCCGGCCGCGTCTTGGTGGGAGGATGCGGTCTGTGCCTGACCTCCGCATCCAGGGAGCTGGGCTCACTGTTTCCAGGCCTTTATTTCTCTGCTGACAGCGGCCCAGGGAAGCCTGAGACTTCTCCTCCAGACACTTAGGGAGAGGACTGGTCGGTGCTGTGTTGCCAGGGAGGCTGGGAGGCTGTTTGCCTAGAGTGAGCCACAGAGTTTCCCTCTGTGCCCTCCTGCCTGCTCCTCTGTCCGAGTGGCGAGATGAAAATGGAGTCAGCCGTGGGTTTTGTGGGGGTGTTCGTGCCCCGGGGGATCAGTTACCAACCAAGAGTGAGTCTCTTCAGTGGGCTTTGGAGAACTCTGCAAAGACAGCTTGACAGGGCCCAGGGCTGTGAGGCTGGCCTGTGGGCAAGTCGAGGTTTGCAGGAGAGGCCCCGGTATATGAAACCGCTGTGTTTGAAGAGATGGCACTGTGAAAGCTTGTTGGGAGGGGCTCGTGCCCTCTGACCCATGCCCACCACCCCCACAAGGTACCCATGTTCCTTCCAGGCTTCTTCCCTGCTCCTTCCTCGAAACAGATCAGGACATGTGCTACACACGTTCCTGATGTATGTGAACAGGCACTCGGCATATTAGCGGGGATAGGCCTCCCTTTCCTGCACAAAGGAGGCCCATTTTAATGCCCTGCTTGCTAAGTGATCTCTATTTCCGGGGCCTTTCATGCCAGAGTTCAGAGACCCCTGCTCCTTTCTGGGGCCCAGGGGTTCTGGTTCCGGTGAGAGCGAGCCCTGGGGGTGCCCAGGGCTGACCTGCTGTGTCCCCTCTCCAGAAGGGAACGAGTGGGGCTGTGCTGCTGACCAGCTCCTCAAGTCTGCTGTCCTCGTCATACAAGTCAGGCAGCCCAAAGCTGCCCGGGGCCGTGAACGCCAGCTCCCTGGGCATCATCTCCCCGTTTCCTCTCCACATGATCTCCTTTGGCGCTGAAGCCTCTGCCAAAGCAGGGGTCTCCAAGGACGCCATCGTCACGGGACCTGCCCCTGGGACTTTCCACCATGGCCTCAGCCACAGTAAGTGTGTCCTCCTCCTCGCTACATGCTGGGGGTTCAGAAGGTGCCCCAGGAACTCTGTTGTGCCCCCCCACCCGAGTTCTGTTATCATGTTTGTCTGGTGTGTGACCATGGGCACGTCCGGGGGAGCTGTGCTGAGCCCCGTCCCTGGAGGTTTTTCACCAGAACCTGGTGCATAGATTGTCTGGGGCTCTTGGCCGCTGAAGCAGCTTTTCTGTTCCGTCTTCATTGTGTGTGTTTTGTTCTTTTCTCCCCTCCTTTGTTTTCTCCCAGGTCTCCTGGCTGGCTTGCACTCCAGCCCACCCCGCGCAGCGCCTCTCCCACACGCTGCGGTGTCCACCCACATCCCGCAGAGTCTGCCAGGTAATCGCCCGGCGGTCAGAGTGCCACGCACCCCCGCCCTCAAGTGCCTGTCTGTGCCAAGGGTTTCCGTGTCTTCACCTCGTCGTCACTGTGTTGTCTGGTTTGTCCTTTGAGGCGCTGGTCCTCAGAATCATGCAGGCACGTCGCTGGAAAGGCCCCTGGGTCAACCTGTCCCCTGTGGTCACAGACAAGGCTGTGGTGGCTCAGCTGCAAGGCTGAGTTCTAGCCCTGGCCTTCCTTTGTCATTAAAATAAAACGGAAAGACAGCAGTTTTATTTTAAAAAGACAGCAGTTCACAGAAAGCCCTGAACTGTGCCTGAGTGGGAAAGGCCTCAGGGGCCCTGCCCTCTGATGTCAGGGCGTCCAGAGAGGAACAGCCTTCTGGAGCGGGGTGCAGTGGAACGGGAAAGCTCCCTCCCCTTTCTGCTCAGACTCTTGGAAATAGGGCCCCTCCGCAAGCCCCAGGTTTGCAGCTGGGGAAAGAGGATGCACGCCCGGAGGCATCTTCGAGAGACTTGCCTGGCCCTCCTGGGCCTTGGGTCTGGGTGCACTTGAAGGCTGGTGGTGTGAGGCTGCCTGGGGCCTTGGCTTTGACCTCTGCTCCTTTTGCCGTGCTGCCCCAGGAGTGAGCAGCGGGCTCGTTGGTCAGGGGAGGCCTGAGTCTGGGGAACACTGGTTGGCGAGTGCCCGGCCGCCTTGCCCCGACCAGCCTGAGAGCTCTGACCCCAAGAGCCGTCTGCCCCCACTGTTACCGTGGCTTCCCGGCCCCTGTGTCCTGAGGCCGATACACTCACAGCGAAGCCCAGGAGCCCCCTGCGTGCCAGCATCAATTTGTGACTCTCCCAGAGGGACGTTTTACTTCTTCAGAGAAAGAAAGAAACTGAGGGGCTTAAGCCTGCATCCACAGTGACCCATTTCCTCAGGGAGCAGTGGGTGCAGGGCACACTCATCACAGGCTGGCAGCAGCCACTGCCCTACGGCCATTCTGTGGGGGCCCCGGGGTGAGTGTGCTTTCAGAGGTCGCGCTGCCCCTGCGGCTCTCAGCAGAATCGCTTTTCCTGAAACAGTCGAAGAGCCAGGGGCCCACGGCTGCTGCTCGCTGGTGTTGGCAGCAAAAAGACGAAGCCTTTCTTGCACCGCATCTTTCCGTGTCCCTCCGGGTAGTGGAAGGCGGGCCAGAAGACTGTGCTAACACAGTCTCTCTGAGCCGGCCTTTCTCTGCTTTCGTGTCCCGTGGTGGCCGGGGGCATGAGTGGCTGTAACTGAAAAGCAGTATGCCCGGGCTGCTGCATGGCTGCTCGGCTGGCTTTTCTCTGCATTCAATGCTCGCGCCTTTGAGCGTGTTTCCAGGACCCTGAGGTCCTTGCTGGGGGGGATGGGTCTCTGCCTTGTGGTGTGGTATGTGTGTGTCAGGCCTCGGGAGGCCGGCCAGCTCTAGCCTGTGAGTGGAGCAGAGTCTGTTGTACCAAGTGGCCCCCAGCCGGCACCTGGCATGACTCCAGGCATCGTGCGTGCAGCTGCTGCCCAGGTGGCCGTCCACAGGGCTGCCGGCCAGTGTTTCTTGGCCCTCCTGAGCCTCAGGTCACTCGGGTTGGGGGAGTTTGCCTGTGAGACGAGATCCCCTGGAGCTCTCCCAGGGTCAGCCTTAAGGGAGAGCTTAAGGCCATGGCACGGCTGCCTTAAGGGAATCAGAGGTCCTGAAAGACTTGTGTTCTGTTTTGTTTGTTCTTTTCCAGATGCTTCTCAGCTTCACGGGAAGGGGCCTGGCGTTCCACGGAAATTGTGACCCATTCGGAGGAAGGGCCTGATTAGCTTGGGTCTGGGTAGAAGATGACCGAATAGGCCTCAGAAATTGGATAATCGCCACGCCCTTTCTGCTGGTCGGTTTTCTTCTGGAGAAGGCGTGAGCATCTCTGGGCACTTGGGAAGGGACAGCCTGTGCTTCTCCTGGCACTGACTGGCCTGGTGGCCCAGGCTTCGTGGCTCTGTCTCGGACACTCGCTGGAGGGGCAGCCCCAGGTGGGGAGCACCCCCACTTGTGTATGGAGCTTTGTCGGCGGGTGGCGCCGTCGGCACACGTGGTGTTTACATCTGCCTCTCCCCCTGGCTTTGGTCGCAGTACCCTCATGGCGCCCTATTGGCCAGGGGCTCCTCCTGGCCACAGTGGATGCCTGGAAGGGCCTGGTGCCCACCTATCCGCAAGTGGTGTGCGCGGCAGGACAGAACCCGGGCTGACGCCGCAGCTGGGAGACTTACCTGGTCTCTCTGAGAATTCGCAGATCACCCACTGTGCTCGTCGTGGGGCCGGTTTCTCTGCTGAACATGACAGCGAAGCTCTTTTAGAGAAAAGACCTTTGTAGGTTCAACGATTGTGATAGGATTTTTAAAGACTTATTTTTGGCTCAGTTTTCATCATTACCGTTAAATGCATTGGCTAGAATGGTACTGTTCGTCACGCGTCGCATTGTAGGAAGACATAATCCCAGTGCCTTTAGGGTGGAGCAGGGCTAGACAGCACGTCCATTCAGCCCCCTGCGTGGGCCTCAGATGGAGACCTTTTTTTAAAGACATGTCTGTATTTTAGACATAGCAGTTTTATTTGAGTTTTTTACAGTTGCACATCATAATCTGTGCTGTTCTGATGTGAAGGTCATCTGGCCTCCAGGTCCCAGGCCCCCGATTTAGCCAGGCCCAGTTGTATTACTCAGTTGATGCCGGTGGACTGCAGGGCCCCAAAGCCTGACTTCATCTCTCAGGGCCGAGGCCGTGAGGAGTCCCGAGTCTCTGTGTAGACGCGTTCTCAGGACCGCAGGGTCCAAAACAGCCTTGAGGTCCTGGGGTGTCCCAGGCAGGGGGGCTCCACATTGACTTCAGGGGACACTGTTGGGCTTAAGAGACGACATCAGACAGACGAGGGGTTAGCCTGGAGCTCCTGAGCCGCCAGGCTGCTTCACGGCAGCACGGGGCCTCTGCTCCCGCCCCAGGGCCCTGCCGCTCAGCGTTGGTGCCGGCTGCCTCCGCCCGTGGCCGTGTTGTCAGGATTAGCAGCAGCCTCAGGTGTGGCCTGTGTGAAAAACCGCTGTCCGTTCCCGACCCTGATGTCCAGTGCTCAGTGGCTCGCGACCCTGCAGAGGGTTGCCAGTCACTAGGGGAGCGTGACCTCGGCCAGCCTTCTGGTCAGGCCTCTGCTTTTTTTTAATGTAAGAACCACCTCGGGCTAAGTGGATTCCTCACCCCTTTGTTATATATATTTTTTGCAACTTGGATCTCCGTTTGTTTACAGAGTAGTCTTAGGTAGTAGCAAAAGAGCCAAAGAAGAGATTTGCATTGCTGAGCTCGAAGCCGAGCAGAGGCCGTCCTGACGCTGAGCAGTGGGGATCTCCAGGCTTCTCTGCCCGAGAGCTCCTGGGGACTGTGCCAGCCCCGGCCCCTCCCCTGCAGCCCCCACCCCTGTGCCAGTGACATGCAGCTGGAGCAGAATTTCCTCATTTTTAGGAATCTAGTGATGCCTCTTGCCTCAGGGAACCGTTTCTTTGATGGGGAGTTTATGGGATTTCTTTTTCCTCTCTATGCTTTATTCGTGGGAAGGTGCGAGTGAGTGACTTAGCCAGCCATGGCAGGTGGGGCCACAGCAGTGGGCTCCTGGGCCAGAGGCGCACCTGTCAGGCAGCCCGCTGTGGCTTCTGTGCAGGATTGTGTCGGTGGTGGGGGTGGAGTGGAAATTGTTAATCTTGTATAAAGCAACTCAATAAATTGTTTCAAGGTTTCCAAAACACTTTCTCCTTCTTTTGTTGTTGCCATATTTGCAAGTAATCCTTTTTCTTGCAGGAGCTGGTGTCTGTGGGCAGCCCATTTTGGCCAAGTGCCAGCAAGGGAGTGGGGGAGTGAGCCCCCAGCGGAGAGAAAGAAACACACTTAGCATGAAATTAGAATCAAGCCACCAGGGTTTTATTTTCGTGCTATAAATAGAGTTCCCTATTCCTTCCCATTTTCTTGCATAATACATGAGATACAGAGAACCCCAAATTGGTTTGGTGAGAAATCCAGTTTAGTTTACCTAAATACCAATGCGAGAACAGCAAGACTTGTAAGGCACTGAAAGGAAGGCGAACAGCAGCGTAGTCCACTATGCAAATACTGTAATCTCGGGACTTGACGTTCTTGGAAGGCGCCCCGTCCTGGGACAGCCTGGACGGTCCACCCGCACGAGCCTGGGCGGAGGCTGTTCTGGGTGCACCGCGCCTTTCTGGCGCATGGCCCAGATCTGTCTCACGAGGAGGCCCGCGAGAAGTGGGTGCTTGGGAAGTGGGTGCTTGGCCAATGGCATCTGGGAGGGTGAGTGCAGGTGGGTGGCCCCCAGGACCCAGGCCCCGGCGTCAATGAACAGAAAGGTGTGTGGAGGGGAGGCTGTTTGGCCCTCGAGAGTCCCATCCGGCATGTGAAGGCCGGTGCTTGGCTGCCTCGGTCGTCTTGTGCTTTAGTTTCCAGATTGCCACCAGGAGTGTGCAGACGGGAGTGCGTAGCCCAAGGGCAGAAGAATGGTGTGGCAGTTGTCGGGTTGTGGAGGATGAGATGGGTCGCTCCCCGGGTTGGATGACAGGACAGTCACCCGTTCGGCCAGTGCCCATCCTGCCTATGGGTGAGCCACGCTCCAAGTGACCTGACCGGGCAGGGAGGACGAGCTGGGGTCAGGCACCTGTGTAGGCCGGGGAGGAAGACACCCAGGAGGTGATCGGGTAGGAGCGAGCCGGCCGTCTGCTGCCAGGAAGATGGGGTGAAAAGGTAGTGCTACTTCTGGCCGGACACCAGGACGGCCAGCTCCTGAATGGACATGTCCTTGTTGACATAGCGGTCGTACTGCGCAGGGGTCAGCCTCCCGCTCTGCAGGGCCTCCTCGATGGAGAACTTCTTGCCGGACTTCCTGTCGTGGATCACGGATGACTCCCCATTGGGCCCCTTCACCGAGATCTCCTCCCAGTCGCACTCCTGGCTCCTGAGCTTCACAAACATGTTCCAGTCGATGAGCCCGGCCCGGTGGGCCTCCTCAGGAGACAGCTCCCGGCCCGTGTCAGGGTCGATGACCACGATGGAGCGCCGCAGGTGGTTCTCCCGCTGCTCCCGCTTGACCGCCACGGAGCCCAGACGCTTCTGCAGCTCGTCGATCTCCAGGTCTTTGTCCCGGGAGAGGCGCTTGAGGTCGTCCAGCTCCCTCTCCAGGGACCACAGTCTGGAGTCGAGGTTGGCCCCGGAGTCCGCTGCTGTCATGTTCCTCAGGTCCCGGGTTTCTGTCGACGCCAGCTCAATTTCCGACTGGAGCCTTCGGGTCTCGAGCTGCAGGTTCTGCCGCTCCAGCTGGAGCTTGTGGTTTTCCTCCCGCAGAAAGTCCAGCTCCTTGGATGACTTGGAGTTGGAGAATTCCAGCTCCGACAGCTTGGCCTCCAGCCGGCTCACCTCTGCGTCCAGCTCGCGCTTGCTCCGGCTCTCCTCCTCCAGGCTGCTCTTGAGCTTCCGGATCTCTTGCTCGGTGTCGCCTTTCTCCACTTGCACACTTTCGGAGAAGACCACCTTCTCCTTGACCTCCATCTTCTCCAGGCGGCTCAGCTGAGTGCGCAGGGTCTCGAGCTCGCGCTCCAGCACCTGCCGCCGGTGCCGCTCCTCCTCCAGCTGCAGCTTGAGCAGGCCGTGCTCCCGGGCCTGCTGGGGGTCCTGCTGCAGCACCACCTTCTGCTTGAGGGTCACCTTCTCCCGGGCCTCCCCCTCCTCCTTCTCCAGGTCGGCCAGCCGCTGCTTCAGGTGCTGCACCTCCAGCTCGGCCTCCCGGCGCGCTTGGCGCTCGCGCTCCAGCTCCTCCAGCTGCCGCTCCAGCTCGGCCCGCCGGCGCTGCAGCCGCCGCAGCTCCCCACGCAGCATGTCGATCTGCCGGAGCTCCACGTCGATGCTCTCTGTGAAGGCGTCCACCTCGGCGCGCAGGCCCGGCTCCTCCTCGTACTTGACCACCTCCTGCTGGACCACCTTTTCCTTCACCTGGGAGAGCTCCGCCTCCTTCTCTCTGATCTTCGCCTCCTGGGAGGCTCTCTCCCGCTCCAGGTCTACCTGCTTCTTCTGTTCCTCCGACAGCCTGGCCCTCAGGGACTCCACTTCCTCTTTGGTTTGGGGGTCTTCCCGGAACTGGAGGATCTCCTGGACCACCTCCTTGGTCTGCACCTGGGGCTTGGTGTCCTTCAGGGACTGGATCTCCTGCTTGAGCTGGTAGATTTCTAGGTCACACCTCTCGATGAGCCTGGTCTTGTCCACGATCTCCTCCCTGAGCCGCTGCAGCTCCTTCTCCATCTCGGGGTCGGTCTTGTACTTGATGACTTCCTTGGTCACCTCCTTGACTTCCACTTGGGGGCCCCGCCTCCTGAGCGCCTCCAGCTCGCTCTGGTAGCTCTTGAGCTGCTCCTCGGCGCCGCGGAACTTGCGCTCCTGCTCCACCAGCTCCAGGCGGAGGTTGGCCACCTCACTCTCGGCCTTGGGGTCGGGCCGGACGATCTCCCGCACCTTCTCCTGCACCACCACCTTGGCGTTTTCCTCCTCCAGGGCCCAGATCTTGCGGAGCAGCTCGGTCTTCTCCCTCTGGTGGGTGCGCGCCGTGGCGGCCTCGTCCTCGTACTGGCGCTGCAGGTCGCCGACCTCCCTCTCGGTGGCTGGGTCCCTCTCCACCTTGAGCACCTCCTTGACGGTGATCTTGCTCTCAGCCATGGCCCGCTCCTTCTCCAGCCTCTTCAGCTTGTCCTGCAGGAAGCTCAGCTCCTCCTCGTGCCTCTCCCTGAGCCTGCCCTCCCGCTGCTGGGCCTCCTGCAGCTGCCGGTACTCAGCCTCCAGCTGGGGGTCGTTCTGCAGCCTCACCACCTCCTTCTCCATGACCTTCTCCTGCGCCTGGCCCTTCTCCTGGGCCAGGGCCGCAATGCGCTGCTGCAGGAGGGCGGCCTCTGCCTCCCTGGTGCCCTTCTGCCTCCTCAGCTCTTCCAGCTCCTCCCGCAGCTTCAGGACCTCGTCCGCCTGGGCCCTGTCGGGCTCGATGCGCAGGACCTCCTTGACCACGTACTCCTGGCCCCCGTCCCCGGTCTCCTGCTCCAGGGTGCGCAGTCGCCGCTGCAGCGCCTCCAGCTCCTCCCTCAGCAGCTGGTTCTTGTGCTGCTCCTCCGCCAGACTGCGCTGTGTCTGCTGGAAGCTCTCCTCCAGCTCGGGGTCCGGAACCTTCTTCAGCACCTCCTTCCGCACCACTGATTCCTGCGGGCTCTGGTTCTGCAGAACCCGGATCTCCTCCCGGGCACTCTTGACCTCATTCTCCAGCTGCTGCCTCCGTTCGGTCTCCTCGTCCAGCTCCTTCTGGATCCTCCAGGTCTCCCCCATGGCGCCCCCAGGCCGGCTCCCCTGCAGAGCCTCGTGGGTCATGCCCACCTCCGGCTGCTAGGAAGAAGACCGCGTGTGCGTGAAAACCTGACTCTGGGGAGCCTCTGCCCGCTGCGGTGGGCCGTCCGGGCCCCGGGTGGCTTGGGTGCTGGGCTCACACAAGCTCTGGGCTCACAGGTCACTGAGGAAATGACTTAACTTAGAAGAGTCCAAGAGGAAGCGCAGTCCTGCCTCTGGCCCTGGCCCACGCTGGCACTCAGGCCATCTGCTGGCCGGCCCTGTCTGCACCCTCAAGGGAATTCCACACCGGCACAGGGTGCAGCTTCAGTGTTTAACTGACAATTTCCTGCCATCTGGACGGGTGGGATATAGCTAATCCCTCCACTGCCAGTCTCTTGCTATTACAAGGTTCTGCCTCTAATTCTGGCCTTCCAGTGTCTTGCTATTAGTTTCCAGTTTCTTGCTATTACAAGGTTGTTATAAACATCATGTGCTTTTAAAAGTGTTACCTTGTACTGAGTACTCAGCAAGTGATTACTGGATGGAGTCACACTCATGCCAGCAGAAGCACCGGCCTGGCCAGTGTCTGCATCACCGCAGTGAGCCGGGGCCACACCTACTGGGCCCCAGGACACCTCCTGGGGCAGAATGATTCTTCTTACCTGTCTCAGGAGATTCAGAGCAAACTCCAGATTCTGCAGCCTCTGTCTGTTGATGGCATTGACTTCGGTGAACTTGGCAGCAAGCGCCACTTCCTACGGAAGAGCAGAGGGTCAGCAGGCTGAGAAGGAGCCAGGACAGCTGTTGAAAAGCCTGGCATTTGCAGATAGAGATGGCTTCTGGCTCCCTCCTTCCTACCTGGAGGCACGCTGCAGCCCCACCCAACGACATGAAGACCAGCGGTCAGGGCAGATGGCTAAGGCACCCTCCCACCGCTGACCTTGAGCAGTTTTCTGTCTGGGCCTCCGTGTCCTTGTGTGTGGAAGGCGGACAGCTGTGTGCTCACTATGGGGAGCCAGTGGGAGCCTCCCAAATCCATGGTTTTGACTCAGATACCTGCAGCCTGTCAGTGTCACTGTCCCAGAACGAGTTCACTTCTCTTACCACAAGTGTTTGCACCAGCAGGTGCAACGGTGCACGGTCCTCCCATGCTCTTGGGAGGACCAGCCAGTCTGAGCAGGCCTGGCCTGAGAACTCACCTCCTCCTTCACCTTGGCAGCAGGGGACTGCAGCCTGGCTCTCTTGCTCACGTGGCTGTTCCTTCCATTCTCCAGGTCGAGGAGAGACCTCAGTTTCTCAGCTTCTAACTCGTAGTCCTGGGTGAAAGAGACATGGCAGAGCTGTTGGCGCCTGCGTGGTTCTTACACCCCTTCCAGCCGGTGGCCGCACCCAGCCTGCATGCGGGAGGCCCTGAGAGCTACCCCGTCACTGGTGTCGGCTCTTCCACGACGCTGTACCTCGAGCCTCTGTCCCTACTGCCCCCACCTCGCCCTCCTGGCTGGCGGGACTGAGGCCTGATGGCCCGCCCTGTGGCTGGATGGCCACGTCCTCAGCCGCTCCGGGACAGGAGGTGGCTTCTAGGTTGTTGACTCGGCTACTGTCGAGAATGCAGGGCTGGTGGCTTTGCGTATCCTGCATTCTTTTGTATGTTCTCCTCTAGGAGAGAGCCTTCTTTCCCTGAACCCCCGCCCCGAGTTTACTGCTTTAAGGGTAGAGAGCCCTTTTCAGGTGCCAGCTGCCTGGCCCCGTGCTGTTCCCCTGGCAGCCAGCCGCGTCTCTCCACCTCCCGGGGGAAAGAGGAAGGAATCTGATGTCTCACCTTGACAGCTTGCTGGTACTGCTGGGAGGCGGTGTAAACTCTCTGTACTTCCTGTTCCCTTCTCGCTATTTCATCTAGCAGGTTCTGTAAAAGAACAGACTTCACAGATCAAAATTAAAAGCAAAACCTTGATAAGGCAGCTGGACTGCTTAGAATCTGGAATTACCCTTCTGTACAAATGAATGGCTTCCCTGTCTGCATCTGTCCCTTACCGAAGGCAGTTCTAAGGCACTGTGGAGAAGGGCCAAGGAGATGCTTATCTGTGCCCGGAAATGAACGTTTATTGAGTGCTTCAAAATGGCACTGTTCTGCTATCTTAGATGATCTCATGTCATCTTCCAACAGCCCTGTGAGGTAAGCACTGTCATTATCTGCAGTTTCTGAGTGAGGACACGGAGGCACAGCAAGGTGTAGTGACACCCGTGGGCACACAGCTGGGGGGCGGAACTGGAACCCGAGTCCAGGCCGTGGCGTTCCCCGTCCCCGGTGCCTTACCCTAAGGCATTGCTGCCTTCTGAGAAGGCCTGACCCTGAACTTTGGAAACGAGGTTTTTCCTACAAAGGCTCCTCTGGTGTTCTGGGGCCGCCTCATCCAGGCAACTTGCCCAGAGCGTCCATGCTGGGCCAGGCCCCGTGTAGGCACCGAGGAGAGACGAGTGAGCGGGATGCCGCCCTCGTGCTCAGGGCGCCGGGCAGGGCAGAGCCCTTGTGAGGACACGGCTCTGCAGGGCTCCCTCACCGTCGGGGAGGGCCCTCGACCTGACCCCCTGGCTCCCCTGTGCGGTGGAGGCAGAAGCAGCTGTCTTAACCTTCTGATTCCTCAGCTTGGTCTCCATCTGGCTGAGGCTGTCTGTCTCCTGCGGCTCATAGCTGGGGACGCTGGACAGGAACCGGAGCACCTGGTCGCAGCCCTGCCGGTACTCGTCGTAAGCGGCCTGCGCGCTCTGCAGGCTCCGGGCCCTGCGGGCAGAGTCAGGTGTCAGCAGGCGGGCAGCCGCTCCCGGGGCTGCTCCCCAGCCCTCAAAGAAGTCTCCTGTGCTTGTCTTAAAAGGCAATACTGAGTGGAACTGAACCGGAGGGAACCCAGGCTTTCACCGGAAAGGGAGAAGCTAGGCGTACCGGGGTGTCACGGACTCCACAGCTCTGTGGAGAACAGGTAAGGCCGACCTGCGGCACAGCCCCGAGTCCCCTGCTGGTCTAAGAGAAGTCACAGGAGGTCAGGAAATCTTGGGGACGCACCGAGTGGGCAGCGTGTGGGCACAACAGACGCAGGGGTAGAAGCGCTACTGTTAGTGTTCAGCGTTCGGTTAGAAAAGCGTTTCTCAAGTCAACACTCTCAGCTTCTGCCGTAAGATGAAAAAGCAACTCCAGTGTCGGCAGCAGTAAGGAAACAAGTGGCGGCAGCGAAATAGGAGCCAGCAGACAACAGAAGGCACGTCGAGTCCGAGCGCCAGCTCTTTGAAACGGTCAGCAGGCCGACAGGCCGCAGGTGACCGACCAGGACTCGGGTCAGGAAGACACGGGCAGTGTGTGCCGGGAGGGGCGCCCGGGCGCTGCGGGCACCGAGGGCGGGAGCACACCCGGCAGCACCATGCCAGCGCGTCCTGCAGCGTGGTGGGGGACAGGTGACTTGGAAGGACACGCCTGAAGTGGCTCAGTCAGCGGCTCAGTGGCCTGCCCAGGGCCTCCCAAAGGGGCTGGACTTGCAGTGAAGACCCTCACTGCACGGAATAAGCAAGACGCAGGTCCAGATGGCGTCACTGGTGAGTTCTCAAGCATTTAAGGAAGAAACACGCTCTGCAGAAACGTGCAGAAACGAGAAGGGAGGACGCTGGCGCTGGACGGGCGGAGAGCGGCACTGCGCAAGGGCCTGTCCTGGCCTCTGCCTGGCGTCTGCAGGGTGTTTTTGGAAGGACCTGCAAACTGCTACTAACAGCTCCCTCGGGGCTGGTCATCAGGACTACTTGGGCTTGTTTACTCCGGAGGGCGCTGCTTTTTTCCAGAAAGGAAATGATGCAGGCAGCAGAGGCCCCTGGTGGGGGTGGGGTGTGGGTGTGGGTGTGTGTGTGTGTGTGTGTGTGGTGTGGTGTGGTGGTGTGGTGTGGTGTGTCCATCCGCACCTGCACTCCACCTGCTGGCTCAGGTTGTCGAAGCGCTGGCCCAGCTTGTGCACCTCGGCCTCCTGGCGCTCCAGGTCGGGGCAGTGCTCCTGGAAGCGGCTGGCCAGCAGGCCGCAGCACTGCTTGGCCGCCTGCAGGTTCTTCTCCACCTCGCCCACGAGGGCCTTCTGAGCCTGCAGCTCGGAGGCCATGGCCTGCCGGGCGGAGAGGGAGAGCTGCTCAGTCGGGGCTCCCCGGGGCCAGGGCGGCACTGCCCACTGCTGGAGGTACTTGGGGCCCCTGGTGTGGGGGTGATGAAGCCTGGGCTCGGGGGCCTCTGCCATCCTCCTCCCCCACGTCATTTCTGCCACGTCCCATTTAGTTACGAAGAACGAACCTGGGGAAACCCAGTTTCTCAACCTGCACGCAGCAGCGGCGTGTGCCATGACAGCACGCCCAGGGCGGCAGTGGGCTGGCTGCTCAGCCCGTGTCCTCCGCTCTGGGGGGGGCCTCAGTGCATCCCGAGGCCCATCTGGGCTCACACCCGCAAGCCCACAAGTCAGGTCAAGTGGCTGAGTGGCCACGGGCCAAGAAAGCACATGCCGGTGGGCCACGCCCCAGCCCACCACCTGGATCTGTTCCTCCGGAAGCCCCAGAGCAGCTGGGCGCCAGCGGCAGGCTGGAGGGGCGCTGCTGCAGCGCTGGGGGGAGCGGAGGGGCATCTGGAGCCCAGCTCAGAGAAAGAAGGCGCCGGCCCCGACTCACCGCCAGCCCCTGCCTCTTGCTGTCCAGGGCGTGGCCGCTCTCGGGCACGGTGTCCTCCTGGGCCAGCTGGTTCTCGTAGGTGGCCAGCACCTCCCGGCCCTGCTGCAGGCTCTCCTCCAGGCGGTGGGCGGTGTCCACCCTAAGGCCACAGGTCACGAGTGGGGTTGCCCATCTGGCCCCTTGCCCCAGCTCCTCCCTGCTGCCCACCTGGCACCCACTTCTCCCGGGCCGAGTCCAGCAGCTGCAGCAGGCGCTCGTATCTGCGGTGGGTGTCGTCCACCCGGGTCCTCAGCAGGGGCGTGCTGCCACTGCCCGGGAGCGCCCGCGCGAAGGCCTCGCACTCCGCGGTGCTGCGTGTCTTCTCGGGCTCAATCTGCAGCAGCTCGCTCGAGATGAGCTGTGGAGCGGGCCGGTCACCAGCCTGGCCCCGGGCACGCCCAGGGACAGGGTGGACATGCAGGGCTGGGCCCTCCCGGGGCAGAGGCGCCTCCCCGGGGCCTGCCCAGGTTACCACATCCAGGGGCCATCGGGCAGGGCCGCTCGTGAGAGCGATGGCAAGCGGCGGTGGGGCTGCGCCCACACTCTGCGGGCCCACGCTCCGGCCACAGGCGGGGACGCCACACAGCCTGGAGCGGCTTGGGGAGGCCTCGCGGCCACCCCAGTACCAGGCATCCCCCAGGCCCCGACTCGGCCTCCGCACTGACGCGAGCCCACCGAGGGCCATTCCGCTCTGTAAGCTGGGGGTGTCCTCCACCACGGAGGACCCCGCATAGCGGGCACTGAGGCCAGCAGCATTCCTCCCCGCGCTGAGCCACGGGACTGGGCATCTGAAAGGGGAGGGCTGGTGGCCATCCAGCCCCTGGGAGGGGGACCTGCCCATTTTACTGAAGAAATGAGGCTGGGGTTCAAGTAACGGGCTCCAGCAGAGAGTGAGGCGGCTCTGCACCCCACAGCGTGTGCAGCCTCCCTTGGTCCCGCCCCCTCCACGGCCCGGGCCTCCTGCTGCACATGGCCAGGGCCCCGGTGAGCACCGAGGCCCTGGGGATGAGAACCTGCCCGAGGGCCGGGAGCCTGCCCCTGCCCATGCGGAGGTACCGTGAGGGCCTTGGCTCGCTCGGCGCTGTCCTGCATCGCCCGGCCCTGCTCCAGCGGGGGCCGCAGCACCTCCGTGATGGCCTTCTCCTGCCGGTCCAGGTCGCTGGCCACCTTGTCCAGGCTGGCCAGCAGCTGTCGCCCCTGAAGGTCAGAGGCATCTGCCAGAGGGAAAGAGTTGCAGGCAGTGGGGTCGAGCGGGCCCTCGGAGGCCCACTGGCCTCCCACAGCCCGACCCCTGCCCTCCCCTGGCAGTACAGACCCCCGGCTGGCACCCACCTCCAGGGTTCTCTGTCCTCAGCACCTCATGTCGCTGCTGGAGTGCACTCCTGCTCCCGGCCGCCTTCTGCCGCACACTCCGGTACTGGCTGCCCAGGCTGCGAGAGCAGATCCCGGTTGGTCCCACAGAGCCCAGCCGGGCCACCGAGCCCCAGGGCCGCCTGGCGGTCAGTGGTGGGCCCAGACGCAAAGGTGGGCTGGAGTACTCGTCTCCCAGCTTCCAAGACCCCTTCTTCTCTCCACGGAGGGTTTTACTCCCTAATGTTGTCATTTCTTTGTCTTCCCCACCAAGGAGGAGTAGTACGCAGTAGGTGCTCAATAAATGTTTGTCAAATGAATCAATGAAGGCATCCCGAGTCACTTTTGCCTTGTGCCAGGGACTGACAAGGCCCTGGGAGTAGGGGATGGCCACAGAGGCCCCCTCCCCGCCCTTGGGAGACGGTGTGTAAAGAGTGGGGCAAAGGGGCAGTCCCGGAGGACTTCACGGAAGAGATGGCCCGGAGTGAGCCAGTAGGACTCTGGGTAGAGCGTGCCCTGAACTGTGCTCATGGTGGATGGTCTCAGGACAGCCCACCAATGCCATCTGTCCCACTTAAGCGTCCAGGGGCTGGTTGCTGCAGGTGTAGGGGCGTTCATGAAGCCGGGGCTGCCGGAACGCCCAGGGCTGTAACTGGGACCCGAGGAGCCCGTCCAGGCCACTCCTTTGCCCCTGTACCTGTCGGCCAGAGCCAGGGCCTCTGGGTCAGTGGGAGGGATCATGAAGCAGACGGCCGGGGCGGTCAGCTTGTTCCCGGCACTGTCGGTGAGGTCCCAGCTCTCCCCGTGGTTCTTCTGCAGGGTGTAGCTGTAGCCCCTCAAGATGGGGCCCTGACAGGAGCGGGCCAGTCAGAACCGCCGCGGGCCTGCCTCACTCCCACCCCACTCTGAACCCGCCCCAGATGTCTGGCCCCGGGAGGGAGGGGTTGGGTGTGCAGGCCAGTTCCCACCTGGACTTCACTTTGGGGGAACACCTGCTCCCGCCCTGGAGGGCTTCACGGGACATGTGGGCTGGCCTCCTGGCCGCCGTGCTGTTAGGCTGGGCATGCGCCTGGAGCCAGGCCAGCCAGAACCCCCAGGGCTGCTGGGGTCTCCGGGCTGCTCGGCTGGTGGTCAGGAGGCCAGAGCAGCGGGCAGTGGGTGCAAGGTTGCAGTCACCCCAATGTCAGAGATGCACGGGTGCCTGAAAGTCCAGGGGCCCTGCACCCCACCTGTCTCCCTCAGTCTTCCCAGTGCCTGGGATCCTGGGGCAGCTCACCTGGTCCCCCTCAAAGTCACAGAGGGCCTCCACGGGGATGGGCTTGAGTGGCGTCTCCCGGCGGTACTTGAGGGGCACTACCTGCTGCCCTCGCTGCTGCAGCCCCCGCACCACCTGCTCGTACTTGTCCAGCGCCTTCTCCTGGTCCTGCGAGGAGGTGTGGTCAGCCGCCCGCCTGCCCGGCCGCCCGCCCAGCCCCTGCCGGGCCCAGCACTCACGTCCAGCTCCCGTAGCAGCAGCTCGATCTGGTAGCGGTCCTTGAAGTCGGGGCTGTACTTCTGGTTCAGGTCCGAGTCCACCTTGCGCAGAAGCTCCTGGGCGTCCTTCAGGTCTTGGTGGAACTAGGGGAAGCCAGCGGCCCCGTCACCAACGGGGAACCGCTAGGCCTCGGGAGCTAATCCTCAAGCCCACTCCTGGGGGGCCGGGCCTCCTCTACACTCTGGGGACTCCCCGGCCCAGCTCCCAGGCTACTGTGCGCCCTGCCCGACAGGTTCCCGACCGCCCCACCCCCCCTGTGCTGAGCACACCTGCCGGAACCCCTACTTTCAGTCTATGTCCCAGTACACGTAAGACAGGCCGCCCCACTTTGTTCTAGAAAATTCTCCTGCCCACTTTTCAGTCCTTCAGCTCTCGAACCATTCGCTGTCAGTGGCCCTGTGGGCTGAGCCGTGACCAGGAGCTGGAGCTCCACGTGACGCCCGCGGCCGGCGGGAGAGGCGCCCACCGGCAGCCCGACCGCGAGGGCCAGCGCGGCTCGTGGTGCACACACCAGGAGCCAGCCCAGGGCGCTGGCCACATGCCCCGACGCCACTGCTGGAGCGACCTCGGAAACACGCTCCAGACTGAGGCCAGACGCACGCACATCTGCATCTGGTGCATCCCAGAGTGTAGACCACAGCTGCCAGGCCGGGACGGGGTCAGCGTCTGGGGCGGACTCCTGGGGTGAGCAGTGAGTCCCGGGAAGATGGCAGTGAGGGTTGCACAGCATCGCGTGCCCGAGATGCCGGCTCAGCAACGGCCCCGACGGCAAGTCTCACACTGTGCCTTGGCAAAGGACACCCCCTTGGTACTCACACCCCCTCCCCCCTTCCCTCTGGGGCCCACCCTGACCCGGAGACCCAGACGCTCCAGCCCAGCGCCCCGGCCGGGCGGTACCTGGTGGAAGTCCTCCATGAACTTGAGGTGGCTCTCCTCGCAGATGAGCAGGTTCAGGTACTCCTTCCAGTCCGCGTGCACGGCCTCCATGTGCGCCTGCGGAGAGGGGGCAGCTGGCTGAGGCGCGGGGCCAGGGACACGGGGAGGATGGAGAGGGGGCGGGGGGCCTTCTGGCGTCTGCCTGGGCGAGGTTCCCACAGACGCGGCCAAGTCCTGCCGGGGTGGGGGAGAGGGACCGCCTCGAGGGGCCAACAGGGCCGCCCGGGACAGGCGCTCAGGCCGTGCGCTGCCCGACAGCAGGGGCTGTGTCCGCCCGGACAAAGCAGGGCCTTCAAAAAGCTCACAAGGGCAGAGCGGGAACAACAGCCCCACGCCCCCAAGCTCACGTCCACCTGGAACTCTGAAGTGGCCCTGTTTGGAGGAGGGGCCTGGCCCGCGGACGGCTTGAGGATCTCCGGGCGAGATCGCCGCGAAGCTAGGGTGGGCCCTACGCCCAGCGACGGGGAGGCAAGGCGAGGCCTCGTGAAGACCAGGCCCCGGCCTAGGGACACGGGGGACAGCAGCCGCGCCAGAAGCCAGGAGGCCGGCAAGGAAGGACACCCCCCGCCCCGCAACCAGCATCCCCGAGGGCGCGCGCCTGAATGTAGACCTGGGTGTGGAACTTCGCAGAACTGGAGCGAAAACATTCCCGTCCCTCCAAGCCACCAGGTGTGGTGCTTCATCACGAAGCCCCGGGAAATGCAGACAGACACCACGGGGGCTTCAGAAGGTGGGGGGACCCCCGGGGCAGGTCTCGGCCAAGAAAATGAGAGGCGGGTCCACAGAGCGAGAGGCAGAGGGTGCGCAGGCCCCACCCCGCCCCGAGGCTGCTCGAGGAGTGGCCCTTGGGCGCACCTCGATGGAGTTCCGCCCGGGGTGGTCGGCGGCCAGCAGCTGGTCACCCTCGCTGTGCAGCTTGTTGATTCTCTCCTCCTTGGCCTCCAGGTTCCGGTTGATGAAATTCTGCGGCGGGAGCATGGCGGAGGGGCCTCAGCGCGACCGGCAGCCCCGAACCCTGCCCCCGCCCCTCCCCGGCCCAGCGCTCCCACCTCGTATTGGCGGCGGCGGCTGGGGTAGTCGAGGTTGCGGTCACTCCAGTCATACTGCATGCGGCCCTTGGCCTGCTGGTCCAGCCAGTACAGCTCGTTGGTGCAGCGCTGCATGTAGTCCTGCAGCGAGCTCAGGTGCCGCTGCCGTGCCTGCGACTCCGCCTGTGGGCGGGGTGGGGGCGGGAGGAGACCCCTGAGGCCATCCGCAGTGGGAGTGGGGCCTGCAGGCGGGGTACTGAGGTGCCCACAGAGGGGGGGCTTGCACCGGGCTCTGCCACCTGACGAGCCACCCGACTCTCGGGAACTCTTGCACTCCTGCAGCAGACCTTTATGAAGCACCTACTAAGTACCACACACTGCTGCAGGCACTGGGGTCAAGCACAGGATGACACAAAGCCCTCACAGGACTGACACTTTGTGGCACCTCAGTCTACTCATCTGCAAAACCAGGGCAAGGACAGCACTGAAGTCGCAGGGCCAGACTGGCACAGGGCAGATGGGAGCTCAAGAAGCGCTACGCTGACCTCGGGGCAAAAGGCTAGAGAAACAGCGAGGCTGACAAGGGGTGAGCAGGACGGGCGAAGGGGTGTCTGCGTCTGCCCTGCAAACGGGAACAGGAGTTAACACGGCGGTCGCCCCCATCATGGGCCGGCCGTGCTGCAGGCCTGCCTCAGTCTCCCCAGGACCCGACTTGTGTGACTCCACCTTACGGAGGCGCCAAGGCTAGGGGTGGGTGGAGCCTCCTAAGGGCTACCCTATGCCCCCTCCGCCCCTCGCACTGAGGGGTCTGAAATGCCTGCAAAGAGAAACCATTTCTGCCTCACAGCAGCTCTGAGAAGGAGGCGTTTTCCATAAAGATTCTGGAAATCAATAGGAAACTTTTGCCTATAAAACATGTGGCATCATACATGGCACATAGTAGGTGCTTCAGAGACATGAGACGCTAACTGGAGATGAGGCTGGATCCAGCAGCTCTGTGAGGGTCTTCCAGGAGCGTGGGGCCAACTGGGGTGCCTCTCCGGCAGGGGGTGTACTGTCACTGCACACGCGGCCCGTCCCCCCACGGTGGCTGCCCGGCCCGTCATCCCGTTCCTGGGATCTCACCAGCAGTTTCTGGTACTTGGCCTGGAGTTCGCTGTTCAGCTCCTGTGGACAGAGGCGCTGGGTGAGAGCGGGCGGGGGGCACACCCCTCCGCCCTGGCCCCTCCTCCGCCTGGCGCCCACCTTGCCCCCGTCCTTGGCCAGGTGGGGCCCGATGGCCTTGACCTCGTTGTGGAAGATGTTGTGTTGCTCCACCTGCTGGTCGACCAGCGGCAATTCCGTCCCGAAGCCCTGACTGCTCAGCTTGTCCTGCGGAGACAGCGGGGCCGCGTCTACACGTGTGGCCACCTTTAGTCCCCCAGGCCACACGGCACATGCGGGGACATGGGGGGCCCTTTCCTGGGTCACACATTGTTCCCCGGTGTCCACAGTGGAGACAGGCTGGCCAGGGGGCCAGAGCCGGAGGGGAGACCCGGAGGCCCGAACCCCCACCACTCGGGCTGTGTGACTCTGGGCGAGACGCCGTGCCTCTCTGAGCCTCACGCTTGTCACCTGGCAGAACCTCGGTGCCCGCTGACCCTGGGGGCCAAAGCCCGGCCTACCAGCTTCTCCTCCACCAGCGCCGCCCAGTTGACCTGCGGGTCCACCTCCTTCACCGCCAGGTTGTAGACCTGCTTGTGCTTCCCGCGGAGGTTGGCCACACGCTCCTTCAGCTGACGGATGCTGGGGGAGAGTGACCGGGCAGCGGGCGGGTGTCACAGCCTGCTGCACCCCCAGCAGGGCCTTCTGCACAGTGACCGCCCTCCTCCTGTCCACTGTGCTTCCTCCCTCGACACTCCCCCGGAGTTCAGTGTGCCCAGAACCACGGGAGGCTCCAGAGAAGCTGGGAGGCCCAGTAGGCGGGAGGATGGTGCACGCCAGGGACAAGCCCGTTGAGACCCCTGCCCCCGCTGGGGCGGGCTGGGCTGGGAGGTGTCTCAGGTGCTGATTCACCCACACCCGAGCCCGGCAGGCAGGGAGAGTGCACATGAGGTGAGCAAGCGGGGGGCTGTGGGCGCGCCTGGCAGCACAGGGGATGCCGGGGTCCGTGCCTGCTTCCTGACCGCGGGGGCTGGGCACGTGCCTGCCACCCCTCCTCGATGCCCCCGCTTTGGGTGCCCGAGTGCTGGGGGCCGCAGGCTCCTGCCTGACCCACGCTCCCGAAGGGCCCGGCGCGGGACCTACTCTTCAGCGATCATGTCCCCCTGGGGGTGCTTCATGTGCTTGGCGATGGCCGAGTCCGCCTCCAGCACGTACAGCAGCTTCTCCGAGTCCGACACCCGCTGCAGGGCCACGTCCCGGTGCTCGGGCTGCCGGCCCTCCTGCAGCCGGGCCAGGTCCTGGGGGAGCCCCGGGGAGGGACAGTGAGCGTGTCTCACGGCACCCAGGAGGGAGGGGCCGGCGAGCCCCCAGCCCCCTCGGGAGCCCGCGGCACACCTGGGGCAGCTCTGGGGCAGGCTGTGAGCTGTGACCCCCACCCAGCCCTGTGGGGGGGCAGCCAGAAAGACAAGTCACTCTCACAGGAAGTGATGGCAATTTCCTACCATCGGGTGAGTGGGTGCTTACCAAGGACACACACCAGGGGTGCGGCAATGGCCCCCCTGCGTGGGACACAAGCCGAGAGCAGAGGAGGGAAGGGAGCAGGGTTCTAGATGGGGGAACAGTCTGTGCAAAGGCCCTGAGGCAGGAAAGGGCGAGCCATGGTGGACACCCCTATGCAGCTGGATGGCAGGAGGGAAGAGGAAGTGGGGGTGCCGGCAGGGCCTGTGGGCTCTGGGTGGGGTGAGGGTATGGAATGGCCCAGCAGCTGCTGTGAGCAGGGAGGGCAGTCAGCTGCGGTGACCTGTGGTGCCGGCCGAGCGCCTGGGGTCGGGTGGCTGTGGGGGGCGGTAGCACTTGGGAGGCACAGCCAATAAACTGCCCTTTGGGGGAAGGACCGGGAACTGTGGCCAAGCCAGCAGGAATCTGAACACGGCCTGGTGAGCCATTTAGTCATCTTCCCAGAATCCTGTGGGCATCTGGGGGCCCTGGAAACCCCAGGCCAGCAGGGGACACAGTAGTAAGGGGGCCAGTACCTCCCCTGGCCAAGTCTCAGGAGCCCCATCTCTGCAGACATATAAGAATCATCGGGAACCATGGCCCTCCCACAGCAGGAAAGCAGGGGCCAGGGACGCCTGGCCTGGAAAATCACAAAGCAAGACAAGCAGGACCCAGAGGCCCCGGGGGCGGTGGTGGGGTGGGCCTGGGGCCTACTGAAGCAAACTCACTTTCCATAGCCATGCCTCAGTAGGAGGGCATGGGAACAGAAACCATCCCAGGGCTGACATGTAATGAATCTCACGGTGGGCAGGTGGACGAGGGCGACCTGGCGTCCACGCTGCGGCTCTGCCAGCCTCCCTGCCCGTTTATGATTTGGGAGCCACGCGACAGGTCGCCACGGCACAGCCCCACGTCTGTGAAGTGTCCAGAGCAGGAAATCCAGAGACAGAAAATCAGTGGTGGCCAGGGCTGGGGGCAGGGGTGCGGTGGGGGGCCGCTCAGGGCAGGGGTCAGGGCTGGGGGGGAGGTGGGGGACTGCTCAGGGTGGGTGTCAGGGCTGGGAGGGGTGGGGGGCTGCTCAGAGCCAGGGCGAGGAGAGAGTGGGGTCCACAGCCTGGGACAGCACCTAGTGCCAGGGAGTGGTCACTTGAAACGGCTACGTCATGGGAATCTCACTGTAAAAAACTGGAAAATTCAGGTACTTTGGATGATGAGATGAATAGTGATGCCTTCTAGAGGGAGGGAGGGAGGAGGGAGGTGGGAAAAGAAGAGGAAAAGGTTGCCTGGTCCAGTCTCCACAGCTTGCTTTTTCCAAATTTGTTCATTTGAAGCGAAAGACTGGCGTGAAATGACCGTCCAAACACATGGCCGTTACTCTGGGCAGCTCAAACGAGAGGGTAGACCCTGTCCTCGCTCCCCCGCCCAGGCGTCCAGCAGACACGCCAAAACCCGGCTCGCTGGCGGGCCTCTGCTGGTGGCCCTGGGATGTTAATTTGTTTATTGGTCCTGAAATGTTTGTAAGGAACACATATTACTTTTATTAGGGGAGAAGAAGGGACACACCTCCCGGAGCTGTTTTCATTTAGGAGAGAACGCCAGGGAACATGGGCGGGGGGGTGAAGGGGCCACAAGGGGGCATCCGGAGGAGAGGGCCTTGGCCACTGGGACCCCCACCCTGCAGGTCTCTGTGCTGCCTGTGGACTGGCCCTTGGCTGGGGCCACCCCGGCTGGGCCTGGGGACAGGACTGGGCCGGTCGGGCCTTAAATCTGGGGTGACCTGTCCCTCCTCAGCACCCACTCCTCTGGACCCACCTCCTAACCCCCTCCGGGGCCAGAATGCAGATGAAACAGACACCACCCAGTGAAACTGGAACTTCAGATGAATAATGGACAACTCACATCATAAGTGTATCCCAAATAGTACATGAGATATACTTACACACACACACACACACACACACACACACACACACACACACGTTTAAATTTGTTTTCTAAAATTCACATTTAGCTGGATCTCCCGTTCTCCTTGCCAAATCTGGCGACCACACCTCCAGGATGTTTCTGGGCAGTTCAGTCACGGCCCATCACACAGGGCCTCCCTAACCTCAGTTTCTCCAGCCATAAAGAGGCATAAACTCAACTGCACGGACTTGGGGCGGCTCCAAAGAGCAGATGACCATCCCAGCAGCTGGCGGGTGTGAGCACAGCTGAGTCCTCAGACAACCTATGGACTCAGGGCCATTTTATCCCCATGTTACAGAGGAGGAAACTGAGGCACAGAAGGGAACGTGGTCTGCTCACTCTCTTCTCTGAACGAGGAGCATGACAGCATGGCACACTCTCCAGACGTGCCACATGTCCCCAGGGGCAGGACCGCCCCAGGGCCTAGAAGTGGATGCTGGGCTCCTGAGCAGGGGCGGGCTGGGGGGGGGCCTGTGCACTCACACTCTGCATCTTGGCCTCCGTGTCCACGATGTTCTTCTCCACCTGGTCGGCATTCTTCTGCAGCTGCTCGATCAGCTCCGACAGTTCCTTGTTAGAGATGCTGTGGGCAGAGGGGCAGGTGGGTAGGGGCCTGGGGAGGGCTGTGTCCCCACAGCGCCGCCGCCCCAGAGCCGCCCTGCTTGCCTTGGAGGGGCATCGCTGTCCCGGGTCAGCCCCCGCAGGCCGTTCACCCTGGTGCTTCCGTTTTCCCATGACAGCAGAGCCCTGACTCTGATCTTTTTGTTTTGTTTGAGATCTAATTCACATACCATCAAAGGCAATTTTTTTTTGAAGATTTCTTTATTTTTATACAAGAGCTGGGGTACAGGACAGATGTGCGGGAGGGTGAGAGGATTCACCAGAGACAGAGTGGGGAACAGAACAGGCAGACTGACAAAATACACTGCTGAGGGGAGCAGCGGGTGAGATGGGAGAGGTCTGCTTCACCATGTGGGAATCTCCCTGGCTGGCCGGGAATCGAACCCACACTACAGAGGCTGCGGACAGCTTCACAGTGCTGCGCTCAACCTGCTGCGCCACCAGGGAAGCCCCAAAGGCACCTTTTTAAAGCACCTACGCTGGTGGTTTTGGCATCTTCACATGGTTGTATGACCATCACCACCATCTACTTCCACGGGTTTGACAATCCCCCCAGCACACACACATCCCCATCACCCCGCCCCACCCCACGACACTGGTTTGCCTCTGTCTCTCGATTGGCCGATTCTGGATGTTTCTGATGAAGGGGAACGCACACCATGTGGCCTTTCGTGTCTGGGTCTGTCACTGAGCAGATTCGCCCAGGTTGCGGCGTGGGCCAGGGCTCAGTCCTCTTTACGGCTGAGTAATATTCCACACGTGTCAGCTGATGGCCAGCTGGCGCCTGCAGTCCCCTCTGTCCAAACCTGATCCTTTGTTCCCATCCTCCCACTGCTTATTTAATAAGTTGGGGACTTGCTCTTCCCACTGAAAACAGGAAGCCAGAGGCCCACGGAGAGGAAACCGCCAAGGTAAGTCCCACGGGATAAACCTTCAGCCACGGGCTCTCACTGGGAGCATGGGGCCCACATACCGCAGGACCTGCCCGCCGGCCCTGGCCCGTCAGAGCCGACGCGTCAGCGCCAGGCCGAGACCTTCCCTGGGACACTCTTGGAGCCACTGCGAGATGGATCAGTTGGTTTTCCCGCCCAGTGCGCCTGTGCTCTCTCCACTCACCTGTCTGCCCCCAAATCATATCACAGACGGCTCTGTGGAACACGATCGTGAGAGAGGCCATGGCCCTGGACCCTGCTGGGGTCCCAGGAAGCCTGGCCCAGGACGGACACCCCAAAAGGAAGGCTTCATCCGAGAGGCAGCTGGGAGAACCCACTTGTCATCAGCTCCAAGCGGGTGAAAGCTCTGAGAAGTCCCTGAGCAGAGGGTCTGCAAGGAGGGGTGGGCTTAGAGAGCTGTGGGTTGTGGGCCACCCTTGCTGCCCCCGACCCTGGGTCCTCTACCTCAGGGCTGGGAAGACCTTCCTTCCTAGCCCCTCAGCCCCGCCCAGCCACAGACCCTCAGCCGGGCTGCTGCGCCCAGACATGGTGAGTCTCAACTCAAACACTTAACCCATGACTGCTCGGGCTGTGGTCAGGAACCCGCAGGGGGGCCTAGGTGGGGCCTCTGTCCCTCCTGGCCAGCCCAGCCCCACCTCAGGGTGTGGGGCCAGCTCCCCAACCAGTCCCATCGCAGGTTGGGGCAGGTGCGAGGAAAGCCTCTGGACCCCACCTGGCCGGGCCATGATTCCAGCAGCAGGAAGCCCAGCGCCCAGGGGCGGGGTGGACGGGGGCGGCCAGCCCAGGGACCTGGCTGCACACGGAGAGTGGGGCAGTGAGGGTTCAGGTCCTGCTGGGCCCTTTACTGCTCGGACAACCTCAGGCAAGCGTCCTACCCCACAGCCTCCATTTCGCTATCAGTCAGCAGGGAGGTGATCACCAGGCGTCACGGTCCTCGGGGCTCATGCACGCTTCCCCAGACCTCAGACACCGTCCCAGGCAGCCCCTCCATAGCGCCCGCCCCTGGAGTCCCTGGGAGGTTTGCACCCCCCTTTGCAGGGGAGAAAACCGCGGGTGGAGAGGAGAGGGTGCTGGCCCCGGGTCACACAGCTCGAGAGTGCGGCCAGTGTCCTCCCCTCGGCTGTCATGCTCCAGAGACCACACCAGCGAGCCCCAGGCCGAGCGACTCGGGGGGCTGGGCGGCGCACGTGCCGACACACACGTCACCTGGAGAGTGAGCTCATGCGTGCTGGGTGCCAGGCTCCCCGCCCCTGCCATAATCCCCATCACCACCCTGGGAGGTAGGCGTGGGCCATGAGTGATCCTTATCAGGCCTGCTTCATAGATGTGGAAACGGAACCAGAGAGGTCCAGGAACACCCCAAAGCCACGCAGCAATCACGTGTCAGAGGCAGAATTCCAATCCAGGCAGGCCCCAGATGCCAGGCCATTAACAGACAGCCCTGAGCAGCTCCCGGCACAGAGGCGGCGTGAAACAGGTGGGGTTTAAATGCCAAGTGCCCAAAACCACAGCGCTGCCCTCCCTGCTAGGACGGCCACACTCAATGGGCAGGAACAAGTGTTGGTGAGACACGGAGAAACGTACCCTCCAGCACAGCTGTGGGCCCCTCGCGGTCCCGCAGGCCCCAGGAAGCCCAACCACCCAGCCGCCCTACGACCCAGCATCTTCCGAAGAGGCCCAGGCCCCATGGAGGCCTGCACACAGACACCCACAGAGGACCGTTTACAGCAGCTGAAGGGGGGCTGAGACCTTCCCTGGGACACCTTCCCTTGTCTGAGACCTTCCCACAGAGGGACGGATAGACAGATGGTGGCAAATGTGGTCCAGTAACAGGAGGGAACTCAGCCCAGCCGGGGCGGGGGCACAAGGAGCTGGCTCCTGCTATGACCCAGGGGCACCCTGAAACCACCCAGTCACGGTGCATGAGTCCATGTCCACGAAACACGCAGGCCAGGCTTGGGGCTAAGCAAGTCGCATACAGATTAGCTCATTTAACCCCCCACCCCAGAAGTAGCACTGTTCTCCCCAATTTACAGATGGGGAAACTGAGGCACAGAGCAGTGAGCTAACCTGGCCACTGCGGAAACCAGGGCAGGCCTGGGATGTGGACCCAGGTTTCTGGACACTTTCCCCTTTGGGGCTGGAGTCCCGAGTGAGAGGCCCCAAAGGGTCCTGCCTTGCTCCTGCCTCTGGCTGCCCAGGGAGCCGAGACATATCCCTGAGAGCCGCAGGGCCCCGGTCAGGAGGCCAGAAATTCGGGCAGATAGGGTGCCTGGGGAGGGGGCACAAGGCCTGAGGGCCGGCACTGGCCAGGCCAGTCTGGTTGTCCAGCCACTAATAAGCCACAAGGGGCAGCCGTGGCCGTCAGTCACGCAGATGGCAGCCAAGATGCAGCCTCTCCCCACCATCCTCACCCCACCCCGCGCGCCCATGGACACAACAATCCCCCCCAGCCTGCGGGGGACACCCGAGGTACAGGCCTGCCTCCCCGTCCCTGCTTAGGGGCTCGGCGACGTGGCGCTGTGGCAGTGGCCGTGGGCCCTAGAGTCTCGCCCGCTGCCAGCCTCCTCATAGTGCAGATGGGCAAGCTTACCCGGGGCAGCGGAGCCTGGAGCCAGATGGGGTCCACGCCCCCTCCCCGGCCGTGCACCCCTGAGAAGCAGCTCTTCAGGCCTTGGCTCCCGCCTCTGTAAAGGTGGCACCCCTGTACCCAGGTGAGCAAGGGCGGGGCGGGCGCTGCCAGAGACACTGAGTCGAGTCTCAAGGACCACTCCGGGGCCTCAGAGCAGCGTCTGGGGACCCGAAAGCAGGGAGCGAGCATGTCAGCTCGCAGGGGTGTCCCCGCTGTTTGGCCAGCACCGAACGCCTGGCACCGGCTGGCCCAGCACACGCCCACGAGGGAGCATGGTCACCCAGGGCCTCGCAGGCCCCACGTGGCGGCAGGGACGCTCTGCACGCTCGTTCTTCGTGCTTCCTCTGGGGTTGCCAGCACAACAGAACACTGCTCCCCGAACTGAGCTGGGGTTCTGCCTGCAGACCCCTTTCTCTCGCTGGGCCCTGCAGAGAGCTTCCTTCTAACAGGTAGTAAACTGACCATGGGGAGGACAGCAGGGCTCGTGTTGAGGGGCCCATCAACATCAGGAGGTTGGGGAGCCCCTGGCTCCTGAGGACACCAGGTCATTCTCGGAATCCTTCCTGGAAACACCCCCCCACCGGGGGGCGGGGGCCAGCAGACAGCATGAGGAGCCACCCCCCCAAGTACCTGCTGCTCCAAGGGTGTCGGGGTACACAGACACGCCCCAGGAGTGTCAGCTGGAAGAGACTCTGTGCAAAGTGGGGCCCTGGTCAGAAGAGGGCATTTGGGGGGCGGGGACCAGGGAGAGCGACATGCTTGCAGTGTGTTAAAAGAGTTTCTTAGAAGAAATTCTAGAGACTTGAGGGTTTTCTGGCAAATCCTGGTAGGAGCAGAGCTTTCCCCCAGTGAACAGCACCCGGCACGCCTGCCATGGACAGGCATGGAGGAATTGGGGTGCCCCGGGCGAGACCCTGGCGGGTCAGCCAACGGGGACTCCAGACTCAACTCCTCCCAGACACGACCCCCAGCCCAGCCCAGGCTACAGTCAGGGGTCACGGGTGTCTCACAAGCCAGGAGGGGGTCACAACCAGCAAATTGGGGCTATTTTGCCAGAGAAACGACCCTGTTTTCTTCCCCTGAGGAAGAGAAGGGATCTGGCATGCGTTCGGGGGGCCCAGTCCACCCCAGGCATCACAGGAGTCCTGTGTACTTGGCCTGGTCTGTGTCTGAGGCTCCTGGTGCGAGGAAGGGAAATTGGGGTACAGGCCGGCCTGGGCTGCCTGGTGCTCTGAGGACACGGGGGACACCCAAGGCTTCCTGTCTGAGCCTGCAGGCGCCAGCCCAGAACAGGTGCCTCTTTGTGTCCAGGGCATGCTGAGAGCGCTGGAGCCGAGGGGACAGGGCCCAGGAGCCTCTAACGGCATCAGGTACCCC